AAAATTAAGCGTCTTTTAAAATTAATATAAAGACTTACCAGGAAATTAAAAAAAAAAAAAAAAAACGTCCTCCTTCATGTTTTTGGTGTGTGACCAGAGCTGGAGATAAAGTGAAAGCAGGCTAGATGTGCTTTTCCATGCAAATTCACAGAAAGATTAATTCTACTTTTCTGTTTTAATTAATTAGACTCATATATAAAACAAATTTGGGAAAGTCTTTAAGCACTTTCTACCTGATACCACGTATTAGCAGCTGCACAACCTATGCTCCAGGAGGCTAGAATAATATCTATTTATAGAAGCCGAAGCCATTTAAGCACCGCAAATAAGCTCATTTAAAATTCTTGAGTGGTTCTTTGAACAAGGAACAACATCCAAATAATAACATGGAGACTTATGAGAGGAAACAAGAGACACCAACATCCAGAGAAAGCAGATGTACACAACACATGTAGATATCATGTGCAGTTCATCCAGATCCTTGCTGAGAACTCATATCACTCTTTAAAGACTGCAGGAATATTTATGACTTGCTGACAACTGGGACAGCTTCACCAATGCTACAGTGGAGCTCATTTGCACATATCCAATATCGTCTCACCACTAAGGAAGTGGGGGCAGACATTGAGTTGCAAATCATCTTTGTTTGATTACCATGAGGGGTAGGAAAACCCTCCTGCAGCCTTTGGTCACCATGTGTTGTTTTATGCAGAAACAGAAACCACAGCCCACCTGTGCCACATCATTGCTATCCGTCTGTCTATGACTGCCTCTGTATACCCTTGCTTTAATCTTGGTCATCTACTCCTCTATAAAAGCAGTGACAGCTCAGTTGCTAGATTGTTTAATATCATAACAGTAAAGTTGGGTTGTAGAGGCACCGAAATAACAGATACAGATGCTTTGTTATGGCTTTTAAAAGAAAATTATAAAGAAGTAATTTTGTCCTTTCACATATTAAATCAAATAATTTGTGATAAGAGACAAATATCACACAGCAGGTTATTGTAGGATGTCATCTGTGTTTGACATCCCCTGCAAATAAATATCTCCCTTTTGTGTTATGATAGGCCCGTTATTCTGGTCTGGCTGGGGCCGTGGAAGATTAATCTTTGTGGGTGGGCAGCAAAAATTGGCTCCGTCTAATGATTTAAAGGCTGCCCCATCTCAGTCTGAACTCTTATTACTCTGACTGACAAACATCCCTGGTTTTGTCCCAGTGTTAATACGCAGTGTGCATGCTGAATCACAGTATGCTTCTGCACAGAGACAGAAGAGGAGGGAGAGTATTTTGAATGTAATACCAGAGTAGTCACCTTTTTTCCCTTTCTCTTTCATGCTGTCACTAGGAAAGGCACTTAGGGAGTCCTCTTTTACTAAGCATGCTTTAGTTTTGTTAAAATAGACTGGTAAGTGGTGTGCATGCTGGTATATAATGCAACATCAGTGTGCATGATCTGGAGAGCATGTGTGATACAATATGATTGAATCCAATACGCCAAAGAACAATTTTGGAGTCTAAAATGACTGAATAGTAAACTAAAATATCTTACAACGAGGTGGAATACTAAAACCCATCAACATCTGCAAATGGTGTCAGCCATACACTGGTCACAGAGTAAATCTTTTTTTTCTTTGTTCAAGATCCCCAGACAGCTAAGAGGTCAGCATCATGTGCCTGTTAGTGTCTCTTACATCTGATGGTCCCCCCAGGCTGTTATTAATCCCAATACAGGCAGATATAAGCAGCTGCCTAATGAGATTTTCACCCCAAGTGCTCCAAGAGCAGAAAATGGTCACTATCAATTAAACTTTTTTAGTCAAAATCAGTTCTTTCCCTTCAAACATAGTGATTTACATTGTCTTTAAGATTGCCTGAATGGTAATCCAGATCACGCATTGGATATATTTAGCATTGAGCCATACATGTTCTCTGACACAAAAACCTACTTCTTGGGTTGATGAGTGATAAATATTTTAAAATACTCAGTATGTGCTGTGCAGAAGGAAGTGAGGATATGATTCGGGGCTGCAAGCAGAGTTTTGAGTCTCACTGTAAAATCCACACTGTTGACATAAGTAGTCAATTCACCATTAGCAAGTTTTAAAAGTTGTACAATGAACATAAAATCTAGTGTGACAAAACAACCTGAATCAAAGTTTCCATTTTATTTTATTCATTAGAGCAGAGTGCACTGTTCAGATTATTCTAAAAGCACAAGGGAACTGTATACTATTCATGAATTTAGAGCAAATGTGGATCACTAATGATATACCATTATAAGATAATTAGGCCATCTTTTCCAGAGTCTGACCTAATGAATACCTGATAAACAGGTCAGGGCTAACAAATATGTCATGAAAAATAATCATAAGGAAAGGTTCAGAAGCCCATCCCTACAAGTCTATCCAGATAAAGCACTTTCTTTTTGAGTCAAACACAACTTCAAATTTGAAAAGTAGTGAACAAACTTTAAGAAAATGCAGAGATTCACATTTGCTTAGACTCATAATCCACTGCTGATATTATGGGTGCAAGACATGACATATTTCATTGCATCGCCTTAATATGATTGGTAAATAGATGTCCAAGCTAGAAGTAAAACTGAAGATGATCAAGTAAAGCTTTTGCACCTTTGCAATGTACGCATTCTTTCTAACAAATCTAAAAAGATTTTTTAGCAACAAGAAACCAGAATTTCAGTTATTTGAGCCCATTTTTCCGAAAATTGTGCCTGTGGGGCACGAGTGGCATTGGCAGATCAGTGAATCAATCCAAGGTTACATGCTGAGGTGTCTTTGGGCAAGATATTGAACTGCCAGCTGCCTGCAAAGCAGCTCCAAAGGTTACCTGTGTCATGTTTCTTCCGGTATCAAGCCCAGATAAATACGAGGGATCCATCAGGAAGGGCAAAAAAGAAACTAAACTTCAGCCAAAATCCAACATGTGAGACAAGGCGGATGTGCAACTTCTCAAATGATATGTTTCATCCTGTATCACTTTGTAACTTTGCAGTCATTTCTGAATGTAACCTTGTATCGTAGGACTTGAAACGTGTTTTCTGAAGTAGATGTGGTTGTATCTACTATGGATATTTACACAAAGAATCTCTGCCCCTATCCCTCAGGTATGCACATGTTATCAATGTATAGGCAGAAATATACAAAGCACTTTAACTTACTTCCTCTTTTGTTGTTTACTGTATGTTTGTTGCCATTGTGCAAGTTGGATGCAGTCGTGTAATACTGGTTTAACAGTTTGCATTTTATGGTCTAACCTGGTGAAAACAGTTCAAAACAGTCTAAGGGCATTTTACAAAAACATGAGGTGTAAATGTTCAGAACACCCATGCAGGTAAAATGTAGGTGCTTAATTGTGCAGCTACTCTGTAAGCCTCTGTGTTGTAACACTGTGTGTTTCACTTACTTCTTTTTTAAATAATGCTCTATCATTTCCCCTCAGATATTAAAAAGGATATATCTAATCTCATCCAATCTGTCCTCGTGTTTTCATTTTAATCATCCTTCTGTCACTTCACAGAATTTCTAAACTTATCTGTCTCATCGGTGCGTGGTACATCACTGACATGTTTTTTCATTTTGATCAACCATCATCTCCTGCCCCCTTTTGTCATTTCTTCTTCTTCAGCCTTTATTAAATATTAAGTCAAATTGTATACTTCCCACTTGTGTCTATACATTTGCTGTCATGCTGACAACAAACGACTGCCTCGCTGCACTGAGAAGATGATGAAACATACTGTTTACCACTGGCTTACCATGACTGCTTTCTTTCAAGGCTTGCGGAAAGTCAAACAAATGGCTAACAAAGGCTGTGATAAACATGGCATCGAACAGCGGAAACTAAACTAAACTTTTTTTTTGGTTAAGTGAAGCCTCTGCATATCATGTTACCACGAGGTGATGTGATGAATCGACAAAATCCATTCTAATTAAATCAATAGCTGCTTTCTTATAGCTCTTCAAGACCGAAAGTTGCGCTTCTCCAGATTTATAGGACATACATTGAGCCAACTTCGGTTAGAAGAAGTGTTTCATATGCTAAATCACTTTTAGACAGCAGTCTGGATGATGCTCAAAAGCAGGGGGTGGAGCACTTAAAACCTGGTGAGATGAGAAGCTTTTCCACTAGCTGCAGCTACGTACAGAGAACACACTCTCACGTTTTCACACATGGTTCATCCCCATAATATCATATCAGCCTATCTGAAATCAGTTGACCTGCTTGTGGATTGTGAACTGGTCTACAAACAGGTGATAGAAATGGTTCTATTCATGAAACTGAAGACAGAAAATTTGCAATAATTTTAATGCAGCCTAATACTGGCTCTCTTGGGACAGCCTGACTCAGCAAGTTGAAGGATGTGTGCATCCACCTGTCATCAGAGACAAATAAAGGAAGAGAAAAGAAGAAGAATGGTGAAGCGTTAAGCATGCATCCAGACCCTGTCTGCAGGCAAGGGCACAGGGACAGATGGACTGCCAAGTCGGGGACAGTGTCTGTGCTGGAGAGAACGGATGAAGCAGACAAGCAGATGCTAGCAGACATTAGAGAAGAGACAGCTTTAGAAATACTTCCCGGGATGCTTTAACTGAGATGAGAACATTCTATCTAAGGTGAAGCGTTGCATAACTCTAATATTAAATGAATATGCTCCTGGTAAAAGCTATTGCACATGCTTGTTGTGTGTTTTTGGTCATCACATGAAGGTCCCTGGCGCTCTGATTGTGATTGTTGCTCTGGCTCATGCAGCCCTTCGCGCTGCAGGATAGAGTAAAGAAATCACTTGGCTGGAAAATCGATGAATGCATCACATGATACGAGCAGTGGGACGTGACTGAGACACGTAGTGAAACTTGTCTCCTTTCCTTAACATCCAGACAAATGAAGTCCAGGGTTCTTGCTTTAACAATAACCTCACACGGTGGTAATAGGTAATATCATGGGAGCGTGTCTTACAGTGTGACTCTTTACTCACAGTATCGCTTGCGTTTTTACGCAGCTGCTCCTCCTCTCCCCCCACAACGTTAGGATCCACCACCAGTCTCTCGAAACACGCCGAGCCGAGAGATGAGCTCTTCTGCTGGTTCATCACCAACTGGGATATCTGGAGTTTGGGGCTTCCATGGGCCGTGGTCAGCTCTGGTTTGCTCCCCGTGGCTCCAGAAGCTGGACCAAGGGGCTGCAGCAGAGTTTGCCCGTCCGAGCTCCTGCCCGGGGCATCCTCGCCTCCAGCAGACTTGTCTCCTCCAAAAGGAGCCGGCGTTGAGCAGCATAGGTTCGGTTGTGACGACGAAAACACCCGGTCCAGCTGTTTCTTTTTCCTCTTAAACATCCACAGACCAGATTCCTTCTTGCTGCCCTCCGCGCCCCCGGCTCCGCGACGTTCCGATCCCAGTTTAGGACTGAGCCATGGCTTGGTTTTCCCCTGGAAATTCTTCCACATCCTCCGCTGGTAGGACAGAGACTCCTGTCCTTTAGCGGTGCCATCAGCTTTTGGGGATTTCTGCTCCATGGTGCCTGTGCAGCAGCCGCCCAGCCTGAGCTCCCTCCGTGTAGTGGACGGATGTCACTGTGGGTTCTTTCTGCTGCAGCTCTGGTGCACTTCCACTGATGATAACCTCAGAGCGCCAAGAAGATGATGAAAGAGATGCCAATCTTTAAAACGAACCTTGCAAAACGCCTTTGAGGTCAACGTAAATGAAGATGTTGCAGTGCAGTGCGTTAAAGAGAGAACAAATATTAGGCAACTGTTGAAGTTTTATCACACCCCAACAGTAAATAAGGCTGGAACACATGCACAAATATATATTGGTTTATATTTAAGAAGAAAAACGTACTGCTATGCTGCACTTGGATGTCTTAAAATCTGTGTTCTGTCCCCAGTGTTTAAGCAGGGGTGAAACAAACTTGCCTATTATTCGTAGTATTTAAATGAAGCCGGAAGTGGACACCGCGCCTCCCTCTGGCCGACCATGTCCCTTTCCACTGACATCAGTATGCTGGTGGTTGTGTAACTTAACCCTAGGTGCCTCAGTGATGTTTATTATTTTTGTTGCAGATCTCTTGTGGTCATCATCTGAATACATTTATTCTCACTCTGATACCACACGTGTGTGTAATGGTGACTGAGACCCTAAATTCATCTCCAAAATGCCTCACTTTTTCAACGATCTGAGGTTTGAAGGACTTGCTTCATTTTTTGTGTTATGCGTTGTGTGTCTTTACATTTCCCCCCAAAATAGCTCAGTTTCCGGAAAACGTTATCACCCAGAAGTAATCAGGCAGCAGAGGGAATGCGTTTGGTCGCTGCTCTGCTGTGATGTGTAGAATAACTCATTACATGGTTCCCCCGGGCCTCTGTTCCAGCTCTGGCTGGTCCAGGCCCCTCAGCCAAAACTGTCCCCACTGTCACATAAACCAAACGAATTAAATGCCTATTACTAATTTGAGCCTACATGTAAACAACGCGGAGGATGTCACAAAATAATCTATTATCTGAAAGTAGTGTTGACAAAATGTAAATTTGAACGAGTTGATAACCCGGGCCTTATTTGTGTGGTACAGCCTTGACATCACGTGTAGGAGTGATGACGGATGGACGAGTGAGGCCGATGATGCTGATGTGTTTGAGGATCTTTGCCTTGACCCTCTAGTAATGTAAAGATTATGCAGCCATCAGCCCAGAAGAGAATGTGATGATTTATAGCTTCACCGACTCAGTCGTGTTTTTTTCATTACAGAAATGTCCCTGTTAGTGTAAGAGGCACTGGATGAGCATCCGGTGACAAGTTTATTGTAATTGTTACTTGAGATATATTTACTCAATATCCACTGTCATCCAATTAAAGAAAAATACTTTAATTACAATCAGTGGGGCAAATAACTGACCTGCGCTTTCTTTCATTTAAGTAGATGGAACTGTGAGCCTGTGAGCCAAGAACGTCCTGTCAGCTACTGTAAGCTTTTCTTCCAGGCCAGTGTCAAAAACTGATGACTCTGCACTGAGAGGGGCTTCGCTGTGTAAAGATCCTGGTCTTGATGTTAAGAGACCAATCCACAGATGCATATGCAGTACCTTAAACCGCACTTTGAAAACAATGACATGCAAAGCAGATAAATCTGTTTGATATTAGAAAGTTGATGGTAAAAGAGACATGTTTGTTCAATTTCTTTATTGGATTTATCCAACATTGTACTATTGGTTTTAGTTTTGGCTTTAACCAAGCTTTAACCGGCCTAAGGAAAGTGTTTTGAAAAGCTTTGACTCAGTTTTTTTTAACTTTATGATATAAAAATTGTACTTAATAATATAAAAATGTAAGGCTATTCACTTTCATGTTCTCCTGCTGGTGAAATGCTCTACCAACTGTAACCAAAGCAGTGGTGCCCCTCACTACCTTTAAGAAGGGTACCTCCTTTCATCACAAACTAACTTCTAATTATACTTATTTTTCACGTCCTTGTCTTTTCACCCCCTCCGTCCTTTTGTTCCTGCTGAACAATCTGAACTGCACTTAACCAATCGACATATGTGCAGAATACTCCTGATGCCCTAATTACTTTTGTAAATTGTTCTTTAAAGTATCTTTGTGTAAAACGTAAGAGAGGCACTCGTTTGTTGCACTTATCTTGTCACGGATGTGGTTTAGCGAAAATTACACACTGCCATTCTCTTTCTGTGTGTTGCAGTTGATACAATATATCACTTCCATTTACAACTAGAGAAGAATATTTTATCCAATCTGTGGGAGGAAGACACTGCAGTTCATCAGACACTTTATTTAGAATTTAGAGTTTTTCAGAAAATAGAAACTATAAATTCTAAACAATATTCCACAGAAATCTACTTTAAGGAAAGTGGTAACTACTGAATTCTTAACTATTTCTTTTACAGTCTTTGCCACAAGAATTGTTGCTGATTTTGCTTAATGGTTGTTATACCAATGTTTACACACATAGATCAGCAAAAAAAATAGTGCTAGCTATTTTAGCTGCTCACCACAAAATGGTGTGCTGTTCATGCAAGCCGAACATTTCCTTTTTGTTTTTAATAAAAGGGCAAACTTTTTTTTTTGCCCAGTATTTTTCAAAAGGTAAAAAATGCAGAATTCGCATGAAACATTCACAATTTATGCAATATGCATTTACTTTAAGTCAAATAAAAAGTTATTCTTAAATATACTGTTGCAGTAACACCAGTTACCATGAACACATTTTTGTTTATCTTATGTGAAATGATATATGTAATCTGTTATATGTCACCATTTTTGGTTCTTCTGGGTCTGTAATTCAGTAATTTAGTCTTAAATCATGCTGTCATTGAGAGGAGATAAGTTCTACTTCCTCCAGTTGATAGAATGGAAATAAGGTTGAGATCTATTTGAACACTGCTATGAATCACATTGATGAAATTAAATCTTAATTCACTGTAGCTTCAGGCAGGTTGACACGAGGACACCAAGACTTAACAGCATGAAAACCACTGCACGTTCCAAATTCCCTGCTCTGGCCAGACCAGTGCATTGTGTAGTGCATTTCCTTTTTTTAATTTAATGACACAATGCATATATGGCTTGTCATGATTTCTGACCCATTGTTGCAGTCTTCAGTTACCAAAACGTCAAATATAAATGCCACGAAACTAAGTGTTGTTAGTGTTTTCTTTCCTCATTGAGGTTTCTTGATGTGTTTGGTGTTAGTCAAAGCAGTCAGGTGAGAACACTGGCTGTGCTGCTAAAGCAGCTTTTCAGGATCAAAGAGGAAGTAGCAGAAGGTCTGCAGTCAAACCACAGCTCTGTCCAAGTCTAAGCACATTCCCACAAGCTGCTGGAGAATTAGTTTATCACCATCACATGAAACACTTCAGCATGGACATACAGAGACAAGAGGAAAGATATTGGTGTATGCATGCATCAGATTAGCTTGTTTTGTGTTTCCTATGTTCAGTCTTCTCATTAAGAGGGATTACATCCTTTTTCAAATGCACATTTTATATGCTCTCCTCTTTTAACTTCATTACATGTGATGTTGCAATACACCAGCACAGACTCATGCAAACACACTCCCAGCTGATTTGATTGTGCTTGAGTTAATGATGCAGCGTTTGAATAAGGCATCTTATTACATTTTATTTGCACAAGCACAAAAACAGAACAACTAACCAACAGCATTTGCTTGAAGATATACCGACAAGTTCGGAACTTAAGAGCAACATGTTTTAATAGCAGTCTGTTTAATTAGTTCAAGGAGCATTGAAATATGACTCCCGAATTCAGAGTGAGTATGTTTGGAGTAATTTTGAACTGAGCAGAAGAGCATGATAACAGTCTTATTAAAATATGGCACAGTAATTAAATACAGAGCTTCAGTATCGATCTGCAAATGGATCATTGATGTGATTAGAGTTTGTCATAATCTTAAATGTTGCAAGATGAATGATTTTGTTTGAGAAGAAGTAAGAAATGAAGTCCTTCAGAGAATACTCTGCTTAGACAAATAGATGGTACATCAAACGTTCACTGTTTCTCCCAATGTGATGCCAGAGATATGATATTGAGTACCTTGTGCATGTGAGAGGTTTATCTTGAACATTTAGAATAATAATTATCATATTTGCCTATATGTCATGAACTGGCTCTTGGGACATAGAATGTCACTTTGCTTGCATGAAAAGAACCCAAAATTGCGTGTGACAATAATTTCTGGACCAAAAGAAACAAAAATTATTTAAATAATGCAGTTATGTTAGTCATAAATAATCGCTGGGGGCAAGTATATTTTGATTAAGAGTATTGGTCAGTGCATCATTGAAAGCACTGCCTGTGTCTTCAGGGAAATAATCCAAATTCCCCACCAGCATGATGGTAATAAGCTGCTCGATTATGCTTTATCACAACTGATATATTGACATGCACATGTTAGGTTTCACATAATTAAGATATCTCAAACCAAGAATTGTGAGACAGAGCGCTCTACTGCACTACAGATACTGAACGATTCGTGCCTATCTCTGAAATTGGACCTATATTGGTTCTGATAGATTTATTTTGAAGTTATACAAGGGTTTTTTTTATTAGCATTAATTCATTGGCTGCTCAAGCATAAAAAGTGCTTGGCTAGAAAAGAGTAAATTCTGATTGAAATGCAAGCTGTCAACTTGCTGAGTGCTGATGTAAGCTGGGGAAAGCGGACCCTAATTAGGCTGCAAAAGGACGTCATACAGCTCCAAATATCCGTGGACAATCAGCTCAAAGGGTTGGAGGCTACCTCAGGAAATACTATCTCTATGTGTTTGGAAAAAGTGTTGCAGAGGTCAAGCAGCAAATGAAAAGAAGTTACTTAAAAATACCAGAGCCGTTACGAAAATTTGCAGTATTCTTAAAAGTCTGTTCTTTTTTACACTATGTACTTGAAGATATTTTAATTTCTTCTTAGTACTGAGATCCCACAATCTTCTATCTAATATGCTACATTTAAAATAAACTGACTTATTTATTTCATAGAGTTGATATTTGGAGAAGAAAAAAAACTACATCAAGACATATATGTCACATGTCATGCTGTCAACTATTTTACTAAATTTACACAACTGCCCTCCAAACATTCACTCACCCAATGATTCAGCCAGCGCTCATTTCTGTTGGTTTCATTGGGTGGTAAATCATAGCTATGGCAGCACATTAACTGTGGACCAATGGTCAAGCATGTGCCATAAAAATAATTGAAAATGTAGAAAAAGTGGGTCACTATCATTACTCCTTACCTCTGACTGGCCACAGAATTGCTGCAGTGGCACTGAGCTTGACTCAGCACAAAAAAAAGCAGAAGTGGTAAAGTCTGGAAACGATGGCACCACGAGAGACTTCACTACCTCAGAACAGCATGTATGTTTTACCAACTCCTGATCCTCCATGAACTTGGAACACTGCAGGAGGAGTCATTGATGAAGGATTCTGAGAAATAAAGGAGCTCCATGCCACATCTGCACAGATGAGCTAAGCTCCCCTTTAAAAGACTCTTTCTGCTTCATTGCTTGTTAGATCCCTGTCGTATATGGCTACATGTTGCCTGGCCTTACTTGTGTTCCCTCTGTGCGTTGTGCTCCTTTTCAAAGTTTATTTTTTGGTTTTGTCTAGTAATATAGTTTAGGTTTAGCTTTTTGAATCAAGCCCTATGGTTTATAATAAAACCTTAACTCTTGATAATAACCTTAGTTTGTAATTTCCCTCCCCCCTTGGGACCCTACTTTTCTCACCTCCATGCAGGTATCATGACAGAAGGATCTGACCCTGAATGAAAAGCTTATGGAGAGGGGAGAGTATACGACACCAAATCGAGGTGAGACACTTGGTCCTTCTGGGGGTGTTTCAATTTACATCTAAATTGATCAGTGGAATAAGTGATTTTTGTTTTCAGTAGAAGGTCCTTGAACAGTTCTATGTATAATATTCAGAAAACATTATGAATATGAAAATATAAGCCATGGTTTTCAACCAAAGATGACTGGGTTGGCAGCAGTAACAGGTTGCGGGGCTCCAAGTAAAACTTAATCTTTATCTATGTTTGTTTTACTCATTTAGAACACTTTTTTCTTTTATGCAACACAGACATGTGTTTCCCCTTGTGACGGTTGATAGACAGCCATCATGAACTTAAGCAGCAGGACTCTCTCGGGGCGGCAGCAGCGCCCCCTGCGGTCACTGTGAGGCGGCCATTGTCCCAGAAAGGGCGCCAAAATCAAGCGTCTCCGCCTGATGACGTTTGGTTGCCATGGCTGTTTTTGCGGGTGCGTCTGAGCTTGTAAATCGCGAAAAGTGTGAAAACACAATGGAAACCAGCGGCGTTAGTTTAATGATAATGTACGAGGACGAGTCCGTGGATGTCCGGTACAGAAACGGCTCGCAGCTGCAGCTGTCGCCGTGTGGCTGCGAGTTTTTCCTGGTCAGAGCCGCAGACCCCCACGGACATCCTCTGCAGCCCGCGGCCAGAGTCCGGCAGAGGACCAGGTTCACTGTCAGCACCTATAAGGTACACGCGGACTTAAGTCCCAGTATTTTATGTTTGGGCTGTAAAATGTCCCAAAGCAAAAACAAAAAACTGGACTTCCAAGTCAAAGTCTGCATGTTACTGTGTTCTACAGGAGCTGATGGTGGAAGCTCTGGCTTTCAGGAATAAGTATGCCAGTCGGCCATATCTGCCCCAGGAACTCATCCCCTCTGACAAAATGAAGGTGCCAAGAGCTCGCCCACTTTAAATCACTCATATTTATACAGGCCATTTAATCACTGTGAACAAATGTCTGGATTTTTCCTTCCAGCCGTTTTTCAGCATGGACCCTGGTGTCCAGTGGCCTGAGCTGTCCTCCTGCGAGGCCGAACTTGGACCCGGGGGCGAGACAGTGGTCAGGTCCGAGAATGAGAGGGCCGTGTTCATGCTGTCGCCCTCGGGTGAAGAATTCAGTGTGGAGTTCACGTGCAGCCTGAGTCAGCCTCCAAATCAGCAGCGTTTGAGCAGCGATCCCAGCGGTCAGCAACAGGTCAGCGGGCTGCTCCCTGACAGCACCAGGCGGCAGGCGAGAGGAAACAGAAGGACAGAGCTTACAATGCTTGTGTGGCGATGTCTCAGGTTTAACGGCAGGTTTTTCTGTTCTCCGTTCTCAGCCTGAAAAGAAGTATCAGTCCACCACAGTGGTCCAGCACCATTCCTGCCACGCTGCTGCCCACATGTGGGCCTACCCTCTCTCCTTGGCTCAGCACCACCAGACATCTCATCACTCTATAAATAAAGAGGTTGAAAAAAACCAAACAGGCATCTCCAGTCAGGCAGATGTGAGAGCAAACATGGCAGACGTATCTTGCGTGGAAAGAAGGTTGCAACTTCCTCAAGCGTTACCTCTCACGTGTCCATCTCCACACTGGCATAGGTTGGCAGAGTTTATAAACAGCATGATGGAACCTGTAAAATCATGTGCTTGTACTAAAAATAAATCATGCTCTTGCATTCAAGGTGGAAGTTTAAAGATCCCCTGGCCAGAGAGGACATATCAGACCTTCCAACAGACCTTGTGAAGATCATTTGGTGTAAAGGAATCATCTACAGGTGGGCATGCAGTTTTTTAATATAACGCGGTGATTGAAGATATGTCACATCCTCATTGGGGAATTGTGTATAGTTGCTGCTGCACAAATACAAAAATACTGAAACACCCAGAAAAAAATAGAAATAATCTTACAAGCAAAATATATTAATAAAAACTATTAATACCAAAGCAGCTGTAAAGTTATGGGGTCTTTTAAGATGTCTATATTTACCGATTTTTGCTGTATGTCTGCTGTGTAGGATACTGAAAGCGACAGCCCCGATCATTGAGATATCTCCAGGAGATGGGTCAGTTATCCGGTCTAATGGTGCCCTTAATTCTTATTTTACCCATTACAAGCCTAAGCTCCGGACAGAGCAGGTAAATATCCATCCTTCATCAGAGACACATAACCTCCCATCTTTTGTCAAACCCAGATTTCCTTAATCTATCTGTTCTCTCTCAGGTAAACGAGCTGTGTTACCATGTAAACAGTCTCCCACCTGATGTGCCCGGACAGGCGTATTCTCTATGCTCCGTAATAAGTCGTGCTAGTAGGTAAGGTTTCGGTCCTTTTCATGGTTTTTAGTTTAAGTTATTTTTTAAATCTTCAGCCAACACATGAACTGTTCACAGGGTCCTTGCGTGCTACAACCAGGCTAATCAGTTAATGACGCTTCCTTCCACACCCACCTGCTTGCAAAAGGTTGAATGTTTGCATTCTTACACCTGTTGACACGTAAATTATTTTTGCAATATTGAGATTTTAAAAAGTTGAACATTTTTAAATATTTTGTTTTTTTTGCAGGAGAATATTTTTTCTAAACCAGAACTGTTTCCATCTAGTGCCATGCCTGCAGAGCAACATGTGCATGTGACACAGACGGCAGATTGCCGGTAATTCTCTTTTTTTTTCATAACATTTACACTATAAACAAAAGTATGTGATTAACTTTCTCATGAACTTAAGGTCAGAACTCGTTGCTTCAGAACTGAGCAAGATAAAGCGATTCAACTGTATCCTTCAATCTACAGTTTAAAAAAAGCTGTTTTGATAATGTTCAAAGTCTTAATTTGAATTTTGGCAAGTTATAACCATGTTTGTGCTAAGGATGACCATGTATACTCCCTAACCTGCTGTGTCTAGTTCTACTGGAGAACAACCACCTTCTTGGCAGTAAGAGCCAACATGTAGATTTGGAAACTTGTTCTGCAGTCACTAATGAACCAATAAATGAGGACTCCATAGCAGAAGCTCTTCAGAGAACCTCCAGGGCCATTCAGGACATCGATGCGGTCATATCAGCAACCACGCTGACTTAAAGAAGCTTTTACACCTTTTTTTCACCTGTAAAATATTATGCAGACACACATAAAGCTGCATCACTGTACATACAATTATGAATAAAGTGATTATGACCAATGTAGATTTAGCTGTTTCATTTGATTTTAGTAAGTTCTATTTGCCTGAATGAGAATGTGTGGTTGTTCGCCTCTGTGTGGTGACCAGTCAAGGAGTGAACTAAATGTGGGATAGGTTCCAGCTCCAGTGACTGTTTTATTGAATATGTGTTACAGGCAATGGATGGATGTATTAAACTGCCAAATCAATATCTTGTGTGGATTACAGCTACAGCTCAAACCTGCATTGTGACTTGTGGCCTTGTGTGCTGTATGTGTGCCAGTTAGTGGTTGATATTGGTATTACAGTCTAAAGTGCTGCCATTTTAGTTTATACATGAAACCTTCAACATCTTCTGTTAATTCAATAAAACCTCATCCATAAACATTAATTTAAGAAACTTGGGAGTATATTTAGAGACTGATGGCTAGGTAAATGTAATTGGATAAATAATTTAAACCAATGAGTCAATGTCTAAAAGTGTTTTTTTTTTTTAAGCTGCTTACTCCTTTTGAATTATAATTCCAAATCTAGGATTTAAACTACCCGGTATCATACTGTTAAGAAAGCTCCTTTTTATTCATCATAGTGCAGTTGTCAAATCAGATTTCTTCTTTATTCTCTGGTTCATTATAAGGGATTATAGAAGATTTAGCTGATCTCAAGTCTGTGAAGCGATCTGCCGCAGTTGGATAGCAAACGTCTGTTGTTTGTATTCTCGCGAGACGCCACGAAGTTTCCGGTGTTGTGTATGTTCCTGGAAACATGGCGGCCAGCTTCCGCGGCCGTCCTATCCGGAGTCTTCGGATGCGAGGTAAGCGTAAAAAACTCGATTAAGTGGCCGCTGTCATTGCAGTGTATTGCAAAGAGAGATTTTCCATGCATGTGGTGACCTTGGTGTGTTCGGTCACCATGTCCTTTGTGTGTTTTTGTCAGGTCGGAATGACAGCGGGGAAGAGAACGTACCGCTGGATCTTACCAGAGGTAAGCAGACGCTTCATCACATCACCCTGAAAGCGATTATTGTTCAAAATGGATGAGGAGACTTTCTGCAATCACTAACCCCATTAATTGAAAGTTAACACTGCATTTGCACCTGTCCTTTGAGCGCAATTCTTATTTCGTTAACTTTCCTTTCCGTTTTTTTATAAACACTGGTAAGGAATCATAATAACATGAGGTAGCACGCTAACTAACTAGCTGGTTTAGCGTTAGCTAGCTACAACAGCTAAACAGTCATGACGACGCGCTGTTGTTTTGATCCTTGTGAGCAGGCATCATCGTTTGTAATAAGAGCCATTGGTGTTGTAGGCATGATCTGATAATCATTGGCTGCATGAGAAAGTGTGTTCCGAGGCAGCTCACGCTTAGGGGTTCGCAGACTGGTTCTTCCAATGCACAGCTGCTCAGCCGGGTCAGATTTTCTTCTCCTGCAACAACACTGCATAGCATACCAGTTTGTTTACAGCGAGCGGCAGGCCCGTCTCTGAGTCTAGACACCCAGATCCCTGCAACCCAGACATTTTCACCTGAAAAGCCGGGTAAATAGTAGTCTGTTGAAATGATTCAGCACCCTCTGTGAGAAACGTGGGCTTCAAAGTTACTAAACCTCCATGCTTCATAAATGGGTTCAAACTATTCCAAATACTTCTCCAAGGTGCTTGTAAGATGCAGTTGGGGTGTTTTTTCTTCAAACCATGCTATGTCTTTATATGCTCACTGGGTACTGTTTTATTAATTTAAATGAATTATTAAGCATAAACAACATAAAATTTGTGATCGTGACATTTTGGTTACTTGGAAAGAAATCACTTGTGCGATTTTTTTAATATTGATGTTTTAACAGCATTTGTCTCTTCTGTGCAATATTTGATCTGGATCTATTTTTCAGTATATAATTGTCAATTTGTTATCGCCCTTTATTTTGTCAGGGACAGTTACAGTAAGTATATTTTGGTGGCAGAAAGTGGAACTGAAAACGAAAACCTATGCTGGCTCAAGTCTTGTTTTTAATGGTCTCCAACTTGTTTTGACTGTACACTAAATTAGTTCAACCAGCTGAACCAACTTCCTTCCTACAACAAATCAATTACAGTCCAGTAACTGTTATTATGACCCATGTATATTCCGGGTCTCCTTCATTACACTGAAATTCCTTTTCACTGTTTTTTTGCAGAACCATCAGAAAACTTCCGTGAAATCCTCCAAAATGTGGCCAAACCGCACGGAGTCAGTAACATGCGAAAACTGGGCCACCTGAACAACTTCATAAAGGTAATGCTGTCATGTTATCATGAACCAGCTTTACAGTTCAGTTATGTCAGATAGTTTTGTTAAGGCTATCCATGCAGATCTAGAGAAAGTGAAAGACTCTAATCTGTTAAAGTTGATCAGCTGCTCTTCATCTGAAGTGTCACTGCTGACCTCTCCTTGATCCTCTCCCTGGGTGTTGCTGCCAGCAAGCCTCATTATATCTGTTATAGTGATGCTGACAGCTAATGCATCAGGACCAGTGGGGATGGGGAAGTACTCCAACATAATGTGCAACAAAAGCAGCACTTTGGCTTTGGAAACTCAGTTTATTCATGTTAAGTCACTGTCCTAATTCATCAACAACATACTTAATTATTTATTTTACACACATTTAATTAACTTGTTCTTCTCTCAGAATGATACATATGTCATTTTACTTTCCACCCCAAAATTACTGAATATTTCTCAAACTGTTGGTATTCTGTCAACTGTTAATTGATTGAATTCAGTTTGAAGGTAGGAAATGAACACTGGGGCATCTTACATATACCTCATGGTTCTTTATTCTTTTACAACTTGTATGCAAATATATCAACTGCGGTGACAAAAATTAATCTTATCCTACACTTTCTGAGTGGGAATGTTGTTTTAGCCAAGCATTCAAGCTAAAAGAACATTTTTAGCAACTCTTGATTCCCGCTGCCTTTCACCTCTTCTGCCTGCCACGGACATCTTGTAAGCAATTGTTTTTTACTCAGAAGCCAATAAATGTTGTGCAGCTTCACTGTGGAATACACACAACCCAGACTTACAGTTTGTTCGCTTCACTTGTAAAATGACTTGTATGTGTGTGAGTGTTTATATGTCTGCTAGAGCACTATCACTTTGATTCCATATAAGGGTTCCAGGACAAGGAGAGTGACCTAATCCCCCACAGAGCGTCACATGGCCCCTTCCCTCCTCCTACCATCTTGAGCTCTGATATCACAACTGGTAGAAAACAACTCTGTAATCATACTGACCCATCTAGACACCCATCCCATCCTGCTTTGCTCTTGCGTCCTGCTCAGCTTTGTGGTGTAATTCAGGCAAACCAAATACATTTATTTCTCATCAGACCCAGGTCTGTAGTGGTTAGCTGAACGTCACCACTGGGGTATTTCCGATGTTTTGCTGTTGCTTGAATTCTTTAAGGCATCTTTCAGAAAAGGACAGCAGCTGAAAAATTCGCCAATTTAGTTGCTTTGTAAATTCAGTGAATTTTAGACAGTGTTGTTTTTTACTTCTGGCCTATCGCTGGAATACCACTGGCTGTGTTTGGGCTCTTCTTCATGATGGAGGACATGGAACCGCAAAAGGTCGAAAGACTAGACAAAAGCAGAATACCACTTTCTGTCCTGAGTTTTTGATAAATGATGCAAATAGCTGTATTTCATTAGTAATTTATTAAAATTAGTCAAACTATTTGACTTTTTTTTTATCTAGTGTCTCTGTTTTCATGGAAACAAATATTGATACATTTTTAACATAACACATATCGTAATAAGTGAAGAAGCAGAATGAAAAACAAATGTCAAAACGTTTTTTAATCAAAAGATTAAACACACAGACATGACTGGAAACCACTCAGGCAAATTCTGACAGAAGCAATTTTCCCTGCATGACTGATCACAGAAACAATGAGCCTGTTTTACCTCTGGAGGATAAACAAGTCCTATCCCAACGGACATGGAATAACGATAACTACATATGCAGTACAACTGATTTGTTTTTTCTTTGAGTACCTCAAAGTCTTGTGTCTAGTCCGTAAAGGTTATTGCATAAGGTGCATAGCTCTGGGTGCCATGATAACGGAATAATCTGATGACTATACCTTATTATAAACCAGGTAAAGGAAACTATCTGATGGACATTTCTACTTTAACACAATGAGCCTCTGATTTGCCCTCCCACTAGATGTTAATGTAATTGGTTTGTTCAGTTAGATTGTTACCTATTCAGCCCATAAATTAATCATGTATCCTTATTTTATTTTTCTGTTATAGCTGCTTTGCAGCATTGGCCACCGGGAGGAAAACTTTGGGTTTACATATGAAGAAATAATCATTTGGTAAGTGTTATCATTAGTGTGTGTTCCTTTTATAAACATGTACTGTTAATTCTCGGTAATGTTATTCCTGTAACCAAGTGAAACTGCATCGGTCAAGCCCTGTGTTGTACTATTTGGTGTTACATATTTTAGCACATTTTTAAAAAAAAGCTGACATCGTTATTCTGTCAAGTGAATGCGTGCATTTGCTGATTGTTCTGTCACTTTGGTTATGTTGCAGTTTTGTAGATTATCCAAGGATTTTATGCTTTGTTTTTTTCCCCTAGCCTGAGACTAGCTCTACTAAATGAGGCCAAGGAAGTGCGTGCTGCAGGTTTGCGGGCACTCCGCTACCTCATTAGAGACACCAGCATCTTGCAGAAGGTCTTCAGGCTGCAGGTGGATTATTTGATAGCCAGGTGAGATCCTGCCCTCAGCCAGATGAAAACTGGTGTTCAGAGAACTCAATACTCTGCGTTAAAGTGTTTTCAGTGGGTGTCACTCAACTATTAAACTCATCCTTGATTGTGATGTTGTCAAACACTTTTTCAACTGTGAACATGCTCTCTTTTATGCTGCAAAGGACATGACAAATAGTTTTGTATGCTGTTACAGATGCATCGACATTCAGCAAAGCAACGAGGGGGAGAGGACTCAAGCTCTGCGATTAGTCCGAAAAGTAAGCCATATCTGTATTTTAATTTCTGCTCACACAGTGGGTGACAGTGGAGGAGTTTAGTCAAACTTTAGAGCCTGGTGCCCACGCTGTGCCACCAGAACAATCCTTTGGGTCCGCAGCAGTGTCGGTGTGAGTCTGCAGGCAGGGTTATTTATAGCGCTTTCTGTAGTTTACTGTAAACAGGGTCCACACACACACACACACACACACAAGAGACACACACTGATGTGCTGTGGTTTTGAGCAGGAACTATGGACTACACAGGCAGCAGCACAACCTTTTGGCTCCTTTCACAGTCTACAGTTGTCAGGCCATTTCAGGTTTTCTTGTCATTGCTAGGCCCCACACTAATTACTTTTCTCACCAGTCTGCAGAATGACAAAGCAAAAGCTGATTTTGACATGGTTTGTGATGTGAAAATAGAAGACGTACGTAAGAAGTTCAGTTCAGTTCAGTTTTGAGACTTTCACTGAGCTTCTGCGGTTCCTGTTTCTATCAAGGTTCTTTATGATTTTTCACAGCTTTCCCTGATTTAATGAAGGAATAAGAAATGCTTCTCAAAACCAAAAATATTTCTACGAAGCCATGCCATTAAATCTTGACCACACCACTCTTCTGATGTCAGGGATCATTTAAAGGGACGGGTTTCTTTTTTGTGCATTACAACACAGGCATTTCTGTTTTTCAGTGTTGCTGCATAATATGTCTCATCACCAAAGAACAATGCTGTATAAATCTCACTTTATATTGCAGTCAGGTAGGCAGGAAAGGAGTCCTGTTTCTGCCTTTAGGGTTGTTTATTTTTGTGTTTTATGAAAGCAGGGTCTATGTCGACTGGCTAAACATGGATCGCTGTACCTACTTGTTATAGCAGATTCCTGCATCTGGGGTTTTCAGAAATATGTGGACAGCTATTGGTGGCGTTGATGCTGTCATATATTCAGAGCAGCTGACATTCTGAGCTGTCTGATCTTTCCACGTGGAATTGTTTCTTTTTTTGTTATTTAATCGTTTGTTGTCTGCCTCTGCCTTGTGCTGATTTTCTTCCTACCAGTATTTAATGAAAGCACAGCCTGGGTCTGTTTGTCTGTGGACACTGAGGTGGCCACAGATGGACACTTCTGTGAAAGTTAAAGGAAACATGCCTTAAAGCACCACTATTCTACCAGGAAGATTATAAAGCCTGTAGTCTCACATTTTAACACCAGTTAGGCTTTTTCATATATTATGAGTTACATTGTGGAGATTTGAAGCCATGCTGAGAGATAGCAGCAGGTACAAAATTGTAAATATATAAAATATATAAGCAATTTGAGGTTGAGTGTTTGGGATGGCTGAAGACATTTACAAAGGAAAGGCATGCCAGGCTTGTGGGATCTATCCTTTAAAAATGTAAGGCTGTTTTGTTTTTTTGCTCAGTTGTTTTAACATTAGCCAAAGTCAAAGGTCTGAGTACGTATGTAAATGAAATATTTCAGTGTAATATTCTTAATAATTTCACAAGACACATTGTATGTACAATTACTAGATGAGTGAATGTTTTAACCTATTTTAAGATTAGACCAAAAAAATAACAAAATATGGGACAACTTAAAAGTGTCTGAAAATATTCTGTTTAGCCTTAGATCTTAATATAGAGCGATCTTTTCTTAGTTTGTGTCTTTTGTAAGATGTCACAATTTCAAATGTCTAAATTTCAAAAGTTGATCTCTGTATCTGTAGGTCCAAGAAAAAGGAACCATGGAAACGTTATTCTCTGCTTCTGATCGCTTTGATGTTTTCCTTTCTTCCCTCCATCTGTAGATAATCTCCGTCAATGCCATGCTGTTCCCCACCTCAATTGCAAACTCTCTGATTGCGGTGGGGACTGATGGACTGCAGGAGAGGGATCGCATGGTTCGTGCAGCCATCGCCATTGTCTGTGAGCTAGGTGAGTGCTTCATGTTTAGCCAGTGGAACACAACACAGACGTAAAGCATCATTAACTTTGTGCACACCATCTTTCTGTGTAGAAACATGTTTATTCATTAATTTATTTCTCATTTCAAATTTGAAACTGTGGCCTTGTATCCAGTCGTGAATGATGAAACTGATTGAAGTTAGTGGGAAAACAAATGGAACCCAAAAGAGAAATGATAAAACCTGTTTCCCTCAAAGATAGAAATGAATCCAGTCTACATTTTTCTCCAGTTTTCAGGTAGACAGTCGGTGAAACTCAATGCCCCCAGGTTAGATAAAAAACACAAAATCTGTACGAAAGTCCAGCAATGAAAGTTTTTTTGATGAAGACCATCAGTATGAGGCATTATGCAAATAGAGCTTGTTGTAATTGGCTTGGTTAGCATTGTCTGTAGCTCAGGAGAAAAGTCACCATCTCGATTCTGACCACTCTGTCAAAGTGTCCTATGGCAAGACACTGAATGAATGAAAATAATTTGTTTATCCCTGAGCGTAATGGCATTTGCTGATTTGCCTACATTTATATGTAACGTGATCCTTGTAAGTCACTTTGGCTAAAACTTTCTGCTAAATACATAAATGTCAGTGTGTTGATAAGCATTGATCTGAGGGGACATGACAGAAAATGGTCAAACGTCACTATTAAGTTTAGATTAGAAGTTAAATCTAAACGTGATTTAATATTCATCCAAAAATGAGTTATTATAAGGATGTCATCAGTTTGTTAAAGCGACAATGTTCATTCTTTGATTTGTTTGGCTTCAGTCAGACAGCTGTGTGACACGGTGGCAGACTGTGCCTGATTATGTAAAATCAATCTTATTATTGAGTAGCTACTGATCATTGATGCTGCCCGTTCAGTCCGTGTTTCCTGTCACTCGGCTGAGCAAAGCATAAATAAACATGTGCTCTGAGTTTAATGAAAGGCTAATGACGTTTTATTTAGTTTTATTGTTTGTTCCTAACTTGTTGCGTCTGCAGCCCTGAAGAACCCTGAAGTGGTGGCCAAAAGAGGAGGCCTCAGCACTATCCTAAAGAGCGTGATTGACTGTCAGCTTAGTCGCATCAACGAAGCTCTGATCACCACTGTCCTCCACTTACTCAACCACCCTTGTACACGCCAGTATGTGCGTGTGGACGTGGAGCTGGAGGTACACATACACACATACAAATTCAAGACTTACCTGTTGTATATAAATGAGCACAGATTCTACATGCAGCAGGTTAACTATTACTGTTATTCCACAAGTTGCAGAGGTTCCATTCAGTTGTCATGTGTGTGTGCTGATCTATTTCTGCTTCATGCCTTGTCCTGCAGCAAATCCTCGCGCCTTTCACTGATTTTCACTATCGTCACAACGCGGACACGGCTGAAGGGCAGCTCAAGTGAGTGTGTGGGGCCGTGGAGGGTATCTGCCATACGGTAGAAACAAAAAGATCAAGTGTCTCACATTTCCCTCCTTTGATGGCTTGTTGCGTTCAGATGCTGGTGACAGCACATGTTGGAAACGCTGAGAGTTGGTGCACTGTTTTTGTAATCTAAGCCTGAATATAATGGCTAGTTGACTCCAATTCCAGCCTGAAGATTTGAACTGGCTGATTCACAGTGCTGCTTTATCCAAGGCCTGCCCTTATTTTAAGGACCTTATCTCAAGAGTTTCTTATTACAAATGTTGCAATATCTTTTTCTGAAAACCCTGTTTGGGAGGTCATAATGATGTTTATGTGCATAACATGACGTCCAGTTTCTTATGTTCATGTTTACATGCTCACAGAGAAGACAGAGAGTCTCGTTTCCTGTCGAGCAGAATGGCTATAGTTGCTGCTTTCCGTTCCTGGTCTGGTGAGTGCTTTGATGTGGTGATTTATCGAAGAAATGATTTGAGCGAAAGTTGGTTGAGGTAATTCTAAAGCAAATATCTGTGTCTTTCTTCAGGGATTATCAACCTGTGCAAGGCTGCTAATTCTGGAATTCAATCTTTAATTGGCCTACTTTGCATACCAAATATGGAAGTTAGGGTGAGTCCTGCAGCTGCCGAACAGTAAATGTGTAGAAATATTTATAGAATGTAAGTAAGAATAATTTTTCAAAGTATCGTAGAAGTCACTGATCATTTTGTGCTTGCAGTATCAACTTAAAGGTTTTCTAAATTAACTGTAACTACACTGGGCAGGCTTTCACTTTTCCTTTGTAAATGCTTTACCCTACAGAAAGGCTTGTTGGAGGTGTTATATGATATATTCAGGCTCCCTGTGCCCATTGCAACTCAAGACTTCACAGAGGCTCTACAGAGTGTTGGTAAGAACAGGACTTACATCATCACAATTTGTATGTGTTTTTCCTTCCAGTGTCTTTGTATCTGAGCATATCTGATCCTGTAAAAAGATGTGAATGAATGCAGGTTTGTCAGATCTGACAGACATGCTCTTTCACTTTGTTCTCCAAAAGTCTTTGTTTCTCTTTAAATCTAAACAAGGTTATTTTTCTACCCACAGTCTAGAACAATCTTTTCCCTGGTGTGTTTCAGACCCTGCCAGATTCCAGGACACTTGGAGACTTTCTGATGGATTTGTTGCTGCCGAGGCTAAAATCATCCTGCCTCATCGGGCCCGCTCTAGGTCTGAGATAATTAAACAGAATCGAGATATAATAGGTTGAAGCAATTTCATGAGCTGTGAATTCTACACGTTTTCTCACTAGGTCTGACCTGATGGACAACTACCTGGCGTTTGTTCTTTCTGCCTTCATCAGCAGTGGACTGTTAGAGGTGAGCGGATGCTTTTGTGGAAGTTTACCCCCTTTTATTTATGAAGCAATGAGGCTAAACAGCTTATTTTTTCTTTACTTTTCTAGGGCCTTGTGGAAGTTGTGACCAGCAATGATGGCCAGCTTGCTGTGCGAGCCACCATACTCTTGGGAGACCTTTTACACATGGTACGATAGGAAGGAATAAATTCATCATACAACACAGGAAATTTATGTTTCAGATTTTTTTGTTTATATGTGCTCACAGGGTGCAAGAGTTTGTATACTGTAACCAAATTACTAAGTAACAATTGTACTAAGTGTCTCTTTGTTGTTGTTTTGTGCCTGCCTCTTTTCTCTTTTAGGCAAACACCATCCTTCCTCATTCCCACAGTCACCACCTGCACTGTCTTCCCACCCTCATCAACATGGCCGCCTCATTTGACATCCCCCAAGAGAAACGACTGTAAGTACAATCTGTATTGTGCGTCTGTTTTTCGTTACAAGAAAATCATTATTACTACAAACAGACGGAATTGGGTCCCAACATATTTGGACACAAAACACTGAGTTTGCAGTAAGAGTTATGTTAAACGAAGGTTGATAAGGTCCAGATATACAAGGGCAGAAAGATGAGTCAAATGGTGAAAATGTAATAAATGCATCAAAAGGGGATCAAATTGACTTAATGAGTGGTTCTGCTGTGAAGTAACCATATTCATCATATTAAATTACATAAGACATTGTTTTTTTCTAATGGGAACCAGTAGAAAAATACTTATTTCAAAGTTGTGATATCATAAAAGTAATTTTTCCACAGAATCACAATCTAAATTTAAAGAGGAAATAGGTCAGTAGGCCACTTTGAGTTGTGAACACTTTCAAACACATTCAGTCTTCTTTTTTTCCTTGTGTGTGTGTGTTGTGTACTTTCCAGCCGGGCAAGTGCAGCGGTTAATAATCTAAAGCGTTTCCATGAGAAGAAAAAGAAAGGCTTGAAACCGCACAGTCTGTACCTGGACCACATCATTCGCAAATCTGTGTCATCCCATACCCGCAGAGATTCACACTCGCGTGTCCAAAGAGACATCTACGTCATAAAGGTAAATAGGCGGTGTAAAGAAGTTTTGAAATATTCCATATCAGAAAGGGGAATATTTGCAGTCCAACCAACAACCTTTTACTACTTCATTTATCCAATTCAGTGTTGGGAGGTGTTCTACATAAACTGGAAAAAAGATGTGATTAGGTTCTGCTTCAGGACACTTGTGTGGATTTGCACAGTAGAAAGCAGTTAAGAAACTAATAACAAACAGGTTTGACATTCTGAACAACCTATTGTTGTTTTCTTTTCAGGACACAGAAGAAGCACTGATGATGAACCTGAGAGACAGTCATATTCTCAACCACAAGCACAACCTGGAGTGGAACTGGTTGCTTATTGCAACCATCCTTAAGGTCTGGCTTTTCTCATGTAGCAGCACAAGCTTTTTTTCTTGTCTTTTAGTTTTTGTCTAAAAAGTTGTTTTTTTCTCTCAGTGGCCAAATGTAAACCTCAGGAACAACAAGGATGAACAGATGCACAGGTAGGAGTCATTATTCAGCCAACTCAAAACATCTTGAAACCTTGAGAATGCCATTTAAAAGCCTTGTTTTTTTTCCCCCTCAATGTGACAGGTTTGTTCGGAGGCTGCTGTACTTTTACAAGCCTAGTAGTAAACTATATGCTGGACTGGCTTTGGACCACGTTAAGGCCAGACAACTCACTGTGGTTGGATGCCAGTTTGTTGAGTTTCTCATGGAATCGGATGAGGTTAGTTTTACCGAACACAGATACATCTGCTTTGTCTTGAGTCATTGCCTCACCTGGTTCTCCTCGTGCTGTCACCAGGACGGTCAAGGCTACCTGGAAGACCTCGTAAAGGACATGGTGTCATGGCTTTCCTCATCATCAGGACTGAAGCCTGAGCGCTGTCTCCAGAGTAACGGCCTGCTGACAACACTCAGCCAGCACTACTTCCTCTTTCTGGGGACGCTGTCCGCACATCCACAGGGAGTCAAAATGTTGGAGAAATGTGGCTTGTTTCAGTGGTGAGAAAAATCTCTCGGCTTCCCTGCCCTTCACAGTATCACAGAGTTTCAGATGTGTTTCTCCTTCTGATGACACGTGCTGAAAACGGCAAAGTCCAACAAACATCTGTTCTTGTTTTGCAGCCTGCTGAATTTGTGCTCTGTAAAGAACCAGGATGCTGTGCTCAAACTGGCTGTATCCACATTAGACTACAGCAGAGATGGTCTGGCCCGAGTGATCCTGTCAAAGGTTCTGACTGCTTCCACTGATGTAAGACGGCCACAATAACCCTCACGCATGTGCAACTTTAACCCAGAAACATGTGTATAGAGTATTAGTGAGCAGTAGTAGAGAGTGGTTATGAAATCTCATTTACAAAAACACGGCAGTCGTCCGGCTGAGACGCTGTCTGAGTCACAGGGTGAGGACCTGGGCCTTGCTGGAAACACCTCACACTTCACTTGTTGTCTGTTGAGTAGATATGCAGGCTCTACGCCACCAAACACCTCCGTGTGCTCCTGCGTGCCGGTGTGGAGTTCTTCAGCAGCTGGGGCATGGAGCTTCTGGTCACACAGCTTCATGACCACAGTAAGGCGGTGTCCATGGAGGCTCTGGACATCCTGGACGAAGCCTGTGAGGACAAGGTGACTGGCAATACACAGTCGTTACACTACAGTTGATGTTGAATCCAAACAATTCATTTTCACTTCCTCAAGTAAAAAACAAAAAACAGATGTTGCCTGTTAATGGATTCTAAAATCATTGCAGATTAAGTTGTTAGATTAAGTTGTGTTATATACACACTTTGCTGTTTCACAGGCCAACCTTCACGCTCTGATCCAGCTCAAACCGGCTGTATCCCACCTGGGAGACAAAGGTCTCCTGCTGCTCCTAAGGTCTGTGTTTATCTCAGCAGAGTGGCTTATCGTGATCTGCTTTCCGCACGTGTTGCGTGTCAGACTTTGGTGTTTCATTCCGGCATCATTGCATACTTTGCTGACTCAGCTAAATCTGGTGTGTCGTCTAGGTTCCTGTCCATTCCTAAAGGTTTCTCCTATCTCAATGAGAGGGGTTATGTTAGCAAACAGTTGGACAAATGGCAGAAGGTATTACAAACAGACCAGCAGCTCATAGCAAAATACATTTTTCCCGCTTAGTTGAGCTTTTTTTTTTAAATACTTTTTAAATCATCTCTGTTTTAGGAATACAATCTTAAATATGTGGATCTGATAGAGGAGCAACTTAATGAAGCACTAACAACTTACCGTAAACCTGTCGATGGAGACAACTATGTCAGACGCAGCAACCAAAGGTGAGGTGGTGGAATTGGTCATTATCTGAGAAACTTAAGTCCATCATTTTCTGTTTTTTTTTTCTTACTTTTAATTTGGGATAAAAAAAGTTAATGTCTAATTTCTTTGATTGTGTTCTAGGTTACAAAGACCAAATGTCTATCTCCCTGTGCACTTGTATGGTCAGCTGGTCCACGATAAGACGGGTTGTCATCTGTTGGAGGCTCAGGTCAGTTGGTTTTATTTCTGAGGAGCTCCACAGAATTCTCTGCTCTCACACACCTTACATTATCTGCATTGGTTCTCTGGTGAACTTGCTTCCTGAACTCTTCCTGCTCTCCATTTTTCTAAAGAGCGTGGTTCCCGACCTCAGCTACACGGTCCGCTCCCCGATGCTGGACACCTGGGAGGGCATTAAACAGCTGAAGGCTGCTCTCTGGGCTTTGGTTGGTGATAATAGTCATTTTAGGCCCAGCAGTGACTATTCCATTGTACCTTTAAAATTTAGAAATAGACGGAGCTGATGATTACTGGTGTTTTCTGTTTTAGGGCAATATTGGCTCTTCAAACTGGGGTTTGAATCTCCTTCAGGAGGAAAATGTCATTCCTGACATCCTGACTTTGGCTCAGCACTGCGAGGTGCTGTCCGTGCGAGGGTAAGCTATACTGCTTTTTCATTATTTTCTTTTGTTACAGAAGTTTTTTATTCAGTTCCTCTCAAAAAATGGGATTTTGGATTTAGAATAATGAACCGTCCATGTTTTCATCATACGATCAAAGAAAAGTTGTTCCTATGAGAAGATGCACCCTTAATGTCTCTTTCCTTTGGCAGGACGTGTGTTTATGTGCTCGGTGTGATTTCCAAGACCAAGCAGGGTTGTGAGGTACTGAAGCAGTTTGGTTGGGACGCCGTCAGACACAGTCGCAGGACGCTGTGGCCCGTCACTCCCGACGAGGTCGACACTCAGCTGACCTCTGAGCTTTCTTCGGTACCAAGCACACTCAGTCTGAACTCTGAGTCCACCAGCTCGCGCCACAACAGCGAGAGCGAGTCTCAACCAAGTACGTGAGACATGATGGTTGGTGTGTCGTTGACGTTAATGCGTCCTGTACCGTTTTTTTTCTGCGGCTGTGCTGGAGGCTTCTGTCCCTCAGCCACTGTTAAAACCTAACCTTCTCTTTGTGCTTCTAGACATGTACATCCTGGATGATGACAAGTGTGATGCTCTGGACACGTCAGACGAGCCCTCGCTCTACTTACACTCCAAACCGGTCAAAGATCGCAGCCCTTTCACCATCCTGGCCTCCACACGCTTTGTTCGCCCCCGCTTCCTTAACTCGCTGTCCCTTCCAAGCAAGAAGCTGCGCTCTACTAGTGACCCTAAGACTCCTGCGGGCTCTCGCACCCCCAATGAGTTCATGACCGGTAGCATGAGGCGGAATAGGACGGTGACGGAGCCCTCTGTCTACACCCACAACCAGGGAGAAGTCTTCTCTGTGTTCAATGGCAGGGGAATGCCAAAGAGTCCAACAGTTAGCCTGGAGACATCCTTTGTGGGGACCAGGGGGGGCTCAGAGGAGCAGCTTGTGGATGGCAGGCTGGTGAGAGGGGGGGGCTCAGGCCTCGGACTCAGTGGTCTCGGTGTACCCGGGGCTGTGGAGCACCACGCTAGGGACAAGGAACAGAGCAGCAGAGAGCGCCTGGCCGGAGATGGAGGCTCCTCCTCCAGCGCCGGCAATGTGGGAGTGGGCGGAGGAGGGGGTGGAGGTACTCAATTCAAAAGCCGCAGTCAGAGCTTTAACACGGACACCACAACCAGCGGCATCAGCTCCATGAGCTCCAGCCCCTCCCGGGAGACGGTGGGGAACCCTGAGCACCCGGAGCCTGAGCCAGACTCCTCTGACTGCGTGAGCCTCAACACGGTTGTGTCTGCCAAGACCGTCAAAACACTTTCTTCCCCAACCCCCCAGGCTCAGACCAACCACATGTCCGCGTCAAAGTCCCCCAATGTCTCCCTGGTGCCGCCAGGCTCCTCACACACTCTCCCCCGCAGAGCCCAGTCCCTCAAGTCTCCCTCAGTGGGCACCATCAAAAGTCTGGCCGACTGCAGCTTCATGTACACCAGCCCCAGAGACGCGCTGGGCTACGCCACGCTGAAGAGGCTGCAGCAGCAGAGGATCCACCCGTCGCTGTCTCACAGCGAGGCGCTGGCTTCACCCGCCAAAGATGTGCTGTTCACCGACACCATCACCATGAAGACCGGCAGCCTGGACTCCAGGCTGACTCCTCGCAGGTGGGTCGGCCCGCACCGCACCGCAGGGCCCCTCAGGCTGCGGCTGGCACTGAAACAACACTTTCATCCTGTAAATAGAAACATTTGTGGTCACCCGGCTTAAAAGGATGCAGGACATTTGTGTTAGAAAAGCTCTAAGCTGCCATGTGCCTAAATCCGGGTTAGGTTTCTGTCTGCCTTGGTAATGAGAGGTATGAGAGTGTCTTTGTGCCACTTCTGCTGTGTCCATCAGGATATCACATAGGAGGCGTACCTGTCCAGAACCCTCCGTCATAAGTCCATACCGCAGGCTGTCCAGAACACTTGTACCGCGGTGGGTGGACCGGACCTACCCAGTGTCCTCCTCAGTAGAATTGCACCTTCTAGCTTTTGATTGTTGCTGCTTTTTCTAGACTAGTCACAGCTCCGTGCCTCCAGTCGTTGTGCTACCGCTTTGATCCGTAGTTTGAGCAAACCCTGAGTGGGTGGGTCGTTTCCTAGCTGGTCCGTGTTAACATGTCAGGAAGTGTGAACAGCACGCAGGTGGAGAAACGGTGCCATGGTGTGTGAAAGTGCCCTAAGGTGAGGAAAGCAGGCCAGTGCATGAGACAGGCGCTGAACATGGATATTAAGGTTATGCTTTCATGCCCATTATTTAAAAGACACTCCACAGAGTGTATTGGGAATGGGAGAAAGTCTAAAAATATTGCTTTTGGCTCTTCTTTTTTTTTTGTTTTATTTTAAATATCTGCTATCGGCAATTGTCTGTGTACAGCTATGTTCTGCTCTCCTTCGCCAGTGTGTCCTTTGACAAGTCCACATCTCTGCTTTTATTCAACATTTTTTCGCTTACTTCCCGTGTTCCTCTTCTGTCCCAGCCTCTCCCCTCGGATCCTCTCACGCACCTCTCCTTTTGCCATGCCTAGGTTTCTGAAAGCTCTGAGCTTTGCCTCTCTGGATAAGGAGGAACTCCTCAGCCCCATCAACCAAAGCACCCTGCAACGCTGCTCCTCAGTGCGCTCAATGGTCTCCAGCGCCACCTTTGGGTGTAACGACGACTACATAGGGCTTGCTCTGCCAATGAACATCAATGATATGTTCCACATTAGAGACTCGGCATACTTTCAGCAGCGAATCAGCCCACCGTCAGAGGAGCGGAAACGTTTCCTTTTTGGCGATGGAGATGGTAACAGATCTAAATCCGATCTAATTATAGGATCGTTCTTTCACAAAAGGATGAGAGGAACAGTATGGATGAAATGACTGTTGATTATCACTTTCCAGGGGACCGGCCTGCTATCCCGTTACTCAAGCAGCAGTTCAGTATCTCTGAGCTGATCGTGTGCCGAGGTGAAGTCCCAAACCACGTGGTTGGCTCTGAGGAGACGGGACTACAAGAACACACTGAAGAAAACTGCCTGTACTGTGTCGGAGCCATCGTCCTGGGATACCCCACCCAGCCACAGATTAACAGCACACACCCTCGCACAGGTGAAGCGCTTAAAACACACACATTATGCTTACATGGACATGTCAAAGGGAAAAATCTAAATATAAAAACTTTGCTTTATGTTTTTATCTCCAGATTATGTCGATTTCCAGTCATGGGGGGGGCAGAGTGGTCATCGTCTGGAGGTGATGCCGCAGTCTAAGTTCTCCGGGGTGTCGGGCTGCAGCGATGCAGCTGTGTCACAGGGCTCCATGTCCAGCACACCAACACCCGCTGACATTGTCATTGGTAAGTTTCGAGTTTTACACACGTCTTTGAAAGAGAAAGCAGCTGAGCCTACAGGAAAAGATCACAAACATTCAAAGATTAAATATTGAAACAACAAAAATTTCCACAATTCACTGGTTGTGTTTTTTCTTCATTTGTCTTACCGTTCAGTGATAAATATTTGATTCTTTTTGTCCTGCAGGTGGTAAGGCAATATCAGAGGACGCCCCTGCTCCTCGAGTCTTACTGAGGAAGGAGGTGCTCCGCCTCATCATCAACCTCAGCTCCTCTGTTGGAACCAAAGGCCACGAAACAGGATTACTCACGTCAGTCTACTTTTTTCCCCACATATATATGTATATGTAAATGCACCATTTTGGGCAAAACCTGCCTCAAATTCTGTTTTGTTTTTCTCAAAGCAGCCGTGTAGAATATGAACATAGGACCTTAGACTGAGCCCTTTTGATCCTGGTAACAGAATGTTAAAGGGGCTCCTCTGAGTCCCGGGAATGGCTGGGTGGGATCTTTACGCTGATGTACACCTATTGGGCTTCTTGAGTGTGTTTAAATGGATGGGGAAAAAAGACCAACTTTTATTAAAAACCACTACTGCATCTATCCGTGGTTCAATCATTTCAGAATATTCAACATAGTTTTTCATTTCTGCTTTCTCCTCAGGATAAAGGAAAAGTTTCCATATGCGTTTGATGACATCTGTTTGTACTCTGAGGTTTCTCATCTCTTGGCTCATTGTATGTTTCGCTTGACTTCAAGGCGTTTCATACAAGAACTCTTCCAGGACGTGCAATTCATGCCAGTAAGAGATCAGACTGACCCCTCTCTCCGTTTCCATAAGGTTACTGCTTCTTTGTTTTGGCTCTCCCCTTTGTCTAATCATCATTTCTTCCTCTCTCAGATGTATGAGGAAGCAGAGGCAATACTGACAAAGCTACCAAAACCTGGAGAAGAGGACATTAACCCTCCAGCAGAATCCTGATCACCCTCCGTCTGCCTCCCTAGTGTTCTGTGCTCACCTGCAGTTCTGATTCTTAACGAACACAGATAGAAAGCAAGACTGACATAATATAAGTTAAGGCTCTAAGGATGGTAACTGTTTGGCAGGCTTCTGTTGCTAAAAACAGATTATTCCTGTCAAAGAAAAAGAAGACACGCTCATCACTCAACTCCTATCTGGCAAATCAGAGCTGGAAACAGGAGACATCAGAATCAGCAAACAAATCTAGCAGCACAGCTAATGCTGTCTCAGATCATTTTTAAAATGAAAATGGGGTAGCAGTTTTGCCAAATATTGTTGAAAGTCTTCAGCAGCACTTGATAGTTCAACACAACGCGTAAAGATGAGACTATTCTCACGTTTCTTTTTAAAAGAAAAAAAATCGATCATGTTCTTATTTTACAGAGAATGTCTCTTTCTGTAAAGGATCAGGCATGTTTTCGTGTCCAACCAGGAATTCCTCGGACCTTGCATTCTCTTTTTCAAAACACTAAAGAGGGATCCTGCTGTTTTTAAAAACTTAATTGGAGCCCTCCTGATTTCATGTCCCACTCTGTCTTGTGATCTGCCCCAAGCAGAAATGTGCTTTTCCTTCTATTGCCTCACCACCTCCTACAACCTGGCCCCTCTCGTCAGCACAGGCAGCCCATTCTCCTTCTATTTCTTCTATCTCAGACAATCAAACATCTCTTGTATTGTATTTTCTAATGCATTATTATATCTACCACCTTTACTCAGTACAGGAGAATAGCATGTAATTCAGTGCTAGTTTATCCCACCCTTTACTTGCTTAGGACCTTTAACGTTTTTTCTTCAGCCGTTGCATTCTTCCGAGGCCTCACAGTGGGTGGGTCAGTCTATTGAAAGATGCTTAATTGTGTAAGTTTATCTGTAGAACTGCTAATTACAGACCAAGAACCAAACTGCTCATAGATGTTTCCAGTACCTGCTTAAAGCCAGCAGCTACTCATCACAATGCCTTCTTACCTCTGCGCTTCACCTCCACTGCATGTTCAACAAGCATGGCAAAAGTTGTAAGGTCACTTTAAGGTATTTCTTGCTTGTAAAACCTTTTTAACGGATAGGTTTCCATTTAATGCTGCCATACATTGTAGGAATATAATTGCCCAAGGATCTTTTCCCACAATGCAATATCACTGTCTGTCATATGGCGAGGAGGAGTGGTGCGGTGCAGTGTAAGGACTAAAGGATATGTCAAAGGTTTCCAGGGAAACAGGGTTCTGTTTCCATTGACTTGTTTTTGCTACAATGCTGCTACACAAATGGACTCATAGAGAGATGATTCATAGATCAGCTGAGTGATGTCAGGCTCGATCTATTTATTATATGTCTGTACCATAGTGAGCTCAACCAGAGAAGAAAAAAGTTATTTATATTTTTTCCTCAAGACTGTATTATAATTTAAATTTTTTTCTTTTTTTTTTCCTTTTTGCCTGAATCGTGGTTTCCCTTGTATAATGTGTACAGTATGTTTTTGGGGCCAATGATGACCCAAAGAAACATACAATCCTATCAAAGGGATGCATTGTTAATAAAACAAAATTTGAAATACCGAAAACATTTTAAGTTTGTTACCTGCCTCTTGATTTGCCTTTCCAACTCCTCGATAATTGATGAAATAGTCGGTTTCCGCGTTGATCTTGTAGTTTAATTGATAAGTCATTTATATGCTGGAATTTGCAATTAACTCATCCAGCAGTTACCCGCACACAGTCCTGAACTGTAGGTTTGGCTACACACTTGTCAAGGCCAAAGCAAAGTTCTTAATTTAAGTGCGCTCTTGACATTGCTGTACAACTTGTACTGAATTGTAACTTGTCTGAAATTTGTATTTACATGGGCAATTTGCAGCAATATTCATAAAAAAGTTCTTATATATAACAAATTACATGTCATTTGAATGTGACTAAATGGTTTTCTTGCATCCACATAAAATCATGCATCCACATAACATCTTTAATTCCAGCGCTAAGCGAACACCAAAGACATGACAAACCTTTCATGGCATTCAATTTTTCTCCTTTTGTCACCTCTTCAAGCACTTAACACAGTTTAGAAGAACATTCCTTTAATTGTATGTTAAAATCCTATTACTGGGAAAAATGCAAAATTCCCAGTGTAACACCTTAGGTTATTAATTCATTTCTCAACCAAATAAACATTGTCGCATTATATTTGCATCAAATTGATATTTTATATATTTTTGTTTAATAAACATAACACTTTTACATTCTACAACAAAACCAAAGGAACTACATCATGAAATGCTGGAGTGTGTGGATGAACTTTGCCTCCTTCAAATTACACATAGAAAATAATTAGATCCAGTACAAAAAGAGAATTCTTTTACCATACAAAATGAATGCGATTGCATCAGCCCCCAGGTGCATAACTCCCCAAAAATATTGCACAAATATGTGTTATTGTCTGTCCAGCAGGTCCCCTTCTTATGGAGGTATATAGATTTTCACACAAAGACAAACACATGATCCATGTTTACTATGTGCCTCTCTCCATATCTATCCCACTCTGTGTGGTACAGATATATTCAATTAGCTTGAAAACTGTTTTTGTGCTCAAAAACTGTCCACTCTCTCCTTTTCAATCGATTGCGAATGTGCACTGCCATCAGTAGGAGCCTTTGAGTCCGGTTCCTGCTTTTTTTCACTGTCCTCAAAGCTCAGGTTTTCATACACTACCATCATTTTGTTCCCGAGGTTGTTCTCAAGAGTTTGGTTTGCTAGTTGTATCTGCAGCAGGACGGCTTTGTTAACACCGGGACCTGAAAGACAGAAACATGTTTTTTTAAGTGGTCACTCTTAGTTTCAATAGTGTCCCTCTGTTGCATGAAAAACTATCTACCTACCAAAGTAACTGAGCAGCACAGGGAGGAATACGAGTCCATGAGCCATCCCCAGCAGTGTAATGACAAGATTTAAGCGGAAGAAGAAAATCTGGATGAGCTGCGCTTTGGCAAACGCCAGCACAAGGATGCCCGGCAGATTGGTCATAGCAACTCCAGCGAACACCTGCAGGATGAAACAAACAAGACAAACAAACGTGCTGAACCCTGTAGCTTTGCGATGTTATCTTTATAGCGCTGAATTCTGCTGTAGATTTTAGAAAAGGATGGGCAGCCTCAGATTAGGCCATAGGTTACTTACAGCACTGCCCATGTTGGCCGTTGCCTCCATTGCCCTTTCCACTCGAGTGAGCTTAGTACTGAGCGCAAAAGATCTCGTCATATGGGACACGAACTCCACAGAGATGCCCACCGCCTGCAAATATAGAAACGCATGTATAGTTTATTTAAATGTTAATTATTCATTTGACTTCATAAGAGATAGCGTAATGGATTTAGCAATGCTTTCTAATGGAAAGATTCAAATTTTCACTAGAATAACATATAATATCATGAGCACATAAGCACATCACATAATAATTGTGAGGCTTAAACACATCTTGTAATTCTGAATTGCAATTCTAAATAACTTTTCTAAATCTTTTACAGCTTAATGTAAAAACCAAAGGCTAAAGACACCTCCCCCCTCCTAAAAGCACAGTCTGCTTTTAGTCTAATTTCCCCGTACATGATGAAACCACGGATAAAAAAGTACTCTTTAATATTGCTCAGACACTCAATAAACTGAAAGCAGGCTTTCCCACACAGAATGTGCTCTACATCTCCTTACCGTGACCAGGTTGATCAGGGCCACTGCGTTGTAATCTATGCTCCATAATGTCATGACACCCACTGTGTCCACCACGATCATGATTATGGTCAGCAGGTTCAGCAGGCCGGAGCAGAGATCCAAACCCAGAAGCAGGCAGCACACCACAAAGGTCGGCAGCAGACACAGAGAGATGTTGAAGAGGCCCTCCTGCACAATGGTCAAGTACTGCTCATAAAACACATTTGTTACCCTGCAAAAAAGAAGAGGAGATTGAAATATAAAAAAACAGAGGGCATGTTGTAAAGAGACCGCCCATTTCGTAAAGAGAAAAGGGATTTATTTTCCAGGAGTGAAAATGATATTAAAGACATCAGAGAAACTACATACGTGTATGGAAATACTTCAAAGTCAGCTGAGGTGCCGGGAACTGCCCTCATAGATTTTGTGATCTCATCAGCCAGATCTCTGGACTTTTTTAGGGCAGCGGTGAACTCCTGAGAGTTGGTCAGAGGCACATGGTAGGCCATGAACCGAGACGCTACAAGGATCATAGAAGGAAGTTAAGCTACTGTCAACAATGTATGAACAGAGCATCTATGACGGCTTTGAAATAATATAAAGGGACTTACCTATTATCTCTCCACTGTCATCTCTCACCACTGCTGTATCGTATGCTCCCAGACCTCTGTTACAAGAGTCAGAAGCTGTGAGACTGCTGTTCGCATGCCGTGTTATCTTTGTCATATTAATTCTAACACTAGATGGGACAGGATCCGGCCCAACTGTGACCCTATGAACAATGATTGAATTAATGGATACAACAAATATTCACCCTTTGGAGCACTGAAGGTCTGGCCTGTTCCCCAGGAACTCAGGGAGGAAGCGGTTGAACTCTTGCACGGTGGGTCGGATGACACCATTTGGAAAACTATTCAGACACTTGCGTCCGCACAGTATAGAAGCTGATGGAGCATGCAGGCAGAGAGGAGGTTGATGATGTTATGATAATGACAATTAAGACTGTGGTTTGTTTGGCTGATGACTGAGTAGGGATTCTTACATATGTTTGCAGGGCAGAATTTTCCAGCATTTGGGCCGAGGGTGTAAAGGCGACAGCATTTGGATCCAGGGTTCAACCAGTCAATAAAATCATCCACCCACGAGTTAGCAGGAATTGCCAAATATGATCTACAGAAAAAAACATGGGTTAGAGTAGGAGCTGTGACAAAAAAGCAGGAGTCAATCTATCCCCAAATCCTGTATACAGACCAAAATCTATATTTCAAGATGATTCCTGGTTATTGAATTGCTCTATGTTCATAATGCACCCACACTTTTTGTAGTATACCTTCCTTTGAAGGTCATTATTTACATCTTCTGGAACAGCAGAGAAATTGTGTGTGTGAGCTTGTTAAAAGAAACCACAGCTTATATAACCAACATTGGTGTGAATGTCGTGAAAATAAAATCCAATTAAAAAGCAACGAGAACTAAATCAAATATTGTATCAACCTTCAGCTGTCTTAAAATATTGATTTTAGTTGTTGTATGCAATTTATTGGCATATGTTGTATACAGTATATCTTTTTCTTTCCATCTTTATCTGCTACAGCTAGCAAATACATATGAAAATATTTTTGTCCCTTCATTTTCTAAACTTCCTTAATCCAATTCAGGGCACTGGGGAAACTGGAACCTATCCCAGCTCCTACTGGGGTCACGCATTGTCCGGGTCAACAGCTTATCTAACATGCATGTTATTAAAAGTTGGGGGGAGGCACCAAGCAAGCACAGGGAGAGCATGCAATAAAAATAAATGTAAAAACACATAATATTACACTTAATATTAAAGCAATTAACATGAAGTTAAGTTTTTCCATTTGGAAAATTTGAGGAGCTTCACCTGCTCCACCCCCACAAGAGCACACATTTTTGAGTAACTATTTTAAAAAAACAACTCCTTTAATTTCTTTTATACAACTTCTATCTCTTTGGTTTTTCCATTTTGATGAAGGAAATAAATTATTATGACAGCAAGAAGTTGCTACATGAAAAACAAACTGTGCTGTTGACTATTTTATCTAACTGATGAGATGTAAGTCAGATTAATCAGTCATTACAACTTTTTTATTACTGAAGGTATTCAGATGTATCATTGAAGGCACTGTCTCTTCAAATGTGTTCAAAATGGCAAAGAGGGTATCTGCAGGTTGTGTGTTTTAAGAAGCAAAAACATACCCAGTCACTGCATTTTGAGTGTATATTATAGCTTGTTCACTCTTCTTGGAACACGCAGTTGAACACACAATTTATCTACTCTCTGGCATCCACAAAACCTAGTTAATCATTAACTAATCTGATTGGTTTGTGCGTTAGGTTGCAGCTACGATATCAGTATGTTCAAGGATGTGATACATTTTGATAATGTGAAGGCCACGGGAGGAAAAAGTGTCTTTACTAAGTCAAGGAAGAGATTAATACTAGTGCGGTTGGAGATTTGCACTCCCTTGGTTTGAAAAACAAATGATCGTAGTGATAACCCTCTCACTCACAGATGAGGGTAGTCGGTGGCATACTGGATCTTCTGGGTCATTGAGAACTGATCACAGCCCACACTGGAGCAGACCCCGTTCATGCCTTCCACAGTGGAAAAATTGTAGCCCTTCTTGGTAACAAAATAAACAGGAACACCGACCTCAAAGTATTTATAGAGGTATTTGAAGTAGTCCAGCATATAAGAACCCTGTAAAATAAAAAAGAAAGATCTTTGTAAGGTTAAATAGAAATTGGACTGTCAAGTACATTGAAATATTCAGTATTTCTGACCTGTGGCATAGCCAGCTCTTGATCTAGACCCACTTTCACATTCAGCATGAGGTATATGGAGGCACAGAAGGTGAAAAGGAAAACCAGCATCTGAAGAGAAAGCAGGTGTTTGAGTGTTTACATGAATATACAGCAAAAACATTCAGGGTTTTTCTAAGAGAGCGGGACCTGCTGTTTGCTGTTATATATTTTCTGTATTTTTCACACGCACCAGAGAATAAAGTTGTAGAACAAGTTAACCTGATTTATTATTTTGTTAGTTAGTTAGCAGATTTACCACTACGATCCTGACGTAGTTATTGAGCAGGACGGGGGCGTAGTATTTCCTCATGAACGGCAGCAGAAAGCCCTCGTTTGGCTTTTTGGGGCGCTCCGCTGACACGGTAACACAACAGAGAAGTTCACAACGATTGCTGTCCTGACGCTTAGCATCCAGGGATAGAAGCGCCACAAAGGCTGTCATCTGGAGGACAAAGTCCATAAGCACTGCCAAGGCAGCATACAGTGCAAAGGACTTCACCGCTGGCATGGTGGACAAAGCCCCTGGGGAAGGAGAGCACACACAGGGTCTAATATTAGGACTGTTTCAGATTTCTTGTCAGTTTTTTTAATGTTATAGAGAATTTTCAAAAGAAATCTTACCCAGAAAGAAACAGACAGACTCAGAGAGACTGCACAAGAGCATACTGGGAGCGACCTGTCCGAGTACACGGCCAATATGCTGCTCTCTGGTCTCCCCAATCTTTCGTACGTCCCTCTGTTGTGAGGGAATTACTCATGAGGAAGATTCCTAGACCATCAGCAACACCGTGCCTTTGTGATGCCCACTGATTTACACACCTGGTACTCCAGAACGAAGATGAAGATGTTGTCCGCTCCAACTGCAAGCACCAGGAAGGGCACAACCTGCAGGATGACCAGCGACGACGGGATACCGATCCACGAGTAGAAACCCATGGAGGCCAGAACAGAACAGCCAACCACCATGATCCCCCCCAGGCCCACCAAGAACTTGGAGTCCACCTGCAGAACAAAGATTAAGATAAGAATGTGAAATCAGTTTTCGTATATGTTTGTTGTATAAGTCGTTGTATAAGTTTATGGTCAATAAAAGCACAGTGCTTTTTCTACTGTAAAGATAAGCACTGTATATCTGACATGACCAAATTGTGGAAGCCTCTGCTTATCTGTATAGGATACTGTACAGACCAAGCACCGTTACAGCAATTCTGCTTTTCAAGACACACGTTGACAACCTCCATTTAATGACAAACCAATCAAGAAAGAGAGAGCCTATAATCAAGTTAGCAAAGCTAAACAGTGCTAAACAAAATGTGCTGCTGAGGCCTAGAGAAATGCCATATGTTCTGCAGACACTTGTTTTTGTTTTATTTAATTTCTGAAATTCGTTGGATGACAAAGAATATACCCCCCAGAGGGGGGTTGAAAATAATCACTACAGTAGAGGTCACAAATATGTGTCCAAAGGTGGAAGGTAATGCGCTTGACTTAGTTATAGTGGTGGATCAACAAACTGTAAGTGACAATAAAAGATGTGTGATGCTCCAAAGCCTCACCAGTATACGCTTCCATGAGGAGTACTCCCCCAGAGCCACGGCGATGTAAACAAAGATCACTGCATAGCTGATCATGAAGATGGGGATGTCCTCTGCTGTTGTTCGATTGATTTCATCCTCCAGAGATCTCTGTGGACAAGACGAGACCAGGGAGAAGGGAAGGTTTGAGGGCCAAATAGGTCAAAGAGTCCACGGATAGAGGAAGAGGGCTTAACAACAATCCTTTATGACCTACCCCACAGTAATAAATGACGAATATTAAACAAGTATTTCTTTTTTCTATTTATTTATTTTTTAAATTTTATTGAAAAGCCAAAGAAAAACTTTTAAATTTATTTGCATTTTTTCTTGGATCAGGCTTTAAAGGCTTCACTACTGATTACCAGTAATGGTTTTGTCTGATATGAGACATTCGGAACAAGGAGGGGAAAAGAGAGGAGATATTGGGCTTAGATCAAGGACACTGCCTTGTATGCAGACTTATATTTCTTAAAATCCTCGACCACCAACTTATTCCTGTAAATGATCCCTTGAAATTAATATTCCCTCAATCTTTTGGCAGCATTGAGAAACATGTAAAACACACCCTCTGAGATCCCATTGATTACTGTACCTCTGCCATGTATGCAAAGGTGAAGTTAGCTGATGGGTTCCTCTGGTAGTCCTGGACTATCTTAAGAAACTCTTTCTCCCACTGCAAAGCTACATTGAACTTGAGGTTTCCGCGTAAATAGTTGTTGAGTGAGAAGGTCATGACGAGAGCCTCCGAGTTGGTGTAGTCGTCATCTAGGAAAAGCAAGAAGCGCATTGTTCAGGTGATTTAGACTAAAGCTTATTTCTCTGTAAAAGCCTGTGGTGCTAAAAGCCACTCACTGGTATAGCCGCCCACGGCGAGAAACGGGAACACCGGAGCTCCATAATCAGCCATGCAGCTCAATCCTAAATCAGTGATGTCTTTGAAGGACAGTGGGGAGCTTGAGAGGAGGATAGGGATATGTCATTAACTGTAGATTCATAAATCACTGCAAATCAATCTTTGTGCTTTTAAAGAGTGCTTACTTGAGGCAGTAGATGACGTGGTCTCTCCAGTCTACCTCTTTGGTCTCTCCCAGCTCAGTCATGTTCACTTTCGCGTTAATGTTGGCCAGACTATTCTGGAAGTACTGTGGCAAACTGTTTACAGCACAGTCCGTCAGTGAGGGGTTCGATGGGTTGAGAGGCGCATAACACACGTCCTTCAGACTGGCTGTACGGTTGAGCTCCTTTGACCAGAACTCAATTTTCTAGAAAGAAAAGTGGCATTAAACAGGCATCACTGAGACCAGACGACCTTCTTTAGTTATTTAATCAGTGCCGGTTGATTTTGACAAACCTGTATTTTTTCCTGGAGCTCCAGCAGCTCAATGATGAGCTCTTTGGATAAAATCCCACTGAAATTCTGTTGTCCAAACAGCAATGAATCATAAATGTGTCCTTTTCTGCCCGGAGCTGTCAAGATCAACTGGTTCGTCCTGAAGAACGGGGTAAAGTGTTGGTCATGGTAGTCTTTTTCCTGGCGGGCCCGGCTTTTGGGAGCAGACCACAGCTCGACCGGGTCAGTGGTGAGTTCAATGTCCTTGAGGCCAGCGGAGAAAACAGCAACCACTACAGCTGAGATCAGGAGCACCTTAATGGAAGACAGAATAGTCACGGTTAGAAAAAACATCTTCTTTATGTGGCTGGAAACTTTAAATTTTTTTTATTTTTTCTAAAGGCAAAGAAGTTATCAACTTGCTTACCCAGAGAGGATAAGTTGCTATCATGGTTCCCCATTTCTGAAACAGTGAGCTCAGGAAAGCTTGAGCAGCCATACTGGTCCTTTCAGCACATGTGACCTCTGCCGGATGAATGAGCCTGACATCTTTGCTGTTGTGAAATATCGTGTTATTGCTCTTCTTCTCTGCTGCTTTTTTATGTTTGAAGAAATAAGAGACACTGAGGTACAGAAGGAAGCTTAATATCAGGAGGCAGAGTAAGATGATGGAAATCACAAGGAACCCGTCTGTTCCCAAAATTGTGAAAGGCAGAGGGGGCGACGGGGGAGGTGGCAGCCTTGGGCATGAGTCCTGGCAGTCCAGGCAGGAGCAGATCTGACCCCCCGACGGCGTGGTCTCGTTACACCTCAGGGCACGTCCGTTGTAAGGAACCACACCTTCTGGCAGTCCCGCTGTGTCCCCCTCCTTTATCAATCGGAAGTCTATGTCAAGTGGCGCGAGGCCATTACTGGAGTCCCCCTGGAAATCGTACCAGCGCTGTGGCGTGCACAGTTTGGCGCCATAGCGCCCGCACATGGTAGCAACAGCGAAGCCCCCTGTGGCTGGGATCCGGACGTTTTTACACGACTGGAAGGCGGTGTCTGTGAAGGCGGTGCCGATGTAGGCCTGATAGCCCACCACAGCTTCTCGCGTCTTGTTCTCGTGGGTGACGTTCATGACTTTAGTGACGTTTACCACCTGCGTCTGGTTGGGGCTGCACGTGGTGATGCAGTGCATGTGGGCGAAGTTATCAGCGCAGGACGGGCAGCGGATCAGCACGGTTTTGGACAGACTCAGACTCCGCTCCAAAGATGTGAGCTGTTTGTTGGAGCAGCAGGCATACGTGTTCCCCTCGCCCTGATCCAGAACGGGACACACCTGCACCCAGAGCGGGATTTATTTTTACATGACACACTTCAACACATGCTCACTTTTTTCATTAAAGAAGCTTCTTTTTTGTTATTCGCTTAGATTAAAAAAATTAAACTTAATCTTTAAAAAAAGGGTACAACTGCAGACTATTCTATCTTTCATTCGAATAATCAACAAACCTCTTTGAGCTTCCTGTAGTGTGCTCCGCTGACCCGTCGGGCCGGGCCATAATTCAGGCAGGGTACATTGGGAGGAATGAGTGTATCTTCTAAAGATGGATTTAGGCCACACTCCTCATAGAAAGCACAGTATCCAGGCTGGTGTTGGGCCTCTGACAACATCTGTATGAATGACAGAACTATTAGATGGAACAAGTGCTACGGTATTCTCTGGAATGTTTTTTAAGGGTTTGAATCAATTTTCCACTATTAGTAATTAAGTTGATAATAACCAGTAGATGTCAGAGGGACATTTGTGTGGTATCATGTTCAGCAGTCTCAGCTGATTAATGCCTTTTGTCACTTATAAAATGCAGACCGTTCGATCAAGTTCAGTTTTTATAAGACTTATTACATGAGAAATATGTGGCTACATAAAATAATAAGTTGTTTATACATTAAATACCAATAAATACAATTTTAGAAGTCGCATCTGAATAGTTTGAAACTGAACAATTTCCAGACTTCCCATACCATCGGATCAGTGGCTAGACTTTGGACAAAAAAGATGTCATGATGAAGAGAATTCAAAGAAAAAATTGATACCCAGCTTCAGATATATGTATATGTATCAGTAGTCATTTTTAAAAGTGTAAAACAGGCCAACTGTTAAAAAAAACAGGCCATTTTAATATGCAACATTTTTACCGTAAGTGCACTTTGCCAGAACCGAACATGGTTTTACTCGAGTAAGGTTTGAATTTGGAACGTTTTGGTTTCAAATTGTGAGCCCAGAATTGCTTTACTGACGAAAAACAAACACTTTTAAAGAAGTTTCTCAGCTCCTTCCCCCATTTCTCACTTTCACTCTTTCCATAAAGCCAAAAATAAAACTCTGGACTTGGCCACTCTATTGATACTGGTGAGTAACAACACCACAGAAGATGTTTTCAGTAAGGAGTACTTCCTTGTGACTTATTAGGTGGCCTATACCACCATAAACTTAGCTTTCTCAACTGTGGAAACAGTGTTTAAAAGAAAAATGGTTTAATTTTTTGATCTTTGCTTCTGTTCATTACCAGAAGTTTGAATCAAAATTATGTTTACTGCGTATAGTGTTTGAAATCAATGTCCATGTAATTCAAAAAGTTATTCACAAATGTTGACCTGGTATAAACCCTTTGGAACTTTCGGGGGGGAAATCCAAAGGGTTCCATTGTAAATGGAAAATATAAATAATTACTTCAGTTGTATAGCAGATTACATTCATTTTTATGATTTCCCAAGTTCAGCACCTTAATTAAAAGGAAGGTTTTACTCACCAAACAACCCAGAAGAGGGATCAGGAGTCCAGCGTAGGCCATGATTTCTGCTTCTGTTTCAGCTACGGTTTTAGCACACTGGAGTGTATGTCGATCACTTTTGTCCTACACAGGGAAGCATTAGGCAGAGACGGAGAGAGCAACTCTGTGGTGGTAGATCTCTTTCTCCTGCCTTCTGTCTTTCTCACAACTGGAGGGTTGGGAAGAAAAAAAACACCAAGACCCGTCCAACGTCATCACTCCTGTGATGTCACACCTGCCTTATCTGGCGTGATGCGACAGCCAGCCAATGATGGCCGTGGAGGATCAATTTTTCAGTTTGATCATTAACAGCCAAGCGATCGTGATATCGGTGCCATAGTGATTCAAAGCAGCTCCGGGAAAATAAACGGGAGAATCCAAAATAACAGCTGTACTGTCTTATGACACATCCAATCCTGACCTGTAAGTGACCACCATCTTTTATCAATAGCAACTGAACATGAAACTGTTGTTTCACCTGTTGGACTCAGCAGAATATGGATTTTTTTCAGATCTTTTTATTGTTGTTAGAGTAGTTTATATGTAAAGCTGAAGGGCACAGTGCTATAGGGCACAGTGCTATAGACCTGAATGGGTCTGAGTAGGACCTTTAGACCATCATCTTCTTTAAGTGAATCTGTTGTGTGTAACTTATCTGATACCTGAGGTGCAGACTGTGACGTTGTAAACGGCTTCCCTGAACCTCAGAAGGCTTTTTTGAATTTACAGTTTTCTCTCTAAAGATGCTCCTTTTCTCTTATCAAAGTTCAGTTGCAACTGGACAGCAGCATGCCAGCTTTTCAAAACAACAATAAAAGATCATTTCCAGGATCACATCCCTTTCATTTAGGCTCGGATTAATTAATGCAGTTATCACATGTCAAGGCCATTTCTGAGATAACGCTGACAATTGAGGCTTCTCAGTTATACCACAGGATTAGCTGAGTAATCAGGGCGAAGGTGCCTCCGCGCTGAAATTTGTGATAAGCACAGATGGTGAAATAGACAAGAAGAAAAATGGGGCAGATATGCTTATGTTCTTTCATGCATTGATAAATTGGGGTTAGCACGTACAGACAGGAGACAGAAATATGGAATTTGGTAAAAAATACGAAATCCCTGCGGCAGAATACAGTTTACAAATTTCAAATTACAAGGAATTATCAGTGACTCAGTTTATCTTATGTTTATCAGCTTGTAGAGTCTTTCAGTATTTTATAATCATCCACACAGTAACTATGCAGGCCCTAAATGGAAATAACAGTAACAAAACTGTTGTATCAAAAAGTTGTACTTTGATTATTTAATTGTTGTATTCCTTTTGATTTTTGTGAAACTTGTTTATTCTTGCAGTTTTATTCATTTTCTTTCTCCATAACTGAGGGAGAATACTCCCCACTTCAAAGGGCTTTGCCTCATCAGAAAACGTTGGTACAAACATTGGCTGGTTTGCATCATTATTACTGGATAATCATCATGCTTATAATTAAAGCGTTTTAATCATAAGAAAATCATCTTTTAACCTCCTGATCGCTGTGAGACTGCAGAGCTAACCACGGCGTCACCTGCTGCTTGAGGAAAAAATCAATAAGAGGGTAAAGCATCATTTAGAAAGGAAGAATGACATTAATGTGAACAATAAGTGGGAAGAATAATTTAACCTTTTATTTTATTCGTGATACTGCAATTTGTTTTCACCTTTCTAAGATGCTCATTCCTTTACTTTCATTAAGATGAGAGAAAAAAGATACAAAAGATAGGAATATACAGCAGATCACTAATGCAATGGATTACTGATGAAGTTGGACTTCACAGGTTTTATAACGGCGTTCAGGATTCTCTTGTTCACTAATGCGACGGAATTCACACAGCTGCAATGTTGTAAAGGAGAAGAGCAGACTTTAGAAGTCCCTTCAAAGACCAGATCTGAATTGTTGTAACTTTGGTTTTTACATATTTGTGAGTCTCTCAACTCACTTTAATTGTGATTAGGTGCTACTAAAAATGTACATTGTTGTCTTTTCATTTAACACTGCAGTCAGTCAATGGTGGGGTCACTTATGTTGTTTTTAATTAGGATTTGTTTGACTGAATTGTATTATTTTCATGATCAAGAAGGAACCACATCCACATGGAATAATTGTTAAATATATCAACATGTGATTAATTCTACCAGGAAAGTAAATAGTAAATCTTTTTGCATGTAACCACTCCCCTGTTGTTTTTGTTGTATATGGCTGTTGTGAGTGTAGATAAGAGAATTGAAAACATTAAATAGTTTTGAAATGTTTTTTTTGCATCTTTTTTTCCGGTTTAATGAAATCCACAAAGCAGTTAAAACTTAATGTCTAAAAAAGTGTGATTAATTTACTGTCATACACATTTAATTTAAAGTACTACACTGATACCAGGTCCATCCAGAATGACACTTTTTTGCTATTTCCTTTTTTAACAAGGTCGCTGCTGTCTTTTTATTCTTTTCTTCATATTTTATTTACATAGAAACATATACTTCCTGATATTTGCACAGATACTAAGCATTCTATTGTGAAATAGCTGAAAGGACGAAAGAAGTACCAAGAAAAAAGAGAACTCTTACTTTAGCAAATTAATTGCGGCAAGTGAAAAGACAAAGTTTGCATCCATTCCAGCTTTAGTTGCAGACATCCTGTGTTTATTTATATGTTTAGCTTCCGACCACAGAATATTTCAGTGATGCATTTATGATATTCCACAGAAGTGGAATCTTTGGATTTGTGGCTTATTAGAAAATACATCTCACACAGAATGCCACGGCGTTCAGGAAAATGTCATCTCAACCATCTTGCAGATCTCACATGTTGATAACTTCCCGTCTTCATTATCAAATCCTTATCAATTTGTATTTTTAGAGCTCTTGTTAGACCATTGAGCAAACTGGCATGATGAGCCGGACTTCTTGGACTCCTGATAAGAATGGATGACACTTTCTTCAGAGGTCTTGTTATCAGATAAGAACTCTCTGAAAGCATATAAACCTATTACATGACAGGAATAAGATGATTTGACAATATTTCTGGGTACCAACGGGTTCAATTTATGTGAACTGAAAAATTCAGGAACATCTGTGTTTTGATAGACTCATCTCTGACACGTTTTGTCATAAAGTAGCCAGAGGCTTAGTCAACCTATACTGCTTGTGTGAACCTTCTGCTGATCCTCCTCCACAAATCAAGTTCTGATGATGCCGCCCAGCTTTTTCCATCATCAAATCACAACCTGGATGGCCTTGACTTGTCAGTCCTGAGACCCAATGAGCCAACAAGAAAAATAAATGAAGAAATACAAATCCTTACATTTGTCACTGGCCCTATCCTTTATGTTAAATGCAGAGTAGCCTCTTTCCAGTATTTGCTTTACTTTCTAACAGGCCAACTTCTTGCATTTCTGTTTTCAAAATGTAACTTAAGACAGTAAAAACCACAAAGATGATAAGCAGCTAATGCTGCTTGACATGTTCAATTTACGATATTAGCTGACATTTTAGTAAACCACAGATGTTAGTTTGTGTTCCTTGTTTTGAACAATTCTTTTTGCACTCTCTTCTGCCAGAAAGCGCAGATAAGGCTGCTAAAATGCAGTAACCACATGCTGCATGTCATTGATTCTGAGGAATCAGCGTCCATTTGCCTCACAGCCATGAATCACTGCCTACTAAGGTGAGAAATGTTTGTACTTGCCCTGTTCTGATGGCATTAAAAAAAAATGTTTATTTTGAATGAAACAATTATTGCAGGGAACCATGTGTTTATTCCAGGAAAGACAACAAATCCAGAACAAAAACATTTACTATCCCTATAAAAACAGCACATTGATGTGAGAAATAATGTAAAATGCATGGCTCATTTGGAAAGTTTGGACATATTAGTACTAAAACAACTCAATGGTAAAAATAAAAAGTTACAAAAAGAAACAAAAAAACAAAAAAAAAACATGCAATTTTCAAAGTTCAAAAGTAACACCCACTACCATAAACTTACAATTACAGTGAGTATGAAAAGCAGGAAAAATAGGTTCATGATTCAAAACCGTCGCTGTTTGTTATAGTCTCCGGGCCCGGGGAGGCCTCTGGGGAAGCCGCCCTGGCCTCCTCCGGGCATGTTGTTGTTTCCAGGCCCCGCCATCATGGGAGAGCTCTCTGCAGCCATGGCAGGCGTGCCGGCGGGACCCGAAGCGCCACCCAGAGAATTTCTGTTCATGGCCATCCCATGGCCACCCATGTGCATCCTCATATCTTGCTCTCTGTTTTCGGGGAAATTGCCCCTGAAGCCCTCCTGCTGCCTCTTCATCATTTCCTCGTTGCGCAACCTCAACTCCTCCTCTCTCCTCCTGCGTTCCTCCTCCTGCCGCAGCTCAGCCTGCTTCCTCTTCTGCACCTCCTGACTGTGGAGCTCCTCCATCCTCCGCAGCTCCTCCTGACGCCTGAGCAGGTCTTGTCTCATCAGCATCACCTGATGCTCATGTCTGGCTGCCTCCATCTCCGCCTCCAGCTTCTCCTGGGCCTCTTTCATGTTGCGGTCCACCATATCATACTGCTGCTTCTCCATCTCCATCAGGGCTTTCCAGCGCATGGCGTATTCGTACTCAAAGGAGCCAGGCTGGGCAAATCGTGGAGGCTGCTCACGCTCTTTATGATACTGCTGGTTTTTGTTGATTAACTTTTCTGACAGTCCCTCCTCTTCGTCAAACTGCTCCATGGGTTCCACTGTAATCGGCCGGGGGAAAGCTGTGAGGAGATAGGCACCTTCACTGCACTTATCCAAAGCCTTTCTTGCAGCCGGCTTTGACGTGAACTCCACGATTCCCTTGCCCGTCGGCCTCCCCCGGTCATCCACTATCACCACTGCTCTTTCTATCTGACCGAAGACAGCGAAAGCCTCTTCCAGGAGCTCGTTAGACACGAACTCTGGCAAATTCTTCACACTTAAAGCAGCCCCATGTGTTGCAAACCTGACCCGAACGGGCCTGCCTTTAAAAATAAAATCATCCAGCTCGGCTCTGGCAATCTCTGCAATGATTCTCGTCTCCAGACGGATGAATCCAAAACCTCTATCCTTATTGATAAATATCTCGCTTGCTTTACCATACTTGGCGAATAACTTCTCAAGCTCTTCTTCAGTCACTCCAGTCGGTAGGTTTCCAACGAAAAGCCTGCTCCGCTGGGTAAATGTTTTTTCTCCGGGCTTCCTAAAGCTCTGCAGGTCCAGTGTTAAGGCCGCATTGGGGTTGGTCTGTTCGCTGGACTCCGGCTGCTGCCCATTGCTGTTGCTTCCTTCGTTTTTGAAGTAGTCTCCCTGACGGTTGGGGCCATGGTTATGCTGAGGGCCTCTGCTTCCATGCATTTTTTTTCAAATAAGAGAATCGCGAATCGGCAATGTGTTCGTTAATAACAGCAAAATGTTAGCAGACAGTGGCGCACAAAGAGCTGCAAAAATGGCGACCCTACGTGCTGCCGCGACGCTATTGTGACCTCGATTCTGTGCGACATATGTATTTACATGAATGACGTCTTCTCTGTGCGACGGTATTTTACAAACAAACAAATAGCCCTGCTTGGGTTTGGGATTTTAAACATCTTATGCGCGAGTTCATTTTTTTTCTTTCACCTCTTTTATCAAACTAGACAATGTTTGTTGATTGTTTGACACACTGATTTCATAGAAAGCGGCTTTTACTCACGGTGTAGTGTCTCGCGAGAATACGCATTCACTTAAAAAGTGACGTTAGCGGGGTCTTTCGCGCGAATTGTTGCTCTCCTTTGCTCACACATGAGAGCACTATTTATGTTTAATGATTCAGCTTAGTAGCTCATTTTAATACGGATCAAGCATAAATCCAACCAACGTCGAAGGTACTGTCTTTACATATTTTCCAGTATCTTTATTATAGTAGTTGACAGGTGTTAGAAGTGCTCAGACAACTGACAGTAGCGCTAAGTATGTTGATTTTCTTTCGGTTAAGCTAATGTTTTAGAGGAGCATTGCGGTTAAAAATATACGTTTTAAGTGGTTACCTTTCTTGTGTTTTTCTTAAAGACAGTCATGTTCTCTGAAGTAAGTGCCCAGAAAGAGGGCTCGTCTCTGCTCTGCCGCCCAGACTCGGAGGACCAGGGGCCGGTGTTTGAGCGGATGTCTCAGGCCTACAGTCCCTGGTCCGAGCGCTACAGCGTTGGAGAACGGAGCTTCAGTCGCCAATATGCTCACATCTACGCAGCACGACTCATGCAGATGAGGCCCACTTTATCAGAGCGGGCCCAGAAGAAGTGGGGTAAGTTCAATACAGCCGTAGACACTGCTGCCTCTATTTCTAAATTAAGTGAGTTGTCTGACATTTGTTTCTTTTGCACCAGGACCAGATGTGATTATCAAGAAGCTGTGCGATCTAGAACCAGGGGAGCAGTGTTGCATAGTCGGGACTTTGTTCAAGCGCATGGAATTGCAGCCATCTATTTTGAAAGAGATTAGTGAAGAGGTTTGAGTTCACACTGGGCCCCGAAATATCAAACCAAATTAAATTAGCGGCTGTCAGGTTTATATTGTAAATAATCCTCTGCTTTGCACTGTCTTCAGCACAACCTCCTGCCCCAGCCTCCCCGAGCCAAATACATCAGCGAAGCAGATGAGCTGATTCTGGAGGATGAACTCCAGAGGATCAAACTGGAGGGCAAAGTTGATAGAAATAAATGTGTCACAGGTCAGAATTATTCCCTGATACCACATTGATTAAAAGAAGAGTCTTGAATGTGAAGATATTTCCACTTTTACTTTCTTAGGTAGTGTTATTGCAATTTATGGAGCTGAGAAGAATGATGGGAAGTTTACAGTTGAAGACTTTTGCACTGCAGATCTCCCTTTGCAGAGAGAGCGACCTGCTCTTAGCTCTGACAGGTAAAGTCCCTCATAAGATGCATAAATCCAAGCCACATGTGGTGTTCAACTACTTGATTAGTCAGTTTTCTTTCAGATTTGTGCTCCTGGCTTCGGGACTTGGTCTTGGCAGCAGTCATGCCGACAGCATGCTGGGGCTACAGCTGCTGGTTGACATGGTAACTGGTCAGCTTGGGGACATGGGTGAGCAAAGTGGAGCAGCAGCCATTTCGAGGGTATTGCTGGCTGGAAACCTTCTGAGCCAAAACACTCAGGACAAGGACGCCTCAACAAAGGTGGCAAAATCTCTATCTAAGTGGACCAGAAGTCCCTTACTCGTTTTTTATTTGATGAACTACCCTTACCCTTGAAAACAGATGTGTATTCTACCCTTTCTGTTGATTTTTTTCAGGCCAAGTATCTCACCAAGAAGACTCAGGCAGGAAGTGTGGAAGCCATCCGTTTGCTGGATGAGCTGCTGCTTCAGTTGGTGGTGAGCCTGCACTCTCCTTCATACACAAGCGGGCCTTGTTTTATCAATGGAAATGGCTCAATTTTTGATGATTATATTAAATTTGCAATTTTGTAATAGAGGCTTCAGTAAACATTTGCACATAGATTTCCTCACACTATTATCAACGTTATGATGACTAACAGTAAGATTTTTCAGTTTAGTTGTTATGATCAGATGGTTTGACAGTTTATCTAATGCTGAATGTTGATTCAAGGCCTCGCTCCCAGTGGACGTAATGCCAGGACAGTACGACCCCACCAACTACACCCTTCCACAACAGCCTCTCCACCGATGTATGTTCCCTTTGTCCTCCGTGTACCCCACACTACAGCTGGCGTCCAACCCGTATGAGGCCAGCATCGACGGAGTCAGGTCGGCACCAAACCTCGCTTTTCGTTTACTGTGTTCATGCAGCTATGTTTCTAATCGTAAATATCCTCTGCTGCCTGACAGGTTTTTAGGCACATCAGGGCAGAATGTCTGTGACATCCAGAGGTACAGCAGCATGGACAACCACCTAGAAATACTGGAGGAAACGCTGCGTCTCAGACACCTGGCCCCCACAGCGCCCGATACTCTCGGTGGGTTACATACAGTAACTCACCTCTGCTTGTGGATAAACATTAGGCTGCCAACTTTAATAAACCGTGCTGTTTATTTCAGGCTGCTACCCATTTTACCAAAAAGACCCTTTCATTTTGGAAGAGTGCCCCCATGTTTACTTCAGTGGTAATGCGCCAGCCTTTGGATCCAAGCTCATTGAAGGTCAGTGGGAGATTTTCTGGATGTGCACGTTGAGTCTTGGCAGATGTCACTGTGACGGTGTCAGAACATTTCTTTGTCTTCTCCTGCCAGGTCCCGATGGTCAGCAAGTCCTTTTGGTCACTATTCCAGAATTCTGCAGTACCCAAACAGCATGCCTGGTCAATCTGCGCACTCTTCAGTGTGAGCCTGTCTGCTTCTCGGCCTTCACAGCTCAGGAGGACGAGGAAAGCGAAATGAACGTCAGTCACTAACATTTGGACGATTCTGACCACAGACTATTCAGATCAACTCCAGTACAAGAATTATGACCCAACATTTCCTGTTACATGCTGTAGAGTATCATAGAGACCAATGCTAACGATGTGTTTGGTGTCAGCAAGAGGGAGAAAAAAAGCACCAGTAAAGAGTTTTTTGTGTATAAACTAGACTTTATTTGCAGCCAATTCTGTGCTTTAAGAAACAGTCCGTCCACTGGCTCTGTTCCCGGCTGTGGCCAGCTTTACACATGCAGCTACTGCTTGTATGGTGAAACATTTCTGCTAGGGGTGAACACCATCTGCCTGCTTTTTTTAACTTTTTTTTGTTATGTGCTTCCACAATAAACAGCTTTTCATGAAACGAGTGGCTTTAACAAAAAAGACTACATTGGACAGAAGTTGCACCCTGAACAGAAATTCCAACATTTAATCAAATCTATTTCTGTAAAACTGCATTTTTCCGAAGTGGGAAGCAACAGATACACTATTTTACCTCAGTTAAAATTCTGTATAATCTCACTGCTGTTGTCAAAGTCTGGATTCTCAGTTTGACTCCTTGACCAGCTCAGAGTACAAGATGGCGATGACAACCACAGTAAGGAGAGGGCAGGTGTTTAGTAAACAAGCCATGTGGGCTCGGTTAATAGTCATCGATTTTGTACTCGTAGTTATAATCCTGGATGGAGTCTGTGAACCCACCGGGTGTTGAGGATTGTCCCTCCCCTATAAGCCAGGAGTCGTACCAGAATGTGGTGGTCTCTGGTGTTGTGGGAATTGTGGTTGTTGTTGTCGGCGGTGATGTAGTTGTTGTCATCATTGATCTTAACCTCATTAATCTCAACCGCCGCAGGCGTCGATTACGAGCGAGCCTTTGCCTCCTCAGATACTGCGAGCTGACGGGGGATGTCGAGGAGTTTCCGTTTTTGTCGTAAAGAACGCGTCTTTGGCCGTTGGTGGCTTGGTTTTGCACTCTGTTGTTGCCGTAGGTGAGTCGAATGGGCTTGTTGCCGTGAAGGGCCATGATCTGCAAAGGAACCAAGACAGACAGGTTAGAGAACTGAACTCAGTCCTGTTTAAGGGTGGGTGGGGAGGTGGGGGGGGCAGTATTACCTGTTTAATGCGGTCCCAGTTGGACTTGGCTAAGTTGAAGCTGCAAGCGGTGGCACCTGATTCATAGCCCACCACACAGAGTTTAGTCACAGGGGAGAAGCCCTCAGCTCGAGCCGTTACCCGATACTCCCCCGGGTTCAAGAGCCGCCAGTAGTCCCCTGTTGGTGCTACGGTGACAAACAAGGAAAAGTGCTTAACAACACCAGAACTAAAACGGACGATTAATTTTTTTTTTTCCCAAAAGGGTACCAGTGTTGAGCAATGCGCAGACCTGTGGTGACGTCGTGGTTTATCCCCTCTACGGATATTGTGGCGTTGGCGATGGCATTGCCCTGCTGATCTTTCACAATGCCTCTGATGCCACGGTGCACCTGGAGAACAGGAAGACACCTGTCACACTCTGGCTTCTTCCCATCGTCCAAAAACATGCGTGTTGGGTTAATTGAATACCCTAAACTGCCCCTAGAACGGAGTGTGTGTTTTTCCCTTGGCTATGTGTGACCCTGTGATGGACTGGTGACCTGTGCAGGGTCAGCTGTGGACTTTAAGCTCCTTTGGGGAAGGAAAGGAGGGATATATCCTTTAGGGAGAGCAATTCTATGAAGTGCAGCTGAATTGTTGTTATGTTTAGACAGTATTCTCAGCTCCTGGCTCCTGGCTGACTGGCACACAGAATGGGTCACAGACCTGCTCCATGAAGGTGAGCATCGCCTCTCTGTTTTTCTCCCACTCGTGCGCCAGCTCGCTCCGATGAGGGAACTTGTCACAGCCCAAGAACACGGACAGCTCCAGGCAGTTGGTGTGCAGGTAGCTGAAGTCGTTCATGCCTGAGGAGATGAGAGACACGTCCCCCTCAGTGCCTGCAGCGCATGCGCCGCCCACCAGGGGGCGCCGGCGGCACGCGCGGGGAGCGGGAAGGCCGCGTACTGCCAGAGATGGGCTTCCACTTGGCCCGGTTGACGAGGCCGACGGCGCCGGGGGGCGTGCTCCCGTGGCAGGACCCGTGGAAGTTGTGCGTCATGGTCAGGTGCGTGGACGCGTAGGACACGGCCAGCCACCTGAAGAGGGACTCGTCCGGGGTCAGGCGGGGCTCGTCGTCGGGCTCGGCGTATTGGTAGCCGGCGCCCCTTCCTCTGTCCTCCTCCTCCTCCTCCTCCCTGCGGCCGTAGCCCTGGTTGTAGCCCGGGTCGTAGCCGTTGTCGTAACCCTGGTCGTAGCCGTGGCCCCGCCACTCCTCCTCGGGTTGGGCGTACCCCCGACTTCTCCAGTCCTCCTCCGGCTCCTCGTGGTAGCCCCGGCCCCACTCCGTCACGTCGTAACCTTCATCCTCATACCTGTGCGGACACATTTTAGTAGAACTCTTTAACAGAGACAGCTTTACTTTAGAGCAAATAAAGAGGCAATGCACCGGTGAAGCCGTACTGTCTCTTCCTGCGGCTGTGGGGGGGTTGGCTCTCCACAGGCTTGCTCAGGCGTAAGCTGTCATAAGGATAGGCCACAATTGACTCCCCGCCTTGGAAGTTAGCACCCAAGACAAAAGGATGGTTTTTCATCCAGGACATTATGGCCCTGGTTTCCAGAGCGATCTGGAGCAGAAACAGAGAGATAAAAAAGCAACAAAAACACAAGCCCTCTGTTATCAGTTCTTACACAACAGGCGTGTTTACGCAGTAACATATTCAACTACTCCGTTTTCTTAAAAACACTTGATAGGAGGAGAGGATGTGGTTTGGAGAAACTGGGATTGTTTTTGTTAACTGGTGACAGCAACCTTTTAAAAGAAATGTTATATCCTGAATATTTACAGTCAAGACAAACAATCCTCCTCTATTTACCGAGCTGTTGGACGCCATGTCCTCAGGTATGGGCACATGATGGTTGGGGGTGAGTTTGGGCACCAAGCCCTTATCCTCAGCCTCCCACAGGATGCTGTTCAGGTCAGGGAAATTCTGGAAGATGTCCAAACCATCCTCAGTGAAGTGTCCGGTAGTCCAGCTGCTGAGCTCAGACCCCTGCATGGGGGTGGGGAGAGGGTTGGGGTGTGGGGAAGGAGGGAGGAAAAAGGGTCAAACAACACACCAATCTAACTGTGATTCATTGGCATTTCCTTTAGTTTCTTTGCTTTCTTTTCCATGACAGACGATGGGGATCCTGGTATTTTTTTTCTCGACTCACCACTTCAAAAGCTCTCTCATGACCGTCAGGGTTTAGTGAGGGCACCAGGTGGATGCGCACCCCCTCCACCAGACGCCGGGCTCTGGGGTTTCTGTCTTTATACTCCTTACAGAAGTACTGCATGAGGAGCAGGATCATCTCCCTGCCCACTGCCTCATTCCCATGGAGACCTGCCGTGAAGCGAAACTCTGGCTCACCTGAGGAGACAACCGGGGCAGGAGGGGGTATGATTATCTGTCAGCCACCTGGTGTTTATTAGGATTTACTGGCGGACATTTGAAGAACAATAACTGTTTTGGCCTTCACCTTAGAAGCATGTCTGCTTTTGGATAATACATAATGAGATCTGGTGCAGTGTATGTTTTGGAGTTGTGTTCCCACCTATCTCGTGCTCTGTGGGGTTGCCAGAGATGACCATGGCCATGATTTCCAGTCCCTTGGTGCTGCGGCCCAGGCTGTAGATACTGGTGATGTTTGGGCACTCCTCATTCACTGACTTCATAAGCTGAACAAAGGAGTTCAAAGCACCTTATATAATCACATTAGATAGTATGTGGCTGCCAGTTAGTGTTAGGCATGTTGTCCTCTTAGTAACTGACTTAAGAAGAACGCACTCAGTTCCTTCATTATTTTGGAAGAGACAAAATCATTATTCCTTTTCCTTTGGGACATTGGTGTGCCGGGAACATGGCCGGAATGTTCAGGAATACTCACGGCAACCATCTCTGAGTAGCTGTGGTGTTTGAACTTTAAGTAATCCACGGGAGTCACTTCATTTTGTCTGTACAGGCCGTCACTTGGATCTGGGTAGAAGGAGGGATTTAGAAGGTATCTCTCTCATTGTGTGATTTATTGGAAATTTGGGTCTAGAGGCTCACCGGGTAGGGGACACCCCAGGACCTCCAGCCTCATACACAGAGAGCCATTCCAGCTCTGAGGGATTATCCGGATGTAACGGGCCAGCACAGGCTCTGCAAGCTGGTTCATCACCGGAGTGTCCTTATCACTGTTTCCAAAAAACAGCTGGACGGGAGCGGAAAAGGAATTAGGGAAATGGGTGGGAAAGGTGCAGGGTGCTTAAGGAAAAAGCCACCATTATAGGTGAACTCACCCAGTCGGCATACCCATCGTGAATGGTGGTCCATTCCCTGGAGTCATTGCTAAATGCAAGGAAGTAGGACGTCACAAAGTCACTCCTGAAACGAAACCACATGAGGGCATGGTGTTGAGTGGAGCAGTGGAGATGGCAGCGCATTCATGTCTGTGTGTGACGGTTCTTTACTCATTCAAAGAGTCTCGTCCCTGAGTTATGACCCCTGTGAACTCCGTCTCTCTGCGAGCATCTATCTCAAACCAGTGGATGCTGTCCTCTGCGTTTGCGCACCAGGCTCCCCCTCTCATGTTGTCCTCATCGTCGGAGCCCTGGGAACCACAGAGACCATGACACAGCCTGCTGAAAAAGTTTGGCTCTTTGAGCATTTCAAACGTCTATCTGCTGATTTAATGACTTGGCCGCTGAAAAGATTCTCCATTGGCTGTTTTAAAGTGTCGTGCGGTGATTGTTGAGTACCTGCATGTTGAGTCGCGCCCTCTGTGGGGCAAAGCTGTACTGAGACATAGAAGAGGCCGTCAGCTGGTCAGACTCAACCTTATGGGACTCCATGCCCAGAGGAGGACACTCTGCCACGTGCAAGCACAGACCATGACACATGAATTAATATCTCAACAATGTTTCTGTATGTTTTTCCAAATCTGAACAGATACTGACTCACTCTTTGGCTCTTTGAAGACACGTGGTCTGTTCCTGGCACGCTCCTCTGCCTCTTTCAGCCTCTGCGCTCTTTCTGTGAGAATCGGGGTCCATAAAACATCATTAATATAAAAATGAATGACTCCGCCTCAATTAAACAAAATGTCTCTGTTCTGGGCAGAGAAACAGTCTTTGTAAAGAGTTTTTTTTAATTGTCTTTGTAAATTTGACTTGCTATGTATCCCCAGGAGGATGTGGTGGGCTGGAGTTCAGTGGGGGGAAAAAAAGAAAACAGATGTTGTGATCTGTCTCCCACAACCCTTAACACATTCATTCCTGGAGAATGTATGGAAAAGTGTGACTGGCACTACAGGTTTGCTTTGTTGGAATTCACATCTTCTTGATTCCTGAGAAATGAAAATAGTCCTACCAATCCCACATCCTCATTTAGACGCAGCACTGCTTGCAGTTTATTGCTGACTTGGCGACTACCAGAAGCGCAAAATCCAACAGCACATGTGTGCACGTGCATCCAATAACACACATAAAAGCTCATTTCCAACTTAGTACATCAGTAATACAGAAAATCTTATGTGAACTATACAATAGCCATTATGCTTCAAGTTCAGTAAAAGAAAATAAATCTTAATTTTAAACCCAAATTTCTGCAAGCAGGAAGTCCCCTTTGACTTTTTTCCTGACAGGGCCATTAATCACTCACTCCATGGTTTTCTCCTCATTCACAAGCCAACACGTGGCAAAAGAGACGGAGTCAGATGAGCGTTCAGAATTTCAATTTGACTACACAATACATCACTCCCTGCCTAAGAGCTCTCCCATGCTCTGTCTCAGGCAATCTCGTTACTTTACTTCTAGCTCGCATGAGGTCTGTGAACTGACAACACGCCTAATCTCCATTTTGTTTTGAAGGGATAAACTTTAGTCCCTTTCATGCGAGTCAAAACCAGAGCCACAGTTCCGCATGTTTGATAAATAACATCTGTATTCTCTTATCTCAGAAATGTGACTGGGCGCTTTAGAGGGCTGTGCTGGACTCTGTTAGTGCCTCTGCTCTCAGGTCACCGGCCCTTTTCGTAGCTTTGGCAGCTACAAACAGTTTGACAAAAGTTTGCAGAAAGATATGTGAGAAAAGAAAAAGTCCACATCTGGGTCCTTTTACCTCTTTCTTCCCTTTCTCGAACTTTCTTGGCTCTTTCTATTTCTTTTTCTATCCATTTTTCATCAGTCTCATCCTCTTTTCTCCCTGGAACAAACAAAGAAAATCAGAAAACGTATATACACATTCATATGTATCAACACTGTATTTCATAAAATCATCAGGTCAAATAGGATTATGTATTAATCCAGGGAGTTATTGATCTGAATGTTGTGTAAGCAATGGGCTATCAATGTTAAAGGGAAGTGCTTTAACTGATGGACATAACAGATAAAATTTGGGTTGGACCTATTGGTGAGTGTGCACTTACTCATTCCATTTTCGTCATAATCATCATACCAGTTGCTGTCAAAGGGAGCAACAGTTGTGGGTTCCTCTAAGTAACAAAAAGAAAACAACAGGCAAACACAAGATGAGACACTATTTTCCTCCCCAGAGAGGCACGGCCACATATAAAGTTAGATTTTATTAGATAGAGTAGTTTAATCTTCAATTTTACAGGTTTGCCCCGCCTTGATTTGTCCAGCCACAAGAATAGCTCTGTGTCTGTGATGCCTGCCGTCTGACTTAGCGTTTAAACCTTTAATTTGTATTTACAAGGATAATAACCAAGTCTGGATTTGATGACAGGGCTTCTTTTTTACTCCATAACATAACCATAGAAAGTTTTGTTGACTAAGAGGAAGCAAGCAAACCCACCCTCTCCAGCCTAAAAAGTAGGGCAGGTCTGTTTAAAACGCTCCATAAAGCCATTCGCAGTGTGATGCATTCATTACTCATGCAGAGCACAGACAGAATGGATATTTCATATGCGACTCAACTTTTACTAGAAATGTCTTACCAATCAAGTCCCTGACAGGAATTTTGCCATATGCATGCAAATGTAATTTCTACCACGTTTAGAACAAACTGCTGGCACCTGGTAGAGTTTCCACTACGATTTCGGGGCTGACCTCTTTACTGTCGGGAGACTGATTGTCTGACTTGTCGACTGCGGGAGGGAACAACAGAGCATAGTGAGAAGTTCAAAAGTCCAAACAGAAATGTTATTTACACTTGAACAAAATAAAGGAAGAGGGGTGAAAAAAAGGCCTGCACAAATGAAGTAGTGGAACATATTAGAGATACAGAGCAGAATAACGAAACAGAGCCATTACAGCATGTTAGTTCTGTCCAGAGGAGTGTCAAAATGTCACAGGAGAAGAATTTTACTAAAAGGCTCCTTTAGTTGTGCAGATTTGAGATGTTTGCGAAAACAAACATGTCAACTTTGGTGGTGGTTCAAGCATCTGAGATGAGTCACGTTGTCTTGAAAATCAGAAAAACTGTTGCCGTAAACCTGACGGAGTCAGTTCAAGCAATTTTTACAGTTTGTGGGTTTGTTCCTGGAAACACCTTATTGTAGCTATTACAGTGACAGTTTCCCTCTTTATAAATACATTTTCTATCTATATAGTACCGATGTGGGATGTGGACATTGCTGATAGATTTATGCTTAAATGTGTTATTATTTTCCAACTGTTTGAGAAAACTGTTGGATATATATATATATATATATTTCAGTGTGTTCACAACAAATTGATGCTTTTATGGGTTTGATTGCTCTCATGGTGACAACACAGATGCATGTTGGTGTACTGTGCATACTATAAATGAAAAGCAGAATGTACTGATTTCATGTGTAAATTTGACTATTTTATGACAGTTCTTAAACACCTCTTAAGTTCATTATAAATTAGGTTTTGCCCAAAGAAGATAAGTGTTTACAGAATGGAACTATATGTTTTTTTCCTTTGCCTAATGAAGCTTTAACCCGCATTTGTGGACGGCGCTGTGAATGGTTTCAGCTATGACGGACAAATATAAAAAAACATTCCTGAATCCTTCCTCTACATACATTTTAAACCCCCTGCAAAGTCAAAAGAGACAGAAAGTTGAAACATACTGGTGGCATCCCAGTAGTCACTGTCATCTGGTCCAGCAACACCAGGGCCTGCAGGGGTCGCCTCCAACTCCGTCCAGTAGCCGTCGTAGTTGTCCGTCACAGCAGGGTACGGTTCTTTCTCGTCTTCTTTCCAGAAGTCGTCGTAGATGTCCGGTGCTGACGTAGACGGCGCTACCTCTTGTTGGTCCCAGTAGTTATCGTACGTGTCTGTCACGGGAGCGGCCGGCCCCAAGTAATCGTAGGGAGGATCTGTGACCTGGGCAGGAGGCTGAGGCCTCTGGCTGGGATCAGGACCAGGATCAGGACCCCAGTAGTCATCATCAGGCTGCCAGTAAGCATCGTCTAACAGAAAAACAGTTATAAGAGTTGCGTTCTGTAAGTTTGTCTAACTAATGAGTCTACCTGTCACAGATTTCTTTAGTTTTTCATGTTTACTTTGGTACAGCGTAACCTGCAGGTAATAAATCATGTTCCTATTCATATTAAAAGAGGCACATTTATCCTTTCAGACATGATTTTTCCTCTATAATATTACAGGCTTCAGGGTGGAGCCACTATTTCTTAATCAGCTGCTCAATTTTTGTGGTCTTAGAATAAATCTTAATGTTAATGTTCTCTGGAAGAAAAAACAATGTGTTGAATTTGATACTGATCAGACAAATAGAGCTGAGGTTTGTTCCACAGTTTTTTAGTGCACCGTAAAACAGTTTGTTTACCGTCTTAAATAAAGCAACAAAAAAAAGTTACTCACCAGGATCAGGGTAGTCTGTGTATGGCTGAGGTTCTGTGGGGGGTTCCGTTGGGATTGCTGAACACATTAGACAGAAAGCTGGTCAGCAACACTCATTCAAGTTTAAAGGTTTCAAGCACAAACGTGGCCTCTGTGTCCTGTTCTCACCTGTTGTGGTTGGTGGGAGAGTTGTGGTTGTGGTCTGCTTGTCCTTCTTCTTTCCCTTCTTTTCACTTTTAGGCTTTTTGGTGGCGTTTGGGTCTTTTGGCTCTTTGTTTTTCTTTTTGTCCTTTTTCTTCTTTTTGCCTTCATCTGGTGCTCTCCTCACTCGGCCCAGAATGCCTGGAGGGGGAAAAGGGAAGGAGGGGATGAATTTTACAATTTGTATGTGGTAAAAAAAAATCAAACGATTATTTTGCTGAATTACATGTCAATGCTCTTCCGATGTTACCAAGGCATTTGTTTTCTCTAACGTGCAGAATAGCACCTGGTATCCAGATACCAAACAGCCATCTGACCAGAAAAGTTTCACAATGAAACTGGTTGAAATTCCGGATTCTGGCACGTAGAGTCCAGGCTGCCAAATAAATTTCCGTGGCTTCATGAGCTCCGGCAATATTTCCCTTTCAGGCTTTAAGTCCTTAAGCGCTTTAATGGAAAACACTGCTCGCTTTTTCCAGTAGTAGTGCTCCATTATCTCAGCTTCAATGACACAGAGCTGTCATGACACTCCATAAACACCCTGACTTCAACACCATTAGTGAGTCAGTAGAAATAAACTTTACAGTATTTGTTCATTGATTTTAGCTTAGGAAAGGAAACTCCCCAACACACAACACATCCCTCCTATTCTATGAACACACAAGATTCAGCATCAGGCGTGCAAACGTTCAGGAGCTGAGGCTGTGGATAAAAGCTGAGTCTCATAAAAATGTGTCCGTAAGATGTCCCCATTGTTTGTTTTTTACTTAATATCAGAATCTGCTGCATTTGTTTCTTCACTGCTGTCAGGATGCAGAAAACAGGTAAAGACCTGGACATCCACTGACATATTGGATCTTCCAGACTGAATGCCTGTGGGTTTTTTTTCTCTCTAAGCAGCAGAATTACTTTGAGTGTACAACAGTATATTTTCTGTCACATTTCTACAGGTTTCAATTAAGAAAAACATTCAATTCTCTCCACTTACCTGTCTGCACAGCCACTTCTGTGTCTCTTTTGGCCTTGGTGTGGCTTCCCAGTGGGTGGGGGTCCACCTTAACTTCTTGCAGACTTTCTGGGTCATCCAGGGACTCATCCTGCAGCCGCTCCTCTGCCTGTTTCAGTCCTTCAGTCTGCTGGAGAGAAGCTATTCCCCCGGCACTCCAGCCTCCTTTGGGGATCAGCAGGCAGCAGAGGGCCAGCAGAGCCACAGACACACTCACAGCGTGGCTTTTCATACCTGCTGCTCTTCCAGCTGCCAAAGTCCTTTGGTTTGCTGTTTGTGCCTCTCTCTCTCTCTCTCTCAGATTCCCAGAGATCGCTCCAGTTTTATCATCCAGAGGATTTGGATTACACCCTCTATTCCCGTTCTCTTTTTCTATGTGGTTCACACTTTTACTCCAGCAGGGAAGTCTCCTCAGCTCCACACGTACCCACAGACACAGTGTCAACCGAGCTCAGACGGGGCCAGACAGCAATGGACGTGGGAGGGGGGAGGGGGAGGCACGGAGGGAGGGGAGGTGGGTCGAGGAGACAGACAGAGGAAAGATTCAAAGCAGCAATCCCTTCAAATGAGTAGACAGGGTCCGTAATTGCCCTGCAGCTGTGGTCAGCTGAAAAAACAGTGTGAGGCCAGAGGATCCCCTTCACCTGGCAGACAAGTCACAACAGGTGCAGGGACAGTAGATGGCGGCGGGGGGGAGGAGGATGAGGGAGGGCGGGCAGGTCTGCACCTCCTCGACTAAAGCAGAAGGCAGCGTCTTTTCGTCCGCAGCCTATGCTGAATTCCTCAGCTCAGAGCTTTTTTCCTCTGCAGAGTCACCAGAGAGCCGAACAGCGGGAGAGAAGATCGACTCCTTGGACACCAGATTCCACAAGCAGAGGAGGAGGAGAAAAAAGGGGAGAGGGGAAGGGGGAGGATAGAGGTTTTAACATGAAAGTTAACTAAATCAAACACGTCTAATCAGCAGAGAGTGGGATTCGGCCAAATGAAAACAGGCAGTGTTAGAATTGACATTCCTCTTCAGTCCAGGACTTGCTTTAGTTGGATCTTCCTCTGCAGAGCTTTTTCATTCATTCTTCTGGGTATTCTGTCGTTCACTCTCTCATTTCTGGAGAAAAGGTTAGACGAGGGAGCCACAGAGGAGTGCACACACAGGATGGGAGAATTGTTTGAGCAGATGACAGAATTATAACCTTTTAAAGATCTGGTGTTTTCTTTGCCATCCCCCTGTCTGCCTCCTTTTTCTCCTGCTGGAGAATTTGTCAGGGCCCTAAAATGCGGGCTGTTTGCCACCAGACTACCGTCCCCTTTTTCTATAAACTTGAAGCTTTGGAAACTTCACAAAGTTTGTGAGTCATCTAAAAGTTTGCTCCAACAGTTTCATATTTTATTCAAAAGATCCAAACATGAAAACAAGAGCTCAGTGTCTGCACAAAACACCCATTTTGTATTGAGAAAGTGAAGATAGATCTAGTACTGAATGAAAGCAACACACTCAAAGTGAGTTGGGATAATGTCTATTGTGCCATCTCACTCATTCCTGCCAGCTACATTTTTTAATAGGTTTGGAACTGAGAACATCTTCGGTGACAGTTTTGCAGAAGAAAACAGCTCAGCTTGTCTGATTCTCTGATGATGATTCTCATCCATTTTCAGTGGGAGACAGATCTTGGTTACAGGTAAGACATGCAGGCACACACACACACACACCATGTGTCGATAGACCCAAGTTATTGTAAGAGATGATCTTGTCCATTTAAGTTTCTACATCAGTCTCTACATGAAAAGTTGATGACATAGAATCAGATCCCTCCATCCCATACATTCACAGAAGACTGCTTTTACACATTTAGCTATTAAAATCTAAATATCTTTTTCTCATCTTTTTAACACAGAAAAACATCAGAAACGTTACCACAGAACACGGGTCCACCATCTTTCGGTCTATCTCAGATGAGTTTGTGCCCAGGAGACACATTCTTTCTATTACAGGGGTTATACGTCTCCTCCAAGCATAATATAGTATCGCTTTACATCTGTACATGCAGCAGTAGAACATGTTGTGTGGCAAAAAAACAGAAGTCCGGCTTTTCTGTACTGAGTTTTCTCTAAACTTCAACAATATTATGCAGCGTAATTGTTGAAAGGCCACAGTTGTTTTCCATCAATAATTTATTTTGTTTATATCGATAATGTATTTTCAAATTGAAGAAGCAGAGTGCTGCGAATCTCCTTTCCTCTTTTCCTTTCTGAAAATACTAAGTCTGGTGGACGATAAATTCTTACCTTATAATGACACCCAACCAACTAATCTGCTAGTTGTAGAATTCTGTCCGTGCAGCTGCTTTCTTTACACAGTGATGTTGGTCTATTAGTACATTGAAGGTGTTATCTTGAAGTCTTTTGATTGAAGGTTCAAATTAATTATCAATTAAAGAGTTGGGTTTCTGATGGCACATAGAAAATAGACAATTTTGCCCTTGAGTGTGTAGTTAAGGGAAATCTCTGGAACCCTCTTACAAACTTTTTGAATGGGAAACACATTTCTTTTTTAAATGTCAGAGAGGTATAATTTTCCTATAAAACATAAAAACCTTTTTGTGCTTTATCCCATTAATTCTATAAACATTCATAAACATTATAGTCAAGTGTTCCTTTACCCTACTTATCATAACCCCACTTATAAAATGAGAATATGAACCTCTCAACATCCTTCAGAGAAAACAAGATATACCCAAACTCCTCCAGGAGAGGAGGTTTATCACTGGGAGACATGCTGATGTTGTCATAAAGCGGTGTAATCATAACACTGTACAGCCCACTGACACTTAATCAACTCTGCTCAGGCAGAGTCAAAATTTGGAAGGATTTGAAACTGGAACAGACAAGCGCACAAAAACACCAGGAGTATATAAACCTGCAAAACTAATTTGGTCAGATGTAAAGTGATACTATATTACGCTTGGATACCACTCCTTTGCTTGAAAGAATGTGGAGTCTCCTGGGCATCTGAGCTCATCTGAGATAGACAGAGAGATGGTGGCATCCAGCCCATCAAAAAAAGAATAGACTGTGGAGGATTTGTTGTAAAGAACACTATCAATTTGAGCAATCATAACTGGAGGATATGACTACTGCTGTGAAGAATGCAGCCGACAGCTACAGGACTACAGAGAGGTCAAGGGGAGGTCTTTTTCTGCTGGCAGGGAAACAGACGCATAGTGGGGAGATCTGGGAAACTGTTTTTTTTTTTTATATTAATACAATTATTGTCATCATACTTCTTATTAGTCTTCCCAAAGATATTTGACAATCACAACAAAAACACACGACAAACTGACGTTGGTGAGTTCCTAATAAGAAAAGTGCTGAATGTTCTGACGTTAAAAAACTGTAAAAGACTTTATACTGCAAGCAGATGAAGATGGACAACTCTGACCTACTTTAGTTTAACTTAAGGTCCTCTGTTTTTCAAATTGCACATGTGTTTGTCCACATTTGGAGGAAGGGCAGCAGTTACTTGATCACTTTCTATGCAAACACTCTTTTTTGGCTACTAGAATATGTTTGAATATTTGTCACTGATTAAACGATCACTCAGGTAAAGCTGAGCTCATCTAAGATAGGGAATAGTCAGTATTTGCAAAATTGCTGCAACAAAAAAAGGCTTTTACCACTACCACTACCTACCTTTTATTCATATTCTTTACATTTTACTGTCACTCATATTTCATTGTGCTGTCCAAGCACTTATACCTCTGTCGAAAAAGAAGTTAAATTGTGCACAAATTGACTTATGATGTGGTCAAAAGTTTTCCTGTACCAAAGAGGTCAAATGATCACAATACATTATTTTTTTGTACGGGTAAATCACTCATAGTCACAAAGATAAGCTGGACAGTGGCCACAAGCAAAATAAACACATATAAATCACACAACCTGTTCGTACAGGCAGGACTCACAAATATCTTCATCAGATCCGTAGACAATTCAGCCAAAATAACTAAACTTTATGGACATAGGCGTTAATGGAAGTGGCATTACGCTTACACGTGGATAGAAATTCCTATATGTCAGCATAAGCAGAGCAGCATATTCAGTGCACACAGCCTTGGGCCGAGTGTCAGGAGCTGTTGGGCAGGAAACAATGACATCAGAGAAAAAAAAGCAGAGCTGAGGGGGAGGGATGTCAGGAAAAAAAAGTGAGAGAAAAACGTTGCAATCCAGAAGGCTCACTAGGTACAAATGGAAGCAGATTATACAACACCATCTTGCTCTGTTCTCAGTCTTCTCAAAAGGCCCCAACACTCCAGATGGATATCTGATACAGGACCCATGTCTGTGCTCCACATTATTAACCCTTTTAAGTGCTCCTGAGTGATACAATTTGAAAAATGCATTTAGAGTCTACTCCACTTTGAGATCACCACACTTGGGATTGAATAAACGCTTTTGCACAAGGTATCATAAGCGGGTATAGAAAAAAAAACACACGACTTATGAAACTGGGATCTGACTCATATTAGTGATTGAAAGAAGAGAATTGGCTAAACAAGTTTTCCATTCCATGTGTGCTGTGATTCAGCAGGTCCACCACATCCCACTCATCTGGCTGCGGGACTGGAGCCACGAGTCTCATTGAGCGCAGATGTAGGGACCATGAAACGTCAGGATACTCTCACAAGTACACAGACCTTTCTGACTCATTACCAAAACTTCCTTTGACTGATTGGTTTTAAATATCTGAAGTGGGACGGATCACAACTTGGCAGCAAAGTGACAGAGAATCAGCAAAGTCATCGTAGTAGTCCTGAAAAGGTGAAAGGCCTCAGGCTCCCAGAGAGAGTAGCAGACAGCCTGCAAGGACTGCTGATAGTAGTATTGATAAGGTGCCAGAAGGACCAATGAGGTTTAATACATACATACATATATATATATATATAAATAAATAAATAAATAACTAATATATATATATATAGATATATATATATAGATAAAATGTCTTTTTGTAGATTCTTTATGCAAGTTAAATCTGCTAAACTTTCACACCATGTGGAATGAAATCACAAAGATATAGTCAAAGTCTGCCACCTTGTGGCTGAAAACAGAAGCGCACAAGACAAGCTAAAAATCTCCCCCATCCTTGTTCCTACTTCCCATTTATTTGAACATCTCAGGTGAGAGGAGGATTTAACATATAATGTGTGTTTAAAGAGTGGCACGTGTAAATATTTCCTGTTACATTTTAGAGCATTAATGTAAAAGAAAGCAGAGGATTGTCAAAATATAAAAGCTGTTTTTATCTTTACACTTTTACTCTCTTGAAAAATATCCTCCAGCTTTAGATAGATGGCTCAGCTGATGCAGACATGAGAGGAAAACACTGCTGGCAGAAAGCTATTGGTGCATCGAATAGAGAAATGTATATTTTACGTTTACATTTATGTACGAGATGCAGCACAAGATTTAATACAAAGCATGGAGATCACCGAATTAACAGGGAGACATACAGCTTTTAAACAGCATTTATTTAGCTTTCTCCATACAATACATTTAATGTATAACAGCACATACTGTATTCTGAAATAACTCTGTATAAAATAGGGCTTCTACAATCAAGGTACAGTCATAAAATGCTCTGAGGGACGTGACAACGGCGACAGTAAAACACCTTTATTTAAAGCGCAGGATATTGAGAGAAGTGATTGTATTTGCCGAGCTGCTGTAAGAAGCAGAGGTTCAGGCCACCGCTCTCAGAGCATCTGACATCCCACAAGAACCCGTTTATCTTACTTTTTTTTTCTCCTTTCTTTCTTGGTTCTGGTTTCTCAACTGAAGAACCTCAAAAGATGGTAAAAGCATAAACAATATAATCTATCAAACAAAACTTTTGGTAACGTGAGAATAAATCAGGCCTTTTTTGGATACTGAATATATATATCAAGGTGAGAGCATAAACAGCATCATGACTGCTAGTCAAGCCTATTTCTTTACAATCATACGTTAAACTGTTTGCGACTGCCGTTGTCAGGACAGGACTGGCTCTCTGTGTTTTCCAGACATCAAACACTTAATCACAGCAAGGGTATACTGTACTATCACTGAAGCCACAAGAAAACCAGCTTTTTTTTCCACATGGTAAACATCAGCCAATTAAAGTCGTTTTCCAAAGGAGTGAGGGGACCTATAAAGTGTCAGTAAGTAAACTACACATAACATTGAGCAGCTTCTTTGTTAGTCTGCTATATGTCAAGCTTGGGTGAATAACCATCATGGACACGTGTCAAATTGTTGTGAGAGAAGGCCTAGGTATGAAGAAAAGTAAAGAGTCTGACTCAGAGGCCAAACAAACATCAGGAGAGAGAGAGAGATAGAGAGAGAGAGAGAGAGAGAAAAGAGATTTGTCTCAAGTCTTGAGGTAAGCAATGTATTTCAGTATAATGCCCTACAGACAATCATACAATTACAATCATTATTTCTCTATATACAAACTTCCTGATTTACATACACTGTACTGCTTCTCAGTTTAAAATGTAGTAAAACTAAATATGAGATTATATCAATGGTGCAATAATTCTTAAGCGAGGGAGATCTGACTTCACAAAGCCTGTTTTATGATTTAATGACGATTAAAATATGGCTATTGAAGATGGCCTGTTTCCTCTAGCATACGTCACACATACTTCAAATATCTACAACAGTGCAAATTGTCCTGATCGATCAAAACAAAAAAAGAAACAAAAAAAAGAAAGAAAAACTCTGGCAAAATTGGTATGACCAAGTCAGCTCATTCTTGAAGCTATGTTTGTGGAGAACAAGTGACCCATGCCCTCCATGCCAGTGTGCTGAACAGCTCCTGCAGGCCGGCATGTTTTGTGGGTAGTGTTATCTCTGCATGCTGCGGTACATGGATGCAGGGAGGCTACCGTGGCACGATGGCTCAAATGAAAGAGAAAAACAGGAAGAGAATAAACCAGCGCTCTACCCCCACATGGTTCCACTGGATGCAGGCACCAAATCTATCATCACGCCTTAGAGGACAAGTCGGAGCTCAATACCGGCTCAAGCTGTTCTTTTCCACACACACGCTGTGCCACCTAAACACAGGTGTGTACTCAACGAGGCCTAAGAAAACGATGAAATGCATGTGCTATAGTAGTAACGGTTTGCACACTCATCAACACTACATACTGTAACCGAGACGTGACATCAACAAGCTTTACGAGGAGGAAGCGGCTATAGGATGCTACAGTACTAGTGCTACCTGAACATGCTACAGATTGAGGCGACAACGATGGGAGACGCTTTCACGTGAGCACAGGGAAACAATCCAGCTTTGCTAAGGAGTTTTGGTCCGTTTCAGTCTGCAGAGCCGCTGCCTCCACCTTATTAAAGACAAAAATGAAAATACACAAAGCTTTCCTTTTTACCATAAATATTTTTCTTGTACCATTTCCGGATTAAAGTACCATCTCTGCAGCTCGGTGGATCAACTACTTAGGAAAGCTGGCTTACGAGGTGCAGGCGGAAAGCATCCCATCTGTGGTCGGTTCCTGTCATATGACTCACAGACATACAACACATTCGCTTGCACGAGTGCACAAACCCTGAAGTTAAGAACGACTTCTATCATCACACAGCACTAGTGTTTTGATTATCATAGAGAAAGAGCTAGAATTGCATACTGTACCACACATCTCCGAGGAGAGGCACCCTTCATCCTTCATTAGAATCAGCTCACTCGTTTCCCATAAACAAACACACACCTACAAGCCAACACACACGCACACACACACAAAAATGTTTAACGGTTAAAGAAAAGAAAAAGACGAAGAAATAATTACAATCACATGCTTTATAACGGAATGTTGAGAAAGCTCATAGCAGACCTTTGGCTTCAGCTGGACCCAACCAAAGCACACTTTTTCTATTATGAAACATCTCCTTTGCTTTAGTTGCAACAAGCTGAGAACCTGGATACTTACAACGGAATTAAAGAATGTTAAAAATCCTTCCCAGTCACCAAGCCAACAGTCTGACAACAAAAAAAAAAAGTTTCTTTTACACATTAAAAAAAATTTAACAGGTCTTTCTCCACAATTTTGGGATTTCTGGACCTTAACTATCTGACCCATGAATACAGACCTGTTGTTCTGTCTTTTTTCTCCACACACCTGGACTAAACATCCAGCTGTGGGGGTTATCCATCCCTCGTTTACTCTCTATAGAGCAGCAAGCTGCATCCAAAACCTATTGCATATTTCTGAGGTTTACATCTACCTCTACTTCCTGCCAGAATCAATCTGTAAAGCCTGTCTGGATTTTCACCACACCGAGTAAAAACTCTTATTTACTATCGCTCCAATAGCCAGAAAGTTACTCAACAATATCTTATATAATGATGCTCTTCCGAGGCATTGTTGGGGACAGAGCATCATCTTGGAGCAAGTGCTTAAGAAAAAGAAGAAAAAAAAAAGAAAACAGCTCTTTTTCATATTTAACTCTCTGCAATGCTGACATATTGTGACAGAGATCCAGTGAGCACAAATGTGAACAAGCTGGACTTCTAGACAGGCAGAGTTTGACAACGAGAATTTGGCAGCTATTGATTTGGCTACTATCTACACAGAAAAGTGCAAATATTCACTGCCTTTTCGTTTTTTTGACATCTTCAAACCATTTCATGTGTCTGTTTTTAAAAAAAAAAAAACATTGGAAGAGAAATCTAATATAACTGAAATATATCCAAGCTTAATCTGATCAAAGTGCAGCACCCCAGCGGAGGGAGTAGAGTTTGAATAGGTTCATGTAGCGGGCCCCAGATCAAGGACTTGTGGCCTGTTCTTCTAGCTCTGAGAAAGCCATTCGCTCTTACAGTAATAGATACGCTCACAGACAGGAAAGCTCTTACATACCCTCGCACACAAACACACGCGCACACACACACTTGCACACAAAGTCTAGCTTAGATGAGCCTGGCCTCTCCCTCCATGTCTGGCAGGATATCACACACTCCTGTGAAGTGCATCTCCTTTGCCTTGCTTCCCTGTCCCATGCTGGCTCTGGCCCCTCTGTCCCCCAAGCTGGGCGAGGGCTGCTGGGCCTGAGGGTCTGGCGATGTCCCACGGGGGATTCCACCTGCCCGCCTCTCTTTCAGGAAGACCTCTAGTCGGCGCAGCATCTGCTTTGGGTTCTTTTTGGCAAACAGCTCCACTTCTGTGGGTTAGAAAACGGCAAATGTGGGACACACGCAGAGTTCACAGCCTGTGCTTGTTCTGCTGCATGTACGTGTGATACACAGGCTTGTGTTTAAAAAGGAAGAGCTCATTTTCTAATACACACACATTAAAATATAGCCTAAGGAATGGGATGATAGTTTAAAGTAACTGAACCAATAAGCAGCTTTTAATATTTCATTTCTAGACTTCTTTCAGAGCTGCACCACACACTCAATACTGATTTAAGTCAGATTTCAGAATGTTAAGTGCTTGCCAACAGCAGTTTCTTTACCTTTAAGTACAAAGCCAGAGTCAGCAATGGTCTTCTGTTGGGTCTTCCACAGTTGGAACAGGTGCAGGTATGTGGCAACATAAAATTCGTTGAGCACACCCACCACCTGCTGACGACGATTGCACTCCCTGTCAGGGACAGAGAAAAGTACACAGATACTCACCGGCAAAAACCAAACAAGCAAGGCTCATACATACTTCAGACACAAAAAAGGGAACAAATAAAAAGGAGGTGTAACTCACTTGGAGAGCGCCTCCTCCCTAAGCACTTGCAGAGCAATGCGGGTCATGTTGATTGACATCACACTGAATGGAAAGTTCTAAACCAGACAGAAAATACAACAACACGTAAGTCCACAACAGATCATTACTGAGAACATCTTTCCATTGTTTTCTAGTGGACTATTGATTATTGATATCTTGAGCTCCCTTTGCAGGGAAGCCACCTGAATCATCAGAAGAATCCAGTAATCAAAAACATTAATTAGCGTGTTTTGTTATGACTGAACCGCATTAGGAGCATGTTTATTGACTTGGTGATACCTGTGTATGGTGCTGTGATAACTTGTAGATATCTCTAGCCAGGGGCAGAGTCTCTGGGTCCATTACAAAGTACAGAGTATGCATCAGTCCAAGGAAACCAGTGCCACGCAGGTCAGTGGCTGGATCTGTACCTGCAGCACAGACAAACCAACATACATCACATTTGCACTCATTTTGGATGAAAAGACCAAAGAACATTTCACTTCTGTTGTTAAAAGCAATTTAACAGGTTAAAGTAAAGAAATGTTAACTTTGATTAATGCAACATTTGGGCAGTGCTTTACTAAAAGAAAGAATCTAATAGGGATGGTGCTTTATAGCAGATGAGTTGATGTTACCCTGAAAGCCAATGTTTTCCCAGTGTGCACCATAGCGAGGACAGTCCAGCCTACTGCCAATCAGCCTTTTATAGATGGTCTGCAGCACACGCATGTGAACTGCTTGGCTGTTGTCCACAGGGCCTACAAGCAGAGGCACAAATCCATTGACAAACTCAGAGGCACTCATGAGTTTTACACCTGGTGCCATGATTACACAAACAGACCCACAAAACACACACACACACACGTACACACACACCCACACTCACACTGTGCAATGGCAAAGACGAGATCCCTTTCCTCCAGAAGTTCCCTGTGCAGTCGTGGAGGTCCAAAGAGGAAATGTGTGATGGCAGCCAGACCGGTCCTGCGAATGGTTGGCTGGATGTTCTTCTACAGATGGCAGTTTGTATGACAGTCAGAGCTATTGATAAATCTCCAAAATCACAAATCCAGAGGAAATTAACTTGATCGTTTTATTATAGTGTTTGAATGTGAGTGCAGTTTTCCAGCAGGAAAAAATACATATAGGAATTCTTCTTACTCTCGCCTTGTGTTGAAAATAGTTCATCTCACAGTTCTTCAACAGAAATGAGGCTTCAAGTTTCATTTCCTGCATTTAAAATTTTTGCTGTAAATATTCTGCATTTCTTACCAGCAAGTCCCCAAGGTCTGTGGTCTGGAAGTACTGGAGGGCTTCATTGAAAGAGATGAGTGGGGTTGGATTTGAGTCCTCACTCTGAGCTGTTTGGGGATTATATAAAAGTTACATATTCAGAAACATACAGTGCCATTAGTCACAGCTAAAGCTCCTCAATAGTCACTGTACGATTTCTTTGACAAAATGAAGTAAATTAAGTTTTCTGAGTAACCTAAATTAAAATTTTCATCCTAAATTCTTCAAACCAGATCTAATTACATGTTAATGTTATTTTTATGGACTGATTTTTTTAGTTAGTTTTTTTTAACTTTGTGGATGATTTTTCTCCCTCTGAATGACTTTTGCTGAAGGTCACATTTGTGCTGACGCAGCAGCTCAATGGAACAGAGCCCCATCACTCGGAACACTGCCAAATCTTCATCCAAACATTTTAATTGCCAGAATTATAGCGGTTGCTCAGAAAAGCCCTTTACTGTTTATTAAAGAACAGTCTAATCAGATTATAACATTTAGAAATGTACACCATGTGTTTTTTCCTAGCTATAACAAGCTATATTTCTAAAATCCTGCTAGAAGCGTGAGTTCAACTTTATCCCATGAACTATTCCACGTGGGTTTTATAAACAAAAGATGCTCGTATTTCAAATGGTTAAAACTTAAGCTGAAAATAAATTATAATTAAAATTAAAAAAAGCACAATGCATCAAACCTGGCTGGATGTTTTCCAGAGCCTCCCACTCCTCCCTGGCCTTTTCCAACTCCACATTTTGATTTTCCTCTGTAAAGAGAGCCACACATGAGGAAATAAAAACCAAGGACCTCTAAAACATTTAACTGTGGCACTGAATCAGGGGGGCTTCAACCTAACCAGCTAAGTTCTAAATTCTTCCTGCCTGACAGACTGAGCCCGTCAGACTGCCTGAGCATTCTCTAAACCAGCAGCCGTCACTCCTGACTGAAAGGCTCTTCTCTGTATTTAGGATGTTTGCAGATTTATGTTGAAAGAGAATGAGAAGGAGGACAGGCCGTGCATGTTACCTGCTGGCCTGGGCTGGTCCCCTCCTGCTGCCAGAGTCTGAAGAAGACCATTCTGCTTCAGCGCTGAAATCTGGACAGTTAAACATTGGATTGGATCATTACATTTCAAAAGGGCCCAGCTCTTTAAAGTAAAATACTATTATTTAGACTGTACTACCGGCAGGGATCTGAGAGGTGCACTGCCATTGGTCTGATCTTTGCCATTGTGACCCACTACCACTCCATTCATGATCTGAAAAACAAGATTAGCACAGACAATGTCTAAACAGAGGAAAGTATTTCTAACAAAATCCAATTAAAAAGGATCGATCAGAAGGGATTTTTAGCTCACAGGCTTATGGTTGGAATGTCCATTTGTGATCTCCTCTAGAGGTTTACGCTCATGCGACAAACCATTCAAACCCTAAAAAGAAATGCAGAAACACAAAAGTCATGCTTATGATATACAAAAAAAAATATATAGAAAGACTTAACCTTCACTCATTTAAAAAAGGCATTTGTCACTGTATGCATTTTGTACACACTGTACATATGCAAAGTTGTGAAAAACATTATGAAAAGTTAATCTTTCAAAGTTATCAAGAAACTGCACAAGTTGTAGTTTAGAATAGTCTTGTGAAGGCAATTATATGAGAGCAATTTAAGGATGTGCGCATGATCATCCAACATCTTTACAAATGTAGCATTAGACAAGGATATTGGGCAGGGAATTCGAGGTTATGTTATGGCTACAAAACTAAGTTAGGGATAAGGGTAAATGCCTAGTCAGCGCCCAACAAGTCAAGAACATGCCAAGCCAGCTGGATCAAAGATTACAGCTAAAGAGGAGAGACAAGAGTTGACCTTAAAACTGGAGTTAAACCCATATCATAAAGTGCTTCAACAAATGAGCTCTTAATTGTTTAACATTAAACAAGGGTAAAAAATGTACCCCATGAAGGTGACATTATCAGAATGGGTGAAATTTAAACCCTACACCTGCTTAGAATCCGCTCACAAACAAAGTATGTGCTGCTTGCTGTTTCTGTCTTATTGGCTTTAGGTTATCGTGAGGCCAAACACTGCAATAAGATTAAAGTCAAGATTATAGGGGAAAAAAACAGAAGAGGAAGAAGAAAGTGGGTGGGATGAAATAATGATATTACCTCAGTATGGGATGTGACATCATTGTCTTCTTCCATTTCATGCGAGCGTGCTGGCTGTTAAGGGCGTTCCTGTTTTTGGCCTCTAATGGCTTCTAAAGTCGTGAAGTGAGACTGCTTGAGGAGCTAAAACAGGGGCCACCATGGTTTCTGTAGTGCACACTTTTCAGGACTGCTTCTATGCTTTTCTCATATTCCCCTTACATACATCTTAATGTCCACAGTCAGCAGCCAGGTTTCTGAAGCTTTTCACCGAAATCCATGTTATGTCCACCAAATGGTCATATCCTTTGAAAACACTGTGTTGGGGGTGTTTTTTGATGGAGCTCTGCTTTTATCAGCCTTGATTGCAGAGTAATGCGCAGGTATCGGTCTGTAAGAGCTGACTGGGGAAAATATTTATTCATCAATGCACAAGTTTCCTGGAAACCTGCCTCCTTCCTCTCCTCCACAGATCAGCCCCACTCCTCGGCCCTACCAGAGGTATGCAGAGGCTGCATAATGACATTGCTTCTCAGGGCTGGGTTCTCCCTGTCCAAGACACTTCATTACTTTGGCACTTAGGACAAATCCAGCCTGCGCCAGATGCCGGTACGGTGGCTGATTAATTTACTTGCCCCAACGCACCGTTACCATGTGTCTTCAGTTTCCCTTGAATCAGTAGTAAACGTCCAAAGCGAAAAAATGCAAATGCCCCGAGAGATATGGGTCATGGAAAAATAAATTCTTGTGGCCAAACTCCAGAGGGTGGGCGTGCAAATGCACGCAATATCTAAGTAGAGCAAAAAAAAACAAAGAAAAAGCAAAAGATTATTCCACAGTTGAAAGTAAACATATTAATTTATATCTCCACATGGGCTTGAGGAAAACAAATAACTAAACTTACATGGTAAAATGCAAAACATCAAGCATGGAGGGGAAACTTTGATAGATGAAAAAAAATTAAAATGATTTAGCTATATTAATTATCCTCAACATTCAAGGATGCAGACTAGAAGCTAAATAATTACATGTATACATCAAACAGCAGTGTCATGTTTCTGCTGTAGCTGCCAGAGGTGGATGTATACTTTCAGAATGTTAACACGTCATACAGTTATCAATGGGAAAGGAAACGATTAGATATTTAAGTTAATTTCTACACATAAAATCTATTACATCTTTTGATAATATGTTTCATCATTATTATATATTATGGAAAGAGCAACCAAAAATCTTTTTAATTTTACAAAGTACACGAATAAGTCAAGTGAAGTGATCTACTTTTCAGACTCAATTAATTCCCTTTTTCAATGCACGTTTTCTCTAACGGTTTTTTGTCGACGTTATATCGCTACTTTTACGCCTGCGATGGACCTGCACACTTTTCACCCGCTGCCCCAATCACTTAAAAGGTAAACTGAAGTCTAGCCCTAAAGAGGACATGCACCGCACTTTTTCCACAAGTAAAATAAACTACCACAGAAGTTAATTTTCCTCAGATGACAGTTGACTGCAACAACAAATTACCGCTATGACAGCAGCCTTCCGTCAGCTAGCAACCAGTCTCTGTAGCAACCGACAAGCTAGCAATACGTCAACTAGAAGCCCCGCTGGCACAAAGACGGAGTGACAGCTTTATCTCTGAACGACAAAGGAAAAGAATACCCGTGTAGCACACAACTCCACCAAAAAATTCTAAATATTTTCGTAACAAATAGTATGTAGACTAAAGTAGTCAAGACCCAGTTACGTTGGCTAATACAAGAAAAGCCAGCTGCCAGGCTAACTAACGGGCTAGCAGAGGGTCTATTGAACTGTAACGGAGATAGAGTCAGTCCCAAATCCGACAGCAACGCACGAACAAAACCTACTTTAGTCTTTGAGGTTAGTTAAATATTCTACAAACATCGCCTGTCACTGCATGTCCGACATAATTCAGAGATATAAATCGTTTTAAAAGTACCTTAGTTTCTGATTGTTTCTCCCTCCAATCTCAGCTTCCCTTCCCCCGTCCAGTGGCCACGGTAATTGCAAATGGATCTTGGGAATTGTAGTTTCATATCTGTCTTTCACTTCATTACGTCATTGCTTTCTCTTGAACGGATGGTGGAACCATGAGCAGTGATGACATTTTAAAAAATGGTTCGGAGCAGACTTTTAGGACTATAGGATTCAATATACGTGTAAAAAATTGAAATCCAAAATATCCTTTTACCACATAAGGGCTCCTGTCCTGTGTTACATATATTGTGGAAACTGAAATAAGATAGTCAATTTAGGCTCTGCAAGGTGTGCTGACCAGAGGAGAGATTTGGAAAAGTCCTCATTGGCCTATTATTATGAACCTCTAAAGAGTGCAAAACTCTTTAAAGGTTCTGAATTACGAAACCTGTTTAAGATAAATACCAAAAAACAGAAAGAGAGGGAAGTATCCCCCTGTAGTTTACATATTTCTCCAACCTTTAATCCTCACTTTGAAATACACCCCCCAAAAACCACTGTACATAGACTGTTCCCACAATGCTGAATGCTTATTCTTACTGAAAAATTGTCAGCCTTCACAGCATGTGCTATTTAGGCAATATTCTTATTTTTGTTTACAGAAGTTTCATCAGCAGATAATCCTGTTGAGACTATTACTATTTTGACTTTGTGTGAATGTGAATTAAACTATTTTGTGATAGTAATGGTTGTTTAACTTAGTCTATTTGTGCATATCTCTGCAATGTCTATATTAAGCAGTCTCAAGTGCCTCTTATGAATTGCAAGTACGTTCCTATGTTTGACTCCTAATAGAGCTGTTTGGAACTTCAATTCTAATATTGAATGAAAAGGGAGGAAAACTAAGAAAGAGGGAAGGGGGGTGGGATTGATTCAAGGATATCATCAATGCCAAACATTTAATATGGCTACCAGACAGCTTGTTTTGTCTTCCTCATATTATTACAGCTTACATATGGTGGGTAAAATTCCCTTTCCTAATCCAGGATCAGAATTTTCTCCTCTTTTCTTATTACACAACTAACGGAAGAAGATCTCTTGATGCCATAACTTCACATGTTCTTATGCTCAGATATTAAGACATTTCAAGCAGATGTGAATTATTTGCGTCTGGAACATTCTTTGAAGGAAAGGCATTTCATAAACCAGCTCTGAGCCTTAATGATGAAATGTGTGTTTTGTAAATCATACAGGATTCGGGATCAGCATAACTGAGGACTGATTTTTCAAAGGTTTTGTGGTAAAATGAACATGGCAACCCCTCAGTGATCAGACTACAGTTAGCTTTCTTATTATTTAACATGATAAAAGTTCTTTGGGCTTTATTTACATCAATCTGAAGGTGTTAGGGTGTGACAGTAAAGTGATTCTTCTTTTCCATTCAGTTTTCTGGGTCTGATCATTGAAAAAAAAATCAGAATATCACATCACCTCTGATCAACAACAAAAGATTAGATAATACATCATTAATCAATTCCCTACACATTTATTGCCTCTACAGGAATTGGGGGGCTAAGTAGCAGCATGTGCCACCAATCAAATGCACTTATTTAAATAAGCATCTGCAAGTGTGCCCACCTCTGTGAAAGCCCAAGTTTAAGTAGTTTGCAGGTGTGATTCTGTGGTTAATTGTGTTAAATAAATAACTCCTTATGTCCTTCACCATTACTAAGTCTGACCTTCTCCAAAAGAAAAAGAAAAAACAAGCTGTTACAAAACATTTTGGACCGAACACAGCCACATAAAATTGACCAAATGTTACACAGCTGGCAGTAATGGAGGACAGATTTCCTGTTTGGGATGAAATCCACTGTTACTTGATCTTGGAGAATGTGCTGTTGGCTCACAATGAACGGCAAACTGGTAGGCTCCTAAAACATCCAAATGGCCAAACACCTGCTCTTCCTGGCAAATGGGCAGTCTGAAAACCCATCAATGAGTAGGAAGACAGCTTTTATGATCCACATTAGCTGTGGTTAAAAAAAGAACATTTCATTTTATCCAATTTCCTCCCCCGTCAAAGAGAATCGCTGTTCAAAAAAGGAGCCGCTCCCTAATTGAGTTTTTTCTAGTTGTGTTAAATTTTGTGTCCTGCCTGTGTATTTTTTTCCCTTTGGGAGTACAATATGTTATTACTTGGAATGCCTTCTAGGATCAAATGGAAAAACTTTTTTTCCTTCTCTCTCTTAAATAAAGCAAATGACCAGTGGAATGTTTAATGGGATTTTATTCATGTTATCAAGCATCAGTAAAGGACATTTTACTGATTCTCTGCATAATACAAGCATCACGACACCATTGTGATTCATGTCACTGTAATGCAATGCATCTATGCACTGTCAATAAATAAAACACAAATAAAAGTGCAATTTCATAGCAGAGGAACATACCCTTTTTAGAGTGTTGTCAAAAGAAAACACTGTACTCATTTTCATTGTAGTGAATGTCCCCGTTTAGCTCCTTCTGTCAGTTACAGGTGCTTCACCAGCAGGGGGCATCAGCGAGGCGTGTGATCAGCTTAATGTGGGCAAATCTTTGTGATCAGAAACAACAAATTAAAGATAAATCTGTCAGCAGGCCTTATTCATTTTGCACGCCACAGGCTAAACTAAGCCTTTACCGAGATTTTGTCCATGTGATGATATACTGGAGACATTCAGGATAATCATTTTAAGCTTCTTGTTTATATTAAGCTGTACAGTGCAAATAGTGGTGACACAATTGAGGACTACAATTATGTGGTGCAAATTCCATGTTTTGTCTTTTGTTGAACTTTTCTTAAAAGTAAAGGGGTCTTTTTGTAAATCAGAGTCTTCCAATGTTACAAATGTTACCACTCCCTTAACATCAAGAATTTTCAAAAAAAGTTACAATTATTTCTTTTGATCTCCCTAAAGCCATATGGATTTCCTTATTCCTTGCTAAATGTTAAGCAGATTTTAGTGGGTTGTGTGATGATGGAGCTGCTCCTCTGACACTGTTGTGCATATTGTGCCAAAGCTCAAGGTGTATTGTGTCAGCAGGCATGTGCCATCTCCATTGAAACATTACTAGCCATCCTGTGCCTGAGGTGGTTGGCGAAGTCCACCTGAGTCTGTGAGAGCACTTTGTTGATTATTGTCTTTGGGATCCAGCCCTGCAGGAGACAAAGACAAAGCTAATGTTAGACTTGATAACACAGTTTTAGCACCATTTTAACCATCAGTTCCTGATTCAGTTTCACTGGTGTGAATATTCCTTTGTGACAGCCGTTGATACCTTTAAATCTATACTCAGTAACCAGGTAAACTTGGTCTTATTTGGGTCCTCAGCACAGGGTTTCATCACTATACAGGTAGGCCCGTTCTCTGCCCTGAAAACATCCAAAATGATGTTCACTTTAGCAAAGATGTGATATTAATTGAATTTATATTCATTCACGTGCATGCTCGTGTTTCAACAGGAGGAGGGTTTCTTCTGTACCTGATGACACCCTTCTGCTCGGGCATTTTTGGGTGCTGAGTGGACATCCCAGCCAGGAAGCAGGTGGAACCTCTGCGTTTGGCACAGCGGACGCTGACAAAGTCCCGTGGTCCCACCACATTTCCAGGTGTCTCTGCAGATTCCTCATGGGTAATCATCGTGTCCTGGCCAATCTTTTGAAGAATCTGGGGTATCACAATGTGAAGTTTTGTCATTGGAGTTCAGTGCCATGAAAACTGTATTCCCCGAAAGTGGAAGTGCTGTAGCTCCCTTACTTTGACCTGTTTGACGTTAGGGTTCCATTCCCCCATTTGCTCCATATTTTCCACTAGCTCTTCATACAGGTTTTCAGGATGCTGTTCTAGCACCACTTCCAATTTAAAGACTTTCCCAATGTCGGGCAGAACCTTACTCAGGACCTTATCTCCATTTGCCTAGCAAAAAAGTGGAAACAGATTTAGATATGATATTCAAATGCCACCAGAGCATGAAATCATGAGACACCTAGCTTTCTTTACTTCTTCACACATTATTCATACATTTCACATTTCACGTGTGTGAGTTATCAATTCAGCTGTGTGCGTTTAGTGTCATTATTGTACTCACAGCGACTGTTTCTACAGTCCATCCGTCCTGCTCGCTCAGGATGGTGATGGCCTTCTGGAGCGCATTCTCACCTTGTTTCACATAAGACATCTCCTCCTCATTGTATCCATCCTCTTCCTCAATTCGGGAACCTTAACATAGGGTAACATGTGACTAAAACAGGTCTGAAAATGCTCCACGGGTCTGTAAAAGTGTGCTGGGATGACATCCATAGGGCATTGTGCAACTCACTGAGAAGGGAGCTCCGTCGACGGACTTGGCTGATCCAGTGGCTGGGGCCAGGACCTGCCAGCCGGTTGAGCTCATGGTGAATAGCCACCATGGCATTCTTTCTCAAACCTGGTGAACAAAGACAAACGACGGGGTTTGACATACGCAGTGAAACTGGCAGAGAAAAAAATAACAAGAAACCTTTTTTTGTTTTTTTTCAGACTCGATCATTCATTCAAACACTTGGACACCATAACGGGGCAAATTGTGTATTTCTGTTTGAAGTAAAGCAGATATAAAACCAGGTCAAGCCAACAGTCCTGAACAACAGTCCAGATTCACTCACTTACCTGTCATATTCCTCATATGCCGATAGGAGATGCCGGCACACAGCTTAAAAGTAGCAGGCAGCATTTTCAGTTACAGGAGTTTAGCGCGGTTTTAAGAGGAATCAAAAACTTTAAAAGCAAACGGATAGATTTACAGGACTTCGCTGTGAATGTTCAGCTGTGTACAAGAACGCACTCAAGTGATTCTTGGGCTTCTCTCTGTGGCAGCTGAAAGCGTGCGTATATATATATGAGGGCTGGTCACAAGGCCACCGCGCTATCTCCATGTAGATAAACAAACGGATTAACTAGTTCCAGTGGCCATGTCACCAAGGTTGCATTTCGGATACGAATATGCCTCATACTTTAACAAATGTGTTTGATAAAATCCAGTGCCTGATCCCATTGGTTGTCTCACATACATACAGCAACACACATTTCAATGTGTCACACAAGGATAAACAGCCTTCCATCACTGATGAGAGCACGCAAAAAAGATGTCAGCTGGAGAGACCCTGAGTGATTCGTCTCCCCCTCATAGTTTATTACAGTGTAAACACTCCGGATTATTGGGGCAAAAATTCCATTCACTTAGTCCCATTTCACTGCCATTATGATGGATATCTCAGCATAAACTTTCATATCTCCACTGTTATTACAAGCAAGTGGAAATGACCAGTCAGCAAATTAAATGGTCTGTGTGGAGTGCTGAATACTGTTTTGATAGTAGTTTATTTGGATTTATTTTTCAGAAAAGTCCTTCAGGGAGTATTATCAACCCCCATCTAAGTAATTCTGCTTTGTACATACATGTCTAAGTATTATACTGTGAATCCCTTGTTAGCAGACAAAGAGAACATGCAGTACATCATACGTAGACCTTGTTAAATCATACATCATACATCATAAATCATACGTATCCCTTTATTTGATGACTCTGGTAACTTTTTATCTAAAAAAACCCCTAAATAATTGACTAAAGAAATTAAAAATAGACACAAAAAGTAAATGATGGCAATGCAGTGCTGTTAGAATAGATAGGAAGGGAGTATTTAGTATTTTCAAGTATATTTTGACAGGAAGTATACATTTTCCTTAAGGAATATTTTCTCAAAATGAAAAAAACAGATTTTTATTTGATTTTTTTGCTGTATTTTTTCTTTGTATTTTTATCTTTATCTTCTTATAACAATTTCGCTCTGATTCTTGCAAAAAACATAACAGGCAAAAATGATAGAAATGCAGAATTCAAAAGACTAATCAAGACTTAGGGCAGTTATACGCTGTCAATGGGCCATTTACAAAACTTTAGACAGACAGGGTTTATTTTATTCAAAAGTTCACGGTTGGGGTCTGAATCTGTTTCTGCTTGTTTTTCCAAAAGGCTTGAATAAACCATAAATGGCTCATTTTTATTTATGAATACCAGATTTTATCAAGGTGCTTGCGTGTTTTGTGAACCTTGCTTACTTCATCCAAGAAAAATACATCCTATCTAACAGTAATATTACCTCAGCCGACTGAACGTCCAACATGTTCCCAGAGTCAACATCGCACTCGATTTCTGTCATGGAAACCTGTCTCGAGAGAATTGGGTCATCTGATTAGCGATGAATAAATCCCACAGTAAGACAGAAGTCACCTTAACCTGCAACCTCACATCCCTTTGGCCTTCTGCAGGGTGAACTCCCTCAATTAACATAAGGACACACAGGCCTAGTGCTGGCTTATCCTCTACACAGCAAGAGTGGACAGGCCAGTCAGACTCTTGTGCTGTAAAGCCTTTTTTTTCTTGTCTGAAACAAAGAATCAGAGCCAAAGTGGGTCATATGCCTGATTAGGCAAGCGTAGAATTTTGTTTTAATGAGCTTCAGTCTTGCGTCACGCTGATTTTGTCTAATGTGGATCCAAGGCTGGCAAGTGTACCTGGAATCTGAAGGTCAAAGAGTGTATGGTATGAAAACTGGCTTTTGAAATAAGTGCCCTCTGCTGCGTTTTTAATGCACAGAATCATTACCTACTAATGAGTTGGCTGAACAGGACTAACTCTATGGATGCAATGAGTAGCTGACATTTAACAAAGTGTTTGTCTTGTACAGAACAGGGTTTATTGGAAATTACTTCTGGCTTTGGAACCAAAAGTGATTAGAGATTTGATCATCAGTTTTTTTTACTGAAAATAAAACCTTTCTATAAAACATTATATAAAACAGGATATTTTTTAGCATATTTGATCAGTTTTGCCCTCCCTTCTCGACACCTCAGCCATGAGGCTCATGCAGTCAAGAATGTTCCAGAGTTCAGTGAATATATCTTATCAAATAAAAAACGGTCCTTCAGATAAATGTACTTTTGATTATGATTATAGATTAAAGTTCTAAACACTGTCACCTGTGAGGTCATGCTTTTCCTGAAACTCTCATCTTACTACACAAAGATTATCTCCATTAATTAAAATGAGCAGTTGTGATATGGAGAGATTAAAATAATACAAAACCCAAATGGCCCGTTTATTCGACACTTTCATGGACAGATTAGAGTTTTAGAATCCTAAAGTTGGAAGAGTCACATTTTTCAACACACAATTCTCAAATAAAGGAACAGCACTGCTTCGTGTTTCCCGTCCCTGCGTTTGTGGCCACGTGACTGGAGCAGAAGGGACAATAACGAGACAGACATTCTGTTGAGTATTCAAACTATAGTACAGAGTTTATTGGGACTTGAATGACACAGTGGGTTTGGCTTTCACATGCACTCAGCACTCTGCTGTACATCACATTAAGAGGGTGAATTCCCTCATGGACTCCCTGCACTCCATCCTTTATCCCTCCTTCCATCCACTTACAACAAACTGAGTCTGCGTGTATTTGTGTTCCCCAGCAAAGCAAACAGAGCATGAAAGTCAGAGAATAGGCAAAGTGCTGATGTCTGTGTGGGCATTGTCTAGGAGATCATGCTAACAAGGAGGCACTTCAGTATGATTCAGATTATCCCCCCCCCATATCAAGTACATAAAGAGAGAAAGAAAAACAAATAGGCCTGTGTGACATTGGTAACAATAAAAATTACTGCATGAAACAGCGTTTACTACCTCAAACAGGGGGAAAAAACATTCTTAAAACAAGCATAAGAGACTGAATTCTTCCTCATTTCACTGGCTGCGCCCCTTTGTGAAGGCCACTTCTTAGTGTGGAGATCCTGTTGCATCTTCCTCTCCTCTTCCCCATCTTCCTCATCTGACAATGAGGAGCTGGACTGATTAAAGAAGATTCAGATAAAGTAAACCATTCACATAGCTCTGGATTGCCTGTGTCTTCAATAACAGATGGGTAAAAAAAACTAGAGGAAGACCCTTTAGATTTGTGAGGCATTTTGAAGAGGACACTAAAGATAAGTATAAATGTCAGAAATAGAGGGAAAAAAGCAAAACCAACCAACAATGGCTATGCAGCAATATCTTAACATGGAAAAGGCATTGGGAGAACAAGAAGAACACTTTAGTTTGGGATGTAGAAAAGAAACATTTGACAATATCAATACAATAATGTGCCTTAATGATTAGAGGTAAAACATTTTCATTTGGTAACAAAACAGCATGACATTATTTTAAATTGTGCAACTTGTAAGTCAGGCTGAGTGCATGTGTTCCTCTCCACTCCACGGGGACTGTGACAGAAACCGAGGAAAAAAGGCAAAACAAATCCAAAGAAAAGAGAAAAAATTCTGTTTCTGTACAGCACATTAACTAGCTTTAAAAAACAAACAAACAAACCTCCACATAATGTCAAATATAAAGTGACACTGTAAACCGACGGGTGTGTGTATCAGATGGTAACATCAGTGGAATGAGGTATGCAGAAGCAAAAGATACAGCTGTCCATACTTACTACTTACACTTGTCCATGCAATGAAAAGACAACACAATTCTCACAATTATGAGTGTCTGTGTGTCTATCTGATTGTGTATGTACTGTATGTTTGTGTGCTTTAAGCAATATGATATGTCTGCGGGCTCATATCTAGGGAAAGTGTATAAAAGGGAACGCACATTCTGATCTTCCTGTTGTTCTACGTGACAGCTAAAAACCTTCAATAATTCAACGCGACAACAGTATCACAAAACTCAAACTGAAATCTTTGGCCTGAGTGTACGCAAGGCAATGTACATTATGTGTTGAGGTTGTTGAGGTGATGTGTTCTGAATGTTCAGGAGTGATCTGAGGTACTGGAGGCGAAATACAGAGACAGACTAAGTTAAGAGAATGAGTTGTGCAGATGATGACTCGTAGGGGATGTAGACAGATAAGAGAGATACTGGTACAAGAAACAGGCCAGAAAGAACAGGGTTAAAAATGACTGAAAAACAAGCTCCTTTCCTGGAGAAACAAAATATTCACCAAGACCCCCCTACTTCAATTCCCTGTGGTGGTCTTTATTATACAGTGGATCCCCTGAATATAAGTTTTATTCTATCCTTTTTTGTTTTCATCAGCATCAGTGGCTCTGTTCTATAGTCCAACAATCCTGAGGGTAAGTAAGGTTTGTCCAAATATTCCCAAACGTCTCTGCAACATTGACCATCCAACTACAAATGCCCAGGGTATAAGGACCCGGTCACTAACCCCCCCTCCCTCCCCATGGGTTGACCATTTAGGCTTTTAGACAGGCTGTCTCCAGCTGCTGCTCAGGTCCCATCTGTAGACCAAACAGCAGCAGGGAAGCCACTCTGAGCTCTGTCCCTTTGCTTTTGTGTGTGGCTCCCACACAGCCAACACGCCGCTAGGGGGCAGAGTTGGACATGGAGTCCACAGAATTTACACTGGAAGACTGCACACGGCTGTTGGAAATGGACACCTCTGGATGCTGCAGCAAATGAAAAGACAGAAGAAAAAAAAATTGTCGTGGGATGATCTGAATGAGCGTCTGGATTTGCGGGGAAGAAAGCGTGTGCACTTACGTGTCTTCTGAAGATCCTGTCCAGCAGGCTGCGTCTGGGTGGCTCTGGCGGCTGATTCCAGTCCAGATCTGGAGGTCTCGTCCCTTGAGGCCCAAACACATTCAAATCTCTGAAACATTCAGTTTCTATCATCTAAAGGAATCACGGAAAAAAAAGAGAAAAAGAAAAGGGAAGTGAAATATTAAGGGAAGAGCATGTATGATGACCACTAGCGGAGCTGTTGCAGCAGTTGCACTGCTCCTTGCATTTCAAAATGTCACATAAAATAGACTCACTTACCTCATTCTGCCATGGGATGGAAACACAGCCTGTAGCAAATTTGGAGTAGAAGTCGTTGTCAGTTTGGTCCAAATTCACTCCCTTGACTGTGGAGAACTGCTCTATGTCCAAAACATCCTTACAGTACACTGCCCGAGGCTGGGAGAGGGCAACAACCATGAAAAAGACGGGGTTCAATGGAAAATTCAAACAACCGCTTATCTTAATAGACAGTTTTTCACCAAGGACTTTTACTCAGTGTTCTTGAGACAGTATTTTATTCCCGCACTGACCATTTTGTACTAGTATAATGAATAACACGTTTTTACAGTGTGCAATGATAGCTTAGTTTCAGAGTAGTTTTTACAGTGGGAATGACTAAAATATTCAGCTACTCACATCAGGCACAAAGGGAGGCTCCACTATTCCAGCTTCCATCCTCTTGAAGTTGATCTTTTTGAAGAATGTATGGGCTTTGACACCCACTGCTCCATCCGCCTTGCATCCCAGCCTCTGCTTGGGGTCTTTGGTGAGCAGCTGGCCAAGCAGGAGCAGACATGAATTACGGTACTCAGTTTATCATCATTTGTCTCTCTTAGTCCATACAAATGCCAACCCATGGAGTCTCACCATTCTACAGATCGCCTTGGCATCCCCTGTAAACTTGTCGTTATACTCCTCCTCTTCCTCTTGCACCCTCCTCTCCACTTCCTCCCTCTTGACTCGTTCTTTGCGGGCGCGGAAGGGTGATCGACCAGCGGTCATTTCATAGACGAGACAGCCCAGTCCCCACCAATCAGGACTCATGGCATACTTTTCGTTGTTGATTACCTCTGGAGCTGGAAAGAAATGGAATCAGGTTGTTATGGTTCGAAGATATGTTAATGTTCCTTTGGAAATGGAACATGGTAGTGTATTTCTTACCCATGTAGCCCACTGTTCCAACTCTGCCTCTAATGAGGTCTCCATCAGGCACTTTGATGGCCAGGCCCAGGTCGGAAATACGAATGTGTCCTGCAACACAACAGTAGAGCCATCAGTCGACAATCTGCAGTTGTCCCCAATAAAGTTGGCTGAAGTTAATGTCAAACATACCAACAGCTTGTTATGAGGAATTAAGGTGGATACTTGACAAACAAAAGGCTGAGCATTGCAATAATCAGAAATCTGAGTCATTGAAGCGTAAAATCTCACCATTGTCATCTAAAAGGATGTTCTCTGGTTTCAGATCCCTAGAATAAGCAAAGCAATGTAACAAAAATCAGCAATTTATGCAGACACATGAAAACATTTTAAACGTCTAACACGCTTTGGAGAGTGCTACCTGTAAACAATGGATTCCTTGTGCAAATGGTCAAGCCCGCAGCAGATCTGAGCAGCATAAAACTGGACCCTGTCTTTATCAAAGCCTGGTGTGCCCATGTTATAGATGTGGAATTTCAGATCCCCGCCATTCATGATGGTCAGCACCAGACACAGAGCGTCTTTGGTCTCATACGCATACGCTAAGCTGACCTAGAGGAACAAAAGAGCACATCAAGGGGGATAAGTATGCTTTAAATTGCACACAGATTGGATTTTAAAAAGCACATTGGCTTCTAAATACGCTGGCTAGCTTTAACATTTACTTACAACAAATCTACTGTTGACTTTCTCTAAAATCTGCTTCTCGTTGAGAGCCATGGACTCCCCTTTTCTCTTCTTGATCCGTTTCTTTTCCAGCTTCTTACAGGCGTACATCTTCCCTGTTGCTCTGACCTGACAGGCACACACCTGGAAAGCCAAACAAAATCATCACTATGACATATTCAGGCCATACTGACCATATGCCAGGGAAGACGGTCAAAACTTATCAAAGCATCTCTTACCTCTCCGAATCCTCCTTTCCCCAGCACCCTGTACTGTCTGAAAGTGTCTTTTGTGATGGGTTGCCTGGCAAAGCACAGACACAGCAAAATCCATAAATAGATGCTTATGTAGTATTGATCAAGGTGGAGATATTATCTGCGGAAGTCAATAGCATTCTGAGTGTGCTTCCTGTACAGAGGGTGTGGCCGTGCATATAATTTGACTGTCCAGACTCAGATAGAGTCCTGGCTGCTCTGAAAGCCTTCCGCTAACTTTTAACTGTCTTTTAATATGCAATCTGCAATAAAAAATGTTATCGTCCAAAGCAAACATACTCCTTGATGAAGCACTGAACAAGGCCTGCATGTTTTATTTGGCAGTTTAATTCAGATGACCTCACAATTAAAAAGCGTGCCATTATTAAACATCAATATGGTTAAATTCTACTGAAAAAGTAAAGTACTATTCTGCAATATACTATTCAGAATTATTTGACAAACAAATGCAGTTGCAAAGGCAGCATGCAAAAGTGCATACATTTGAATAAAAAACAAACAATCTTCCATGACCTCAATCAAGCTGGAAAACGTATCTTTCAATTAACAGAGCAATTTAGTAAATTATAATCTACTTTAGAAAGAATTAAATTAATCACTTTGAATGTTCACCTAAATGGAGTCACTGTGTAAATACGACATATCCAGTGACCTCTCACTAGTTGACAGGGTCTCCACGACTACAGACTAATTTACCTAAAAAACAAAACTTTACAAAGCCATGAAGCTCATTCGGACAAAAAACAAAACAACAAAAAAAACAACCTCTCCAGCATCTTCCACTGCAGGAAGCGGTCGAAGTACATGCTGTTCTGGTAGTCAGCAAATGGAGCCTCGCTCAGGTAGTCATGGAGAGCCCTGGTCCAACACACACAACACAACCAGCTCATCAAAACACTTATCAGGATGTGACAGAATACAGCAAGAATCACACGAGCCATGAAAAGATCTAGAGATGCAAAAAGGAGATTAAGGAAGAAAAACAAAAACAGGTGAGACTGAACGGATCAGGGACTCACTTGCGGCAGTTGCTGAAGATCTCCTTACATGGACTGAGCTCGAGGTTCTCTCTGCATTGCTCTGCGAAAACCTCTGCTATGTCCACTTTCTGAGGTGACTTCACCACAACACATAAACACACATGTGCACACACATAAACAAATACATTGCTTTGATGGACAATTACACTTTCTTTGATTCCTTAGAGTTATTTAAATATGGCAAGATTTGCACATAAGATGACTAATCTCACTTTGCCATCAAAATGTGCGAAAAATAAAATACAGGAGAACGAAAAATCTCACTTGTTTTGAGAGAAAAGTCTTGATGATCTGGTCCCCTCTGCTTTTTCTTTTTTCATCAGGCGTCACTTCATAGTCTTCCTGATAATAAAGAAATAAGGGAGGTAAAATCATTGTTATTAGCAATATCCTGTGGAAAGATTTTTATTAAAGATTTTTATTAACATCAATAGGTAATACACATTTACTTAAGCCAATGTGCTTTTATGGCCACAGTGGAGGGCCACTCTCTGAGATGGCTCCATTTATAATGGAATGACTATTGCATGCTTAATTATTAACCAGATCTAAAAGTTCAGGCAGAAAACATTAACATTAATTTGCGAGATGCCAGGAAGTGAAATGTTTCTGGGTGTCCTTTGAACTTCTGCTGTGAAATTAAGTGGACCGCAGTAAGAAAAAAAAGAAAACGTGTAGACAATGCAGATCTATCTGACTATCTACAACATCTATACTTTTCCAGTTCAATCTGTGGAGCTCTGACTGACAAACCTTGCCTCAACGCACAGTATTGTCTGTACAGAGACAAACTGTATATTTGGCTAAAACAATTAAATAGTCACAAGAAAAGTGTTTTATACCCATCCAACCGAAAGAGGTTTGGTTAGCTATTACTAAATATTTAAGATATCACTGAAAAGAATATCTTCTCAAATTACTCTAATAATAATAAAGGAATTATACCACTGGCACTAACACTCAAAAGCTCAACTTTGAAAAAAAAACCCCCATCAAACTAGAATGTTTGATTTGAATGTTGAAGCAGCTGCTTTTGTTGGAGATGACGCCTCTTCACCAACACACACCTCTCAGTCTCTCTATCTGTGAGCATCGCCATCGCTCTCACACAAACATATGCTGCTCTCTGCGCAGTGCTGAGCATATGTGGCTACTGACGCGCCATGGAAAGAGCTGCGGCGTGTTTTGCAGCTAGCCCTTTTAACTTCTCAAGGGTCAGGGAGGCAACATGGCGCTCATGCTGCCTGCTGGCCCAGCTCTTTCTATTAGTGGGCTTTTTCCAGCATGCTCCTGTGTTGCTTGGCAACTCCACAGTAAACACGGTGGGATTCCTTGAGGTCCTGGAGTGTCACAGTGTGTCACACCAGCGTCACCAGCTTTCCACTACAAAACACACACACTCACACATACACACAAATGCACACATTCATATATATATATACAGAAACTGCAAACATAAGCCATGAGCTTAAGAAGAAACCGGCTTTGAAAAGCTGCAGCATGACTGCAGCAAAGCAAAATACAGATAAATCTAGCTGCAGATACATGTAGAAATAAAAACATACATTATGACTGAAATAAGGACACAAATGGGGGAAGAGCAGAATTGGGATTCCTGCCAAGTGTAGATGAAGTAAAGCTTTGTTATCAGAAGCTTGAGACACATAACACACACACAGATGCACTCCCACCAAGAGTAAAAGAGCTGTTTGACTCCCATCCTTTTGCTGGTGGGGAGGTCAGCCAAAGAGAAAGGAGGCGTCCCTTTAGCCTTTTGGAGGCTCAGGGGCTCCAACACACACAAACACACATAAATTGCACACATCCTTTCTTAATGTGAGAGCAACCAACCGAACCCCCAAAGTGCATTCTTTCTTCTACCTCAGCATCGAAACACGCACCCCCACTCTTCCTCCAGTGTGTTCATACTTTCTCCTTACCAAACACACTCCCCCTCAGTTTTGACCAATTACCCACAAGTTTACAAAATCTCTGCCGAGTGCAATGACTCGATTACACAATAAATCTGTCAGTTCGGGCTAACACGTTATTTAATCACTTGAAATACGGGAATCTGCTCAGTAGAAGGACACTTGGACATGGCTTATAAAATGGAGTTTTATAAAAGGGACTTTGTCACATGGACTGATTGCAGAATTAGCATCTGCATGTCTTTGGAGGGATTGCATAAAGTAAGTGGTTTGCTTCTCACAGAGGTGTCCACTTTTGAGACTGGGAGGTTAAAAGAGACCAGAGGAAGGGGAGGGATGGGGATGTGTTGGGATTGGGAAACAATGCTGTCTTTTGTGTCCTGTCACATGCCCACAGCGATATTTTTGGCATAGATAGACTTAAATGTGTCATATGGGAGGTTATTCCATTTAGACTGAGAGATAAGAGGACAGGGGCCACAATCTGGGTGGACAGCCAGGAGATCTGACTGATTGAATAATCACTACTCAGTTAAATTGTCTGTACTGGCTGCATTACCCAGCCAGCACTAGTGTATCTGCATGCTATGATGCAATCAGAATGAGTACACTCAAATGGCAGCTTTGCGTTTACGTTCATCTACGGGAGAGCACAGCTTTTCCTGATACTGTGTCAGAACAGTGGCGGCCTGTGTGTTCAATACAAAGCATGAACATTTTTTATTTCACATACAAGGAAGTATAACCTAAATATAATTTCTCATTTATAGTCAGTGATGACAGGTTTGACCAAACATTTCTGAACGCTGACTGCAAACTACATTTTTGCTGCTACAATTTCTTGTAAAAATATGTTGGAATGATGTCGGATTTAATATCAGTTGGTCAAGATCGCCAACGGAAAAAGAGATTCAACTGATTTGAATATAAAATGGCCACGGGTGTTATTTGTTTCAGATACACATGTTTTTAAAAATCCATTCACTTAGAAAGAAAACAAATAAGCCAGAAAAGCCAGGTTAACAATAGACTAAATAAAAGTAACAATGTCATAAAAACTCACCGTAAAAGCGGTTTCTATTGTTTAATTTCCCAAATCCCCTGGTTTGCGTTTGCTTTAATATGCACTAATCATATGTTGTGTACTCACTGACTCACTTCAAACATGACATGAATGTGATGTTGCTCAACAGAAGCAGCTTTTTGTCATTATTCTTTAGAAAACAGCAGAAGTTCTCAACCACATTTGAGGCAATAGACACGCAGCACTGCTCTTCTTTTATATGTTCTGCACATACATCAAAACATCAAAGCAGAGTTAGCACGATGTCAAAGTGAGAATACCCAACATCAATGCTATCCTTAGGACATTTAAGGAGGGATCATTTTTTGTATCTTTACCGTTTAGCATTATGTTTTAGTATCATTTCAAAATATAAAGCTTTTTTCATCTTATCATATTTGCTTAGCTCTAATTTCTAAATAATTCTATCAATATAATTTGTGAGTCTTTGTGATGCAGTCACATGTTGGTAAAGATTCACATTCAAATGCTAATTCTAAGTGCTTCAACTCTCATCGAAAAGGAAACTTTGGTTCTTAACAAGCTGAGAGGAGTCGTTCATGTCGAGTGTATTCCTACTGATATTCCTCAAAAACTTGTTTAGAACTGAAGGAGCACTTGTGAATAAAACATCTTAGAGATCCAATAAAAAATGAATTGCCCTTAGTCAATATCTGCAAATGATCCCATTATGGGATTAGTGTGTGAACGATTAGTGAGTTTAAATGGATTAAGATCATTGTATTAAAAAAACTCAACATTTGTCACATTGTTGTCATAAATCATGAGCAAACATTTCATAACGGAGCAAACATTTAAACAGACAGAATAATTGAAGTCTGTAATAATTCAGCCATCTGTTTAAGGAGAGGATACTAATTTTGCATCACATTATTAATCTTTTACTCTTCAGAATTCAAACAGTGTTACACTTTGATACACTTTGATGAACGAACACAGCTATAGGAAAAAACCCAAGGTGTCAACATGTTTCTCTGACATTTCATGTTTTCAAGAAAAACATTTAATATCATGTGACAGTTTATGTTAAAGTGTTCTAAAAGACAAGAAGCCTCAAATTATAGTGACCAAGTCATAACTACAAGAATGAGGCACAAAACATCATCTACAAGTGAGACAGTGTGAGGGAAACTGGATCTCTTTCCCCCTTTACACATATTTTACAGTTGATTTATTTTAAAAAACAAAACAAAAAAAAGTAGAATTACTGTCCATATGGCAACACTACCAAATGAAATAGGAAACTTGCAATGGAAATAAATATGAAATCCGAACATCCATCCATCCATCCATCCATCCATCCATCCATCCATCCATCCATCCATCCATCCATCCATCCATCCATCCATCCATCCATCCATCCATCCATCCATCCATCCATCAATCCATCCATCCATCCATTATCGTTACCGCTTGTTCCCTAATGGGGTCGCGGGGGGGACTGGAGCCTATCCCAGTAGTCAATGGGTGAGGGGCGGGTTGCACCCTGGACGGTCCGCCAGTCCATCGCAGGGCCACACAGAGACACACAAGGACCACGCACACTCACACTCACTCCTAGGGGGATTTTGGAATGTCCAGTCCACCTAACATGCAGGTTTTTGGACGGTGGGAGGAAGCCAGAGAACCCACTCAGACACAGGAAGAACATGCAAACTCCACACAGAAAGGTCCTGGTTCCCCCGGGACTCGAACCCAGAACCCTCTTGCTGTGAGTAGATGGTGCAAATATTCTACAATATTTTACTTTGAATGAGAGGAGCCATTCATATGTGGACTGACATTAAACAATGTTTTATCTTTCAGTTACCCAACACGTTCATACGTTAAAGACACAATAACTTGAACAATGTATTCATTCATTTTAAAATTTGTTAGGGTTATTCTGGAGTAGGGGAGGACAGATAATGGCCATATGAGGTCTCCACTGACCTGCAAAATGGACACTTCACCATGAACACTTCAGTTGTATAAAGCTAAAGTGTAACACCACTGCCAAGAACTAAGTTTGTTTGGATAATAGCCTTCTATGTGTGCGCATTAGCAATCTGTGATTATGGAGTCATTTGCTGTGCTCCGCACTTCGTTTGTAATTATTAACAATTAAGTTAAACTTTAAAAGAGTTGACAAACTAGTTGAGTGACAGGTTGGTTTCCTTGCCCCTTTTTTTAGGTGGGTTTGTGAAGGAATTTTCATTGTCAAACATCTGTTTTAAAAAAACAAAGAGGACGTCTGGAGCTGTGTGTGTCTGTATCCGTACCATTGCGTCTAGTAGCTGGATGCATCGTTGCAGGTTGGATCTGGTCTCACAGTACAGACGGAAAAGAAGCCTTCCAATCGGCTGTTTCTCACAAATGCTAACATAGTCCCTCTCTGCAGAAATAAAAAGAACACATTTAACAAGAGTCTGGAAAACCATCGGACAGAACCTCTTCATAGGAGGCGAGCAGACAAACACCTACCCATAATTTTTCCCAGTTCAGTACATTGGCTAATATGGGGAAAGCGGAGGATCTCCTTCCATTTTTTGCTCCTTCCTTTTCGCTTTCCTCCTCCACCTGTGACAGAGAAATATAAGAGGTGAATATATTGGAATGACAGGCCTTCATAAAGTTGTCAAAGTTTATTTTCATCTGTGTGAAGCAGATGTAAGCTTAATGCCTAAAAGAAGTGGAGGAAAAGGGTGCTGGTTGTGGGTCTATTCCCTGAATGAAATCATAGTCTCACTGTGTATATACAGTATAATTCAAAGATTACGTCTCACTTCCTCCACTCTCCACTCTCCACTGACTTTCTTCCTCACACAGTAGCTTTTCTGAAGGTGGAACACTGTGTGTTTAATGTGTGTGAGCGAGTTTGTTTGCATTTACTCAGACAAAAAGGCTATTCTGACCCACTCCGTTCCCATCAGAACCTGTGAATTGCCACACTTTATTCCAGTGGAATCATCATCATCATACCGTATACATCTAAAAGAAATATCTTTAAAAATGATTGTAACAATCTTTTTTTTAAAACCCCAGTAAAAAACATTGAAATCATCTTTTAGGGTCTACCAGACTGAACGGAACCTAGCAGAATTCAATCTCATGGTACACTTTAGGATTTTTCTTTTCTTTTTTTTTCATATGCTAGGACTGCTGTAATGACCTGACATGGATTTCCTTTAACTGCTCTGGGCATTGGAAATTCGCTGTGAGCAACTTGCCCAGCGTGAGGCACTGAGAGCATGAGAGCAGGAGAAGCAATGACAAGCAGACATCTTTAAGTAATAACCCAGGAATGTGAGACACACTACATCATGCTGGAGCCCCTGAGTGAAAACTTGAGTACTTTTCCCATAAAGCCTGCTGCACTAAAGTCTCATCATTTCCTTCTTTGTTGTTTGAAACCAATCTGTTCATTTCAAATAAGTCGTTGTGATTGCATCCCACACACTCACTTAACCTTGAATTTTTGAATCCGTTCAAGTTGTTGTCGATTAGTTTGAGTGCGCACATCACCAGCATTTATACAAAGAATGTTGCTGTTCCACATCCCCACAGACACACACAAAGAAACTATAATTAAAGTCAAAATATCCTCTGAGACGATCATTAACTTCCAGGACTTCATCCTCATCAACAAAGTGGTAGATCAAACAAACTACAAAGAGGAAAACTTCCTTATTTAAGCATTTATTATGCTCTGAGAACAATTCATGTGTAAATGTTTCCCAGCAACAAAACATCAGTATTATTTCTTATGTGACAAAGTTTTGAATCTCTTCAAGTAAATAAATGCCAAATCAGCACCGCAGCACACAGTAAGAGAAGGTCAATCCCCCCGGGTGCTACTAAGCTAAAAATGAACACACTTGTGCCACTGTAAGAGGTTTTTGAATAAAAGCGTCCACCAAATGGCACAAATGTCCTGTGAAGGGTCAACACCATGTCAAATGAATGTACCAAACATTTCCTCTTCACCCAGGCATTCAATTTCTTCACAATGCTGGGACAACCACATATACTGTTGTTCCTCATTTTTCTGTCCATGTCCTGTTTCCTTATGCTCTCCCTACACTCTGTAACCATTTCATTCTCATCTTCATCTTCTTCTCATTCTCATCCATCCTCATCTGCACATGCTCATTAAACCTCATTTTTGCTGCTACCACAAACAGACAACAGAAGAGTTTCTCTCATCTATACATCAAGTTGACCAAGTAGCCGGCAGTAACTATAAGAATGATTATGTCTCAATTTCAGTGTTCTTGGGTTTAAAACATCCAAATTCAATTGAATTGATGAAAAAAAGACACAGGATGTTTCATAGGAGCAAGATAATATCACACACAAGCATCTTTGACTACATTCAACATTCTCCTTGCCGGGCCACACACACAAATTTCGCATCCTCTCTGTGACCGCTTCTCTGTCACAGTTCTACAAACCAACCCTGATCTTCAGTCAAGGACGATAAGATCAACAGCAGCAGCCCCCCACATCAGAACATTTACCTTATAACGGCCCTGAAAAAGGCTAAGAAGATGACTGCGAATTCTAACAGCTATGAAAACATGCAAACTCTATTTTTTCTACTATATTGCTTTTCCTTGTCTTCAATTCAATTAAAGTGGAGACAAAACTATTTTGAGAAATAGATAGTATGTTGACATTACACCAGAAAAAAACTATTAGTCAGGCTGATTATTTACAATACATCTAAACAAGCTAGTCTGACCACATTGGACTTAAAGTTAAACCCTGAAAGCTGAACAAACATACCCAGAAAACACAACACTTCGCCCTAACATGTTCTGTGTTCATGTAATGCAGCCAGAAAAATGGCGTTTACAATGGCGATAACCATGTTGGACAGGAAAATGCATTTTTGCCCCAGCCGTGTTTTTTTCTCCGACCCTAACTGAGACATTTAAATGTGCAAAGCCCAGCAGGGTGTGATGTGTGCGTCAGCAAAGCCTCATGGTACTGATGGGACTTTATTCCAGGAAGAATGATATGTCCCAGCTTATGCAGACAAACCAACCACAATCCTTTAAACATGCAAATATTATGCAAAGCATTAATTTACTTTTTTTTTTAAAACTCAAAGTATACAAATGTATCCTGTTTAGTCTCAGAGCCTCACATCTGTGGTATTATAATAACACATCCTTCGTGAGTTAAAAAGATTTCCAATAATGCGTTTTCTGCATGTTGCAGAGCAAAGTTGAGGCAGGAAATGAAAAATTAGCTCTTGGGGGAAGTTTACAAAAGGATTAGTTATGTCAACTGAAAAGGAAGCACTGAAAAGATTTTGAATTGATCATACACAGAAACAAGAGAGAGTCTCCGCTTTCACATGTTGTGTTTAAAATCCCAGGTGCCAGCAACTTGGGATTCCTATCTAACTAAACTAGGCTATTAAAAGCACCAATGTGCTCATAAATGTCGTCCATAAACCATCTAGTCCTCGGTACTCCGCTTCTTTCTTTCTAAAACAGTTTCACTCTCACGAGGTCTGCCACTTACACACGAGCTGAAATATGCACTGCTCTGTGGATTCGCTGCACACAGGAACTTGTCAGTCTAATTTGTTCCATGCGGACGGTGTGGTCGCCGCCCTTTATTTATGTTTCTGCTTAGCAGCTCTGACATCATCAAGGCACGTCAAGTGTAGCAAAATATAAGGTCAGGCAGGGAACGACATCCGTCTGGCAAAACACCAGGGGGTTACCGGCATCCCAAGCATCTGTGTGTGTTTGTTCGCACAAGGATTGTGTCTTTACTGTGACCTCTCTCTGCTAATGTCCTCATGCTCAATTTAACCAACACGGGGCAGTCCTGCAGGGCCCGTCTATCCACACATTCAAAAACATCACTGCTTAGCTGTGAGGTTATATTCATAAAGTGTTGACACATGGAAGACTCTGAGCTATTAACCAGTGACAGATACACACTCACACACACAAGCAAACACACAATTCCCCTTACCATCCTACTACTGTGGACAATCGGTGAAAACCACGTCCTGAAAGCGTACAGCTTGACAATATCTGCAATATCAGCTTGACGTACATCATGAGCCACCATCTTTACCTACATGGTGCAAAGTGAGAAAGATTGGTAGATCTCGCTGACTCCTCACTCATCTCCTCCCTGTGCCTACCCTCCTTGTTCGCAAACAAATGATTATCTTTTTTTATTATCCAACTCTGGCTTATTCTCACATCACCTCCTTTGTCTGAGCTGTTAAATGTCGGCCTTGCGGTTGAGTCACATTGTGGTCGCCAGCGAGGTACCAGCAGAGTGAAACCAACCGCCACCACATACACTGATTCACGTGTCCTCTATTTTTTTGTTAGTCTTCTTCCTGCTTCTCTTGAACAATATCCACTTGTTTTGTATTAATTTGCATGAGGAGTGCTAGTGAAGGGTGGCGTTCTTGCAAATGTTCAACCCAAGTTCTAAATGCACGTCAAGATAACATAAGACTGAAGAAAAGTTTTCACTGGCACTCAGCAACATCCTCTTCCGGCTTGTCGGAGGACTTCTAAGCACCATCTTACTTTATCGCAAGGAAAATCTTGATGACAAAGTGCAACTTATCTACCTGCCTGTTACAAAAGCCCAGGAGGGGCTGAGCGACAATGAAACTAACCTTTCTCAATTGTGCTCTTTGTTGGTTGTGCAGCACTCTATGTGAGACTGGTTTTCACTGGGGGATGTATCTTCATCTTAACCGCTTCATTCCTAAAAACAACTCAACACAAGCATATAAAACATGCCAGTTTACTCAAATCCTCTCCAGTATAATTAGCACTATCTTAACAACAAACCAAGGTCAGTTATTTTTCAGGAACACATTTGTGGTGATATTACACTCCACAACTAACTGTGGATGTCAAAACTGGTTACTAAAAGGTTTGAACTCTAGACTGTAGCAAGATTGCGTCCCGTGTGCCACAGGAAGCTGGAGGAAATGTTGGCCAGACCTGAGCAGAAGGGGAGGACTATAGCAGGAAGACACTCTTTGTTGACCTGTTTCTGCATGATGTCATGTCGGTGCCTCTGTCCAGTCACCTTATTATTACCATCCTCAACAAGCCCTCACATCCACATATTCCTTGTTGTGGCCATAACAAGAAGGGGGCGATCCCTCGCAGCTAACAAAGCAAACATCTGTGACGTGCAACGTTTACTTGCTGACAGTGGACTATTCTTCTGGCTTCTGCGGGAGGTCACATCTTAACTCACTTGATGAGGGGTCGTAAAACTCTAAATCAGTCACGGACAATAAACGGGAGATCTTATCAGATGCATTGATGCTAGTATACAGCTGTGTCCCAGAAAAAAACTAAACCTAACTTTGCCGTACCATTGTGGCTGAAAGCGACTCGCTTGTGTGTAAGACGGCGACAGACGCAAGCATACGTAGCATGGCATCCACAGATGTGTTATTTGAACAAAGCTTGAAGAAAACTACACAACTGCGCCCGTTTTCCTGTCTTTATGTCCTTGTAAACATTGCCGCTATGCTATATATAGCGCTCAGCTCAAGGGCAGTGGCAATGTGTTATTAAAAAGTGAGGTGGTCAAACCGGCCCATGACCTCAGAGC